TTGTTGACACGTCTGGAAAGACACATATGGCATTTGCAGACTTTGCAACTGCCTATGCCAACGATCAGACTCGTATGGCTAGTCTAGAACCATCTCTGATGCCATCCTATGTCCCCCAGACCTCCCTCAGTGATGCTGAGGTTTCTGTCATTATCTCGGTAATTAATATTAATATATGTTAGTATCAACAACTTATTAAACAACCTGTATTTAGGAAATCTTTGTGGAAAAGTTGTGGGACTGGAAGTTCGAGTCTGACAACCCTGCTCTTGTTGCTGAGAACGAGAGTAAGAAGAAGTGGAACTTGAACGAGAAGATTAACCACCGCAATAACGTAGCTGTTATCAACTACTTGAAGAGCTACATTAGCGCCCAGACTCGTCTAGCTGGTACTCACCCACGGGTGATAAGTGATAAAATAAAAAACAGGTACAAGCACAGTCATCGTACTTTTCACGAGTCTCCTGAGCAGAAGGCCAAGAAAAACAGCAAGGGGAGAGCAAACAGTCGTACTCTTCAGGTTTGTATATACTATATAAAAAATTAATTGGTATATTACTATTTTCTCAAGCTACAATCTATATAACCAGATGTCTATCCGACGCAAGTCGACATACATGGACAACTGGGTAGCCATTGATGCTGCAATGGGATATAAGACTGGAAACCCTGTTGAGAAGGCCTATCTCAAACTCTTTCAGAAGGATGCCATGTCTGATGGTGAGTCGGATATTGAGATTGTGGACAATCTTCCACGACGGTGTTTGCATGTGGCTCGCCCCACTTGGAGAAGTGAAGAGGTAAATAATATTTAGAATAAATAAATAAGTTTTATAACAAGAAAAATAAAGAACTAATAAAAATAAATACAGTTCAACAGATTGTTGACAATGGTTGACGACATTGATCGTACCCATCACGTGTTAAATGCGGGCGTGGGAACAAAGCCAAGAATGAACAGATATCCAGCAACATTGTTGCCTTGCTCTGTTCCTGCCACTCTGTCCCAGTCATTGCCTCGTTGGGCAATCAACGATGAATAAACATTTTCTTTTTTACTATGTTCTGTTGTAGGGCCGAATAGTAATAATTGAAATTGAATTGATTAAAGGAAATAATAATAGAGGATAAATATATAAGTAAGTGTGTGTATGAGAATTAATAGTAAATTTTTTTTGGTAAAGAAATCGCGAGTTTTTTGTTGACATTTTTTGTAGTTTTGTAATCTACTATTGCAACTGTTAGGAGAATCCGATATACTGGCAGGATGCTTTGAAAATCTTGCTTGTAGAATTCATCCTGTAACAACTCAACTCCTTCTAATTCTCTTGTTTTGTCCGAAGTGGATTTGAACCATTTGACAAATGCAAATACATGCTGACTACTATGGGGATTTCTGTATGTTAGAGAAAAAACAGTTGGCCTAAAATTGTGAACAAAAAGGTACTGAATCTCTCCAACATACGCATGTTCCGACCCAGTTCGTTCAGTGAAATATGCTTGTATGTATGATCCGCGGCCATTCGTGCCAATGCACCCTTTGTAGCTTTGCCCAAGAAGATCAATGGACTTCACCATTTCGATCCAGTCATTGACGAAAGGTGAGTCATCAATTACATCTTTGCAACCTGAGATCTGTGGATTCTTGTACGCAGCTTGATAGTATCCTACAAGACAATCATATTCATGTTTTGGCATAAATGATAATGGTCTTGTTTTCAATGGCAAGGCGGATGGTGGCAGGGGCTCGTTTCCACGAATTATCATTGAAAGATTCTGTGAAGCTTCAAGATATTCGGAAATTGAGAAAGAGTGAGAGAGGTAGGTGTTGGTGTTGGTGTTGGTGTTAGTGTTGGTATTGGTGTTGTTGTTGTTGGTGGTGAACTTATCAAAAATTTCAAAACATGCAAGTGCATGCATAGGTTTCAGAAGTCGACGCACAAAATCTCCCTTCCACGACTCTTCAATAAACTGTCTCATAAATGTCGATTCGAACCCGTTTCTTCGATTGGTCTTGATATTTTTCAGGACACTATTGTACCTTTCAAAGCTGAAAAGCCAATAGCCATAGACGGGCCCAAAGTCAATCATTGTTTGGCGTAAGTGCAGATGCAGGTGCATGTTGGGAGAGAGAAGGTCCAGGTCGTACAATGTCTCACACCCTTTACAGAATTCTTCTAAGCATTTGTGTCCTTTCTCAATGTCTTCTTCAGAAACACTAGGCTTGGTGAAGTATCTGCATGCGTTAACAAACTCTATCCAGTTCTTGAACTCTGGCAACGGCAACACATCCCTTAGAACCACAGGAGAGTACACAAGGCACCAAGACTTCCACTCATCAGCCTTCATATAGGGAAATCCCTTGGCAATCTTTGTCCCAAGTGACGTGTAATCGGGCGGCAACACTACCTTCTCAACAGCCTTTTGCATGGCAACGAGTTTTTTATCATCGATTAATCCATCCGCAACCCATCTCTCCAGCATTCTTTTGGCAGTGCCTAAGAAAAGATTGTGCATGGGATCGATGATCGTGCAGCGGACAATATCAAAGTACTGAAGACGATGCAGTTCGGACCAGCGAACACCATGTGCAACTTCAAGACGCTGTCTCTCAGTTGGTTTGGTTGCATTTCTCCTGATCTCTGCATCCTTACGATTGTCATTCTTAGTGCGAAGGAGCCACTTTGAGAAATCAAATCCAGAATAATCAACGGAACTCGTTCCAGCCAACCTCGAAAATTGACGCTTACACTTGTGGCATGCATTTGTACTTGTATGGGATGTGAACCCACATACTTTCCTTGCAGCAGGTATATCACAGGCAACCATGAGAAGGGCTGCTCGGATAGAAGTACCATTTGGACATTGGTGAGTCTTAATCTTAATACCTTTGTACAGCTCCATCAACTCATCCACAAGCGGTTTCAGATAGTTATTTATGTCAGAAGTGCTTGCTTCTTTAGGCCCTGGCATTAACCCAACAAGAATCACGTTCTCCTTCTTGAACCGCTCACTGCGTGGAAGATTATTGATTGCAAGATATATGGCACCACAGGAGTAGGTAACACCATCGAATGGCTGAAACCAGTCAATGTTCAGCGTGAGCATGAGTGATCGCTCGGTATCAACAAAAGGTATACCATCTACGTCTACTATCTCATTCCACATCGCACCATCGTACATGTCAAACAAAGTGCTATCCATTTTCGGGCCGCGGTTCCATGAGTTGATGTTGTTTTCAAAATCCGGGCATTGAAAAAACGTCTTTAGGGCTTTCTTGACGGAGTGGAATACATATGTCTTTTTGGGTGCTTTTGACCCGGGACCAGACTTAAACAAGCTGTTGCCACACAAGGAGGTTTTACCAAAATTGGGTGATGTACAACACAAAGGGGCGGCTTCATTATCATATATGGCATGGCATTTGCTACATGCAACATACTTCTTGACACCACTTGTCAACGCTTCAAATCCGGCCAAACGTTTGAGGCCAGCAACACTCACTGGAAGGCGGAATGGGTCAAACAAAAACTGCAGTATCTTGTTGATTATGGCAATCAGGATTACAGCTCCTTCATCCACGACGTATAGCGAGACAAAAAGAGCAACCGAAATAACATTGAATCGGTGAATCAAATTCAATTCCGAGATTGATTCCAATGAAGAATCTTTAATTTGATTTTTTTTAAAGAACGTTGATTAACTCTATTTTCTAGGATATAATATTATCTAAAGCTGTGTACCTACCTTCATCATTGTCCATCTCAACATCGGATTCATCTTCATATTCTTCTTCGTAAGTGTCACTTGTATACTGGACATTATCTTCAGGGCCAAACACGCAATCCGTTTCAGAGAAAGGTTGGTTTCTTGTCCGTATATCCAAAATGTCATTTGTGTCATTTAGGTCTACAAAAGCGGAATGTTAGACCCAAATAAATCAATGTAATAAAATAAGTTTTCTTACTTCTAAGCTCAGAATTTATTTCAACATCTTCTTGTTCAAATTCAAAACTATCTTCCTCTTGATTTACAGGCTCAGAAACAGCACTACTAATTGTATCGCATGTGTCTTCATGGGCTACACATTTATTATTATTAGTGTTAGTATTATTATTATTATTATTATTATTATTATTATTATTATTATTATATAAAATAATAAAAAAGGAAATGATATAAAATAAAATAAAATAAAGTAAAGTAAAGCAAATGTATTAACCGTACGCATTTGAACATGTGTAATATCATGATTATCTTTTTCTTGATGACGTTTAAATGTTTTAACAGATACACGATCGAATCCTAGTGTCTTGCTTTTACAGATAGAGCATCGACACTCTTTTCTAACAATTGGTTTGCGAATAGGAGCCATTTTAAAATGAAAAGAAAGGTTTACAATAGTATTTAATAGTAAAGAAAGAGACTTCAAAGAAAACACACTTTTATTTTATTTGAGTTTGATGTTGCATTCTAATGCTACACAGCTGCCAGTAGCCAATAGAGTAGCTTAAAATACTATTCAAATACTTTACTCACAAAAGTGAGCTGAACTACAATTTTACCTATTCTGTCTATCAGAACTTAGGTATACTTTACATATGCGAAATTGATCTGTTTTTGCAGTGTTATATATATGCTAGATTAGCAGTTAACAGCTTATATATATGTCAGATTGACAGGCAACAGCTTATATATATGCCAGATTGGCAATCAATAGCTTATATATATGTCAGATCGGCGATCAACAGCTTATATATATGCCAGATTGGCAATCAACAGCTTATATATATGCCAGATCGGTAGTCAACAGCTTATATATATGCTAGATCGGCGATCAACAACTTATATATATGCCAGATCAGTGGTCAACAGCTTATATTTATCCTAGATCAACTATCAATAGCTTATATATATATGAGATCAGCTATAATTAGTTTATATATAGTGTCAATTAGTTATTATCAGCTTACATAATCTTGCATAATATTGCATAATTATATATAGGCACATATAAGAGAATTTAAACATATATAAAAATATAAAAAATAAAGTTTGTGTGACATACGTCATTATGCATATTCGCGTAATGTAAACAATACAATTGCATTGCTGAAAAAAATTAATAACTTTTGGCTATACTTGTTATATAACGTGCATAATCATGCATAATCTTGCATAAATGATCTACGTAAACAATACCATTGAATTTGTGGGAAAAAATGACAAAAAATTGCTTTTTTCGCAAAAATTTCCTTTTTTGGTTAGTCTGAATGCATCTAGCGTGAGAAGTCTTGGCATTTTTAGTGTGGGAAGATAGGTTATATAAATAGCAACTATGTAAAAGCTTGGCATGGAAAAACATTTAACTTTAAACTATCAAAAAGCCATTCCGACAATAATTAAATATATCTCTTCTAATGAAAGTTCAAATTCTTACTAAGTAATAATTTTTTAATTTTTTTTGCTATATAAAGAAAATTTAGTAGTATAATATAAAAGTATCAAAATATGTAAAGAGCAAGTACAGAATTAATAAAAATTAATTTTCATATTTTTTTACTAATTTTCTTATAAAAATCAAAATATTATTATATAAATCAATAAAAAAATATATGAACAAGTCAACTTATTAATATTTATTATAATTTTAATGTATTTATATACTATATATATATATATAAAGATTATAAAAGAGTTGTCAATATATATAAAATTAAAGATTAAATATGATTAGAGTATGTAACTTATATTTGACGAGATGATTGGATACGACTTGGATATTGACAAGTGTGAATATATATAATGTGATAGATCTAATGGTATTGACTAATATCAGAGATAGATAAGATGTTATAGGCTAATATTAGTAATAAATCAAATGTTATTGGCTAATATTGATTATATATTATATTTTATTAACTTATATAAGTAGTAAATTAGATGTGATAAATATATATATAAAGTACAGATTGACTGTTATTGATTAATATATATATCAGATCAGATATCATTTATTTTTATATATACTAGATTGGCAGTGTTCAGCTTATATATGTATGAGATTGACTGTTATCCACTTATATATATATCAGATTGGATATAATATGTTTATATATAGTACAGATCATCTGTTATCAGCTTATATATATACCCAATTGGCGGTCAACACTTATATATATACTAGATTGGTGGTCAACAGCTTATATATATACCAGATTGACTATTATCAGCTTATATATATATCAGATTAACTGTTATTGATTTACATATATATCAGATTAGCTGTGATCCACTTATATATATATCAGATTGGATATCATATGTTTATATATAGTGCAGATCACCTGTTATCAGCTTATATATATATACAATTGGTGGACAACAACTTATATATATACCCAATTGGCGGTCAACAGCTTATATATGTATAAGATATGATATCATCAGTTTGTATATATATCAGATTAGCTGTCATTAGCTTATATAGATATACCTGATTGGTGGTCGACAATTTATATATATACCATATCAGCTATCATCAGCTTATATATATATCAGATGGAGTATCATCTGTTGATATATAGTGTGCATCACCTGTTGTCATCTTATATATACACTGCAAAAGGAAGGTCAATTTAATATACTAAATCTTGATCAAATACTGTCTGAATGAATAAAATTCAGCATGAATTCGATCTGAATTTATGATGTCTATTTTTTAAAATTCGTGAGCTAAATGAATACAATTAGTATACTGAATTTTAGAAACGCAAAGAGATAAAGTGTGATATAGTTTTATGTAATATATTTTGGTCGTAAAAATATAGACGCACTTTTGTCAGACCGCACATTTTTCATTCTATATTGGTTTTGGGAGTTTTTTTAAATACAATGCATAACATTTAACATCTCTTTAATACTATATATGGGTTGTTAAAGAAGAGATTTGTTCAAGATTTAGTCAAGATTTAGACGTTTATAGGTCATTTTAAAGGTTTTTATTAGTGTGAAAAAATTTTCTCATTGTTTCTAGCTATTTCTATTCGTCTACATCACTAATCGTCTCGTGTTGCAATTGGATAAAAACATCACACTCATGATGCCATCATTTATTTTAGTGGATATTGTATTATTCCTTTCATATATCCATTGATCCACCCCTGGTACAATCGACCCCTACTGTATTCCATTGCTTGCTGTGGCATGCTTTCTTGGTCTGTTTGTTTACTTTTATAAAAAAATTATAGGGTGGATTAGAAAGAATGTTCTAGATATATTTATTTGAGAGCGACAGATTATTTAAAAAATATGAATGTACTTACAATAAAGTTAAACACGAGAACAGATGGATGTCTTTAACATAAAGATATGTATATCAATTTTTTAGTTAAATGTCTCAATTATTGTAATATTGTCTATAAAAATAATAACTTTTGTTAATACGATACAAAGTAAATAAGACCATAGTTTGCTTACCAGACAGTTCAGAAAACAGAAGAGTTGACAAATAGAAAATGCAATGACATTGTCTATAAAATATAATTTTTTATTAGAATGAAATAAAGAGTATCAGACTATTTTTTGCTTACCAATTATTCAATACAGTAGAAGAGGTGGCATGCGGAAAATAGAGATATTATCTATAAAATAATTTCTTTTCATTAGAATTACATACAAACAAATAGAATGATTATTTACTTACTTGTCTGTCTGTAGAGAATAAGAGTCAGTGTATAATCAAAAAAAGAGAGCCGAGATAAAGATCAGTGATTATAAAGTATATAGTATACATAAGAAAAATAATAAATACAAGTTGTATCTTGAAGATGTACATTAATATTTATACAACAAACCATTTTGTAAACCCTCCCGAGGTATATGTCTTTGCTAATGGGCCAGAAAAATCTACAGAATAATTAATATATAAATTGTAAATAAATATTCAAGTATATTTTTATTACATTTTTGTTGTTATTTTTGAGACAGTTAAAAAGAACTTGATGTTTTAAAGCATAGAGTATCATGCTAGAATAAAAACAACAAAATGATTAGGTCTTGAACCTTTGATGTGAGTTGATGCTTATCATGTTAGACATTAAGAAAGAAGTAAAGAAGAAGAAGGAAAAAATTAAAAAAAAAAACAGGGGAAATTCAAAATTATAATTTTATGACTGTTGACCCTGAGAAACTGATAGAATCAATTGAGCAAATTGAAAGTCATTCAACCCATCTCGATTGAGGCAAGACATTACATACTAAGCCATAATCTCTCACATCTTTTTAATGGATGTAAGCTATTACTAATGCCTTTCCAAGTCGGCTTAAAAAGAAAAGTATAATATAGAGATCAAAATGCTATAAAGAGCATCATCAGAAAAATAATCTTTTGGTGCCTTACTTTCCACCTTTACATATGTTTTGATTTATTTTATTATTTTAAAGAAACCCAACTCTAATTATTAAAGTATTCACATTGTTTCCATTTCTTTCATTAGTCTTAAATATCTCAATTCATGTCTTTTAATACGCAGCAAACCAAAAAAACAAAAAAGATGACTACAAAAAAGTCTGTTCAACAAACTGCTGGGACAGCAGCAAGCACAAGACAACGGGAAATTCTTCCCAGCTTGACAGTTGGCGCAGAGCTAGATGGTACTGTCCTGTCCACTTTGTCCACCATGAGCACCTGACTGAATGAATCTCATTCACTTCCGGAGAAGGTCTACCACAACATTGGAGCAACCAATGGCCAGAATAACAATTCGAACCATAGTCCCATCGGTCAGGCTCTTACTACAGGAGAATATATAAAGTACCACCTTCCAACGGTTTTGGTAGAATATATACTAGTAATAGAATATTGCAAAGTCACTTACATTATATTTTGCAGAGATTGATTCGTTCTCAAACACGAGCAGTTCTGGCAACAATGCCATTGACAGTCAATGAGAGCGCCTTCTCAACATCCAACCATCCCATTGCTGATGTAGTGCAGAACTACACACATCAGCAAGCTGAAGTAAAGTCTGTTTCGTCTGCAGTTGTGGAAGAGAAAACCCGAAGACATATTTTGTATATGCTTCAAAGGGCAAAAGCTTTGCCAGAAAAGATAGCTCAACAAAATCGGATTTCTCGACGCCGGTCCAGAAAGAGAAACGTAAGTATAGTCAACAGTTTTTGTGTAAACTATTTTAACTTTTTTTTTCAGATTCTTGCAGACTACAAGGCAATTCACTTAGCTGACAAGGCAATCCTTAAGTCTAAGTTTGGTGAGACTGTCGTTGACATTCTGGACTATGACATGTTGTCTGATATTGAGTCAGATGAGAAGAAAAATAAAACTAGATATACTCCTAGAAATAGACATCACTTGGTAAGGCTCTCATAATAAAAGTTATTTTTTTAATGCTTCTAACTCAAAAGTATTTATATTATAATGCAGGTGAATGAATACTTTACTGTTTTGAAGAAAAAGAGACTTGCTAACAAGGGACCAGACGTCATTGGAAATTCTGTCTATCCAATTATTTTGAGAAACACTGAGTTATCGAATGAGAAAAATGTGCGTGTTGCTGCTTGGATTCACACACGCCAACAATAAATTGTTATTTTGTTTACAAAGCGCATATAGTACTTTAATGATTTTTATTGATTGTGTTGAATGATGTGGGGTGAAGTAGTAAAATATAATCAGGCAGTATTGTCAAGATGAGAAGCAATTAATATATAAATACAAGAAAAAAGAAAAAGACAAAATCAACAATCAAAATAATAAATAAATTGTTACTTTATTTTATTTTATTTTATTTTAAAGCCAATTAATAAAATATATATATATATACAAAGCAATTATTTAATTATATAACCTTGATTGTTTTATTCTCGTTTTTTTTATTGGAAATTATAATACTGATATTAGCAAGAATATGTAATAAAGGCTAAGAAAATGGTAAATGTCAGATATTAAATATACAAGTATTTTGTCTTTTATATTATTGATAAAAGCAAGAGAAATAAATAATGGTTTTTACTATTTGTTAATAGTTAAAAAAACTGGTAATATAATTTACTATTGCTCTTTTAAATACTTAATAAAGAAGTAACGTTAAAACTTAATAAAAATAAAGAGATAAATAAAGATAAACCTTTTTACAGTCAAAAAACTCGTATTATAATTATTTATATTTATATTATATAGCACTGTATTTATTTATTTATTTTTATGTGACTACTTTTCTAGGCAGTGGAATGACAAGACGTTTTTGCGTCCTACTTTGCATTTTATGCGTAGTCAACACGAAGCATGAATGCAGACGATGCACTGGAACAATGCATGAAGAACTCTCTTCCATGTACTCCTTCTCCCACAACTCTAGACCTTGTTCAACTAACACTGGAAAAATAAAAAAAATACTATAGCTTTAAGTAATGAGAAAGGTAGTGGAAATGTCAGGGTTTTTTTTCAGCTCAGCCGTTTTTTTTATTTAAGTTGGGGGTGTATTTTCGACGTATTCTATTGGTTTAGATAGACAATAAAAAATTCATATTTTTTTGGCTTGCTATAAAATCACATCAAATAAAGTATTTGTAGTACTTGTTTCCTTTTTTATTTTATAATTCAAGCTATACACAATATGTTTCCCTCTACCCAAATCCACACCTTAGACTGTCACTGCATTAAATGTCACAACAGTCATCAGAAATCTTCTTATGCTGCAAAGCGTACTGAGACTCGTCGTAATAAGAGAGCTAGAGTTGAAGGTACCAGAATATTTGAGAATAGTATAATATATTCAGTGTTGGTTTTTTGTTTGCTGCGTAATAATCGTTTTAATTTTTTTTTTTATTTTTTATTTATGTTGTTTATTTTTAAACTTTTAATGAAACACAGCCGCAATGAGAAACATGGATGTAGATACTGAGGGTAAGAATTTTTTTATTTGAAAGCAGAAAAAAAAACTAATAAACTATTATATTCCATATTTGTAGTAATCCCGACTTCTCGTTCCAATTCTGTGGAAGCAATGGACGGTCAGACCAACTCACCTTTTTTGGATGCCGCCTCAATGTTTGACAATGACAGAGACGACAATGATTTCGATGACAATGTTGAAGATGAAGTCAATGAGATCGAGATTGAGGACTTCAACAGTGAAGGTCAGTGTGAGATATATAAAGAAAACTAAAAGAAAAAGAGAGTAAAAGAAAAATCAAGTGTTAATTTTTTTTAATTTTTTACAGACCCTTTTGCTGCTCCTGATATGCCCGAAAATGAAGTCCATCAATTCATAGCCATCTTTACGGTACTATTTGCTTCACGTCATGTTGTTGATAAGGGTGCTGCTGTCTTGATTGAGTTTATCAACAACCTGCTGAGAATCTACGATCAAGATTTTCAATTACCAACCAGTCTTGCCGGTTTACAAAAAATGACAGGATTTTCTGCTATTACAAAAGGCATCAAGAAATTTGTGGTGTGCCAAGACTGTCATACAGTATATCAGGATATCGTATCTGCTCCTCCTTGATGTGTTTCCTCAAAACTTGGTGCCAGGTCTGCATGCAACTGTAATTTGACGAAATCCATGTCTTCCAGTGCCTTGGTTGCAAAGCGTGAATATGTCTACCAATCCATTAAAAATACATTGAGCATTTTCTTCTGTCGCCCTAGTTTCGAAGCCAAGATTTGTGAATGGAATAAGGAGTTGAAGATGGTAGATACTCTGTGCAATGTCTATGATGGCGCGATGTGGAAGGAGTTGAAGGACAAGGAGAGTGTATCATTTGTGTTGGACCCACACTCACTAATGTTAACACTTAATATCGACTGGTTCCAGCCCTTTGATGGTGTCACTCACTCCTCTGGTGCTATCTATCTGGCCATCAACAACTTGCCCCGTGATGAAAGATTCAAGCCAGAGAATATTATTCTTGTAGGTCTCATGCCTGGTCCAAAGGAGCCAAAAACCGACGAGATCAATAGTTACTTGGAGCCCTTGGTGGATGATTTGAAGCAGCTGTACGTTGGCATGCGGATTCCTACACACGAATTCCCAAATGGTGTCAGTGTTCGTGCTGCACTACTGATGGTTGCATGTGATATCCCAGCCGCTAGAAAGACAAGTGGATTCACAGCGCATAACAGCACATGTGCTTGTTACAGGTGCAGCCGGCAGTTTACTTGGTTAGGGAGCAGCAACCAGGTTGATTTCCGTGGATTCAATTATTCTCGTTGGAATATCCGCAGTGGTGCAGAGAGCAGGTTGCATGCTGAGGAGTGGAAGGATGCAAGTACACTCTCAGAAAGGCATCAGCTGGAGGTCGAAAATGGTGTTCGATGGTCGCAGTTGCAACGCCTTGGATACTTTGATCTAGTACGTGGAACGATCATTGATCCCATGCATAATCTTTTCCTGGGGACGTCTAAGAGATTAATGGATTGGTGGATTGATGAGAAGACAATTGGACCTGAAGAGTTTGCTTCGATGGAGAAAATTGCAGAGACAATGGTACTACCCAGAGATTACACCACACTGACAACCAAAATTGGAAAGGGCTTCAGCTACATGAAAGCGGACGAGTGGAAATCATGGGTTCTGGTTTATTCTCCTGTCTTGTTGCATGGTATTCTCCCTCCATTACAATTCAAGAACTGGATGTATTTCGTTGATGCATGCCGATACTACGTAAAGCCCAGCATTACTTTTGATGAGATCACCACTGCCCACAGCCTGTTAGAAAAGTTTTGCAATGCATGTAACGTAGACTATACCGCCACTATTCTCACCTGCAATATGCACCTACACCTCCATCTTCATGAATGCATTCGTGATTTTGGACCAGTGTATGGTTATTGGCTCTTTGGGTTTGAGCGATACAATGGTATTTTAAAGAATTTCAAGACAAATGGCAAAGACGGTTTTGAGGCGACCTACATGAAAAATTTTGTTCAGAATGCGTATAAGGGTGATTATGTCAATGCTGTTCTTAAAAGTTCTAGCCAGATCCCCTTCATTCACACTCTGTCTAAACTTGTTACAACCTCCATACCTGCCGCCACAGTCACCACTCTCTCCAGTCGCCCATTCAGATTGCAAACATTCGTTCAAGGCTACACTGATCCTTATAATCCACCCAAGGGTAACGAGCCTCTTCCTCCTTCTACATTTCCTCTAAAATACAAAAAGCCATCAGTAATGGATGATTCCGACTATCTCCATTTACTTGAATATTACCAAGTCGTTTACAACCTCCCAGACCTTGCCAGCTATCAGGACACGTCCTATAATCGCCCAGCACTTGACAATCAAATCATCAAATTGAAGTCAATTGACATTCTTGGTCAACACTATCGAGGAACAAACAACAGCACAATCAGTCGCGGATCACTTGTTCAGGCAAAGTTTGTTGGTAGTAATGGAAACATTATACTTGGATTTGCTGGACAAATTCAGTATCTTTTTACACACTCCTTCCAACTTCCACCCACGCACAATCTCCATCTGACTCGCATGGTTCATGATCATCAACATGTATTCGCATTTATCAAGTGGTTTTGTACTTCCTCTGATAGGTCGCGTGAGGATGACGGTGTTGAATTTTGTTTGCCCACGTTCTCTCCTGATAGCTACCATAGCATTATACCTGTACATCGCATCTTATTAGAGGTTGCTACAGCTACTATTGCGACAAGTAGAAATGTTAGCAAAATGCTGGTAATTCCATTGCCAAAGAAGCTATATGCTTAAATAATAAATAAAGTGAACTTTTACATTTCTTTTTCTTTAACAAAAAAAACAGAGCGCATATTTCTGATATATATATTGATAGTATTTTGTATGTGAAAAGTAATATATAGATAAAAAGAGAGAGGCAATTTTTGTTTATTTAATACCCGTCTCTAAGGGCCCACTGAGGAAATTTGGGGGTTATGTCATCTGGGACTGCTGTATTGGACACACTGGTGAAAACCCTCTCCTTCATTTGAGAAGCACTTGACCCCATTGCTTCAATAACATACTCATCAACGAGTTTAATGAGAGTATTGAACTAAAATGATTTTGTTAATACTTCACTTTATATTTTTTATAATAAGACATAATTATTAATATAAAATAATATACCTCGTCACTTCTCCATCCTGGCCGAACAATCTTGACGATGCTCTTCGTGCGATTCTCGAAGTCTTCATCTGCAGATTCTCCATTGGACATTGCTGCCATTTGCATCGTGAAGTCACAATCTCTCTTCATTTGTAGATCAATTGCTTCTTTGTTGTCTGTGTATGCAAGTAAACGGCGAGTATGATTCTAATAGTAGTTTTTTTGTATTAGTATTTTTAAAATTCTCAAGACTAAACTATATTATTTTGAAATTATTTATTTAGAGATTACACTTACATCTCTGGCACGTCCTGCCCTTCTCGAACGAGTGTTTGTTGCTTTTATTTCCTCTTCGGTTTTTCTTGCTTTTGAAACCCGGCTGGTGAAGTTTTTGTGCAGTCTTGCTCTCAAGTCTGCCTCTCTAAATCCCTCATGGGTAAACTTGCGCTTCAAGTTTTCAAGAAGTCGCACCACCAACTCCTTGTTTGGCGACTTGTAAAAGAAAACATTTGTATTCCATCTGGGCTTACTCTCATTTGCCAGGATATCAGCTTGATTTCTTGTTTTCAGCTTGGGATCCCACATGAGATTACGAATATGGGCCTGATAGAATATATGAGAAAATACATCGATAAAATTTTGCACACGTTGATACTCACATAAACATCATTAGAGGCCTTCTTGCTAAACTCAGACGGGGCGTTGAAGGCAGGCTGAGAAACATTAGCCATTGTATTGGTAGGGGAAACGAGGGGGGCCCTGCTTAAACTGTCAATAGCAGTGATTGTCTCAGTGCTGCTGGTGGCAAGAACACCAATTCTGCTATTCATGTTTAGCAATGTATCTTCAACAGTGCCGATTTGTTCTTGTACAATCGACATGTCAGCTGCCATGTTGGTTCCCATGGCTGTCATATTAGTTTTCAAAGTAGAAAGAATTTCCATCAATTGTTCGTTTGTAATCTCAACGGGACGAAGAGCAAGTTGACGTCTTTGAATAGCCATTGTCTACAGAATATAATAAAAGGTAAAAATGTAACTGTTAATTTTAGATTACATTGTTATTGATGCTATTATACAATTGAATTGAATTGAATTAAAAATAAATTATATCAAATTTACATACTTAAATTATTTGAAATAAAATGGGTTGATGTGTGTGTGTTTGAGTATGAGTGCAATAAGTAGCAAGAAAGCAGGAGAAAGAGTAAACAAATTGTATAAAACGTATGGTTTATATAGATATTCAGCATATCTTTGATATATAAGTCTCTATTAATACTTCTTGTAATCACTGAGATGCAAATCGGCTTTCATACTGCTTTAGAACCCAATTGATCAAACCAGTCTAGTCTTTTGTTTCAAACGCACTTTTCTTTTTTCTTTTTTTTTCTTTTTTTGTTGTTGTTCCTGTTTCTCTTTTTTTTTGCTCTTTATATTTGCTATTGGTCTTTTCTTTGTTTCTCTATCTCTGCAACTTCTATTATATTTGCAAACTATTTGTGTAAGACATGTTCTTTCTAAAAAGTCTTCTTTATAGAAAATAAAAGAATTTATTTATTCTGTTGCCATAGACACACTCTTCGTCGCTGTCTACACCCATTTTTTTTTATTTTTTATTAGTCTTTTTTTTTAATCTGCTTTTTTAAAGTACTTTTTTTATATAACTAAAAAGAATTAGTTGTTTCAGTTGCCATAGACACTCGCCCTCTCTTTTCTTTTTACTTCTTTCTTTCTCTTTTACTCTTATACTTGCAAATGTTCCTGGTAAGGCGCTTTTTTTCTTTATTTTTCTTTATTAGTAATTTCTTCAAATATAGCTGAGTAATAACAAGTGTTTCTGCTACCATAGTCACTCGCGTATAGTTTCCTTCTGATGCATCCTCTTCACAATGGCCATCCGGATTAGCCAAGGTTAGTAAATATACTTCATACCATCATCTCATAAAAGTATCCTGATTTTTTCCTTTCTTTTTTATAGGACATATCACCCAAAATATTTTCTACAGCTAAACACGACCACCAACACGGTAATATTTTTATCTATTTATTTATTATATTTCTCTTTAATATTAATCAAACTGAATCCAATTTTTACTATAGATGAACAACCCTCTCTAAAACATGCTATGAATCAAAAGCTTCTATCTCATGCTGCTGTCATTGACATGGTAAGACTTTTTTTGTTCTTTTACTATCCTTATATGTATCATTATATTATTTATACTGTTTATTAATAAAAAAAAAACTACCAGATACTATATCGACTTTTGATAAGTATTATCTATATCTACAAATAAATCCGTTTGCTTTGGGTATGTAAATTAATAATTATATCGCCCAATTCACAAAAATTAATTTTTTCCAATCATTTTCTTAGTCAAAGGAATCAAAATTCCGTAGCTTTACTTGTAATATTTTATTGTTTGGTCTTTGTACTGGATAATTCCAATATAAGTATTAATGGTTTATAAGAATTGAAATATCCAACACACACGCACACCCATCACTAACGATTTATCTATTCTCAAAAAGTACTGCTCGTACCCCAAAAAAAACGTATTGAGCAGCTCATTTTTTTTTAGGTATTTCTTTTTTGTAGAAAATTTTTCATCCCAAATATAACAAACCGACCGAGCAAGAAGTAGCTAGAGATATAGAATAGTATTATTAGATCTGAAACCTAGAAACATTCTATTCTTTCCAATAAAAATAAAAGCGTAAACCATTACTAGCCTAATAAGAACGGGAAACCAAGTAAATAAAGAACATATTACTGGTCCATAATTTTAAAGACGCCTTTTTTTGCTGCTGATGACCAAACTTCTTAACAATAAACTAGCTTAAAGGTCACCTTTGCGCTACTTTTAATCTTCATAATATGTCGGTGCCTGACCTTTATGGTTCCATATAAAGAATATCAAAATAGATACGCAGTTTTAAAAAACTTTCTTTTTATATATCAAGTCAGATAAGTATATCTAAAGTGCTAACAAACCTTACCTGCGGCACCCCCCACCCACAATTCCGCTAGTTGACTCTAGTCATTCCACTATCTGTGAAGGTCACCTTCAGCACAAGTGGAAAAAAAAATCAACTAATTTAAATATGGAAATTACACTACACTATACCCCATATTTAAACTACCTTATTTTTTTTAATTTTTCCAGTGAATGAAGTTGATGTATGGTTTATTTGGGGGTAGAAATCAAAGATTTTGTCAGTGATTTCAGTTTTGGGAGTGTATCATATTGGCGGGACTGCCTGAACAGCCTGAACAGTCTCAACAGTCTCAACAGTCTCAACAGTCTGGAAATATGTTACTAAACTTACTTCATGTATTTAGGCAAATGTTCATTTTTTGGAGGCAGTCAGATCTTTGATACATGTTTAATGATTCAAAAAATAAAATAAAAAAGCATTGAAAATAAAGATAAAAAAATAAATAAATAATAATATGAATAATAATAATAAAACTTGATAAGAGATAAAGAGATAAATATAAAAACAAGAGAATGGAATAAAAAAGAAAAATAAAATAAAAAGATTTACAAAATAAGATATATATTAATATTATTGAATAGAATTCCATTATGAAATCCATATCTTGGTAGTTAATACAGAATAGAAAAGTCCTCTAGGCTATGTTTTTTACTATGACTTTGTGAAATAGGTTTATTTGCAGCCAATTGAAGTTTCTGGTTAGTTTGCATTTTGCAAGGAGAAAATTGTTGATGTCTAGAATAAGTATAATGGGTTCGAATTTGTCTGGTGTGGTAGTGAATGGTACAAAGAGACAGTCGCCAGTTTCTCTTGGAGTATTCTAATATATATGGCTACGGTTCTGTTATATGCATTTGCTACGAGTTGTGGATGGTCAATTGTACCAAACTAATGCTGTTCAGGGAGGGGCTAGTGTTTGTCTTTTAGGCTGATGATTAATGGGTTTGTGGATGCAGACATATGGCCGTGCTTCATTCTTTCTCAATAATGAGTGTGTTGATATTTTAAATAATTTTCTAACATTTTGTCTTTGACTTCAGGCCATCGTTCCTAGTTCTGATATACTTCTATTGCTATTGCTCTATAGCCACAATTGCCATCTGGTTCTGGAAAGAATACCTGAGATATTTGGTGTGAGCAATTGTAAGATTAGTCAGAAGTGTATGATCACATAGTGAACCTAGATTAATAATTTTTTTAATGCTTTTTGCTGTTTTTCTAAAGATAATTCATGTCTAAAAAATCGAAAAAAGTTGAATGAGTCAAATCTGAACAATATGTTATAATAAAGACTTACTTTTTTTTTGTTGTTTCTTTTTTTTCTGCTTCAAGACAGTGCTCTAGGGCAATCATTTTTCTTTTTGTATTTTTAGATCTGTCTTTGATGGCTTCCACTACTATTGGATCATTAAGGTTCTCAAGTTTCTGCTTGGAGTCTAGTTCTATTATTTTGTTAATGTATTCTTCGAAATGCATTTGCTGTTGTTTGCTTTGGTTGTTGATAAGTATTTAAGTAACCCATTCAAGCTTATATGCGAGTTGGGGTGTTATTGTGGTGATTTTAGTGATGTTTTTAGGTACAGGTAATGCATTGTGAATAATTGAGTGATTTGTACATAATTATATATAAAAAGAGAAAATAGTTTAATAACATATATATATATATATTATCTTCTCCTTCTAAGTAGTTTATTCTCCATTGTCTGGGAATGTAAGAAATTGGGATTTTTTTATATTGTGCAAGTTGATGGTAGCAGGCCAAGAGATAGTTGTAGTTAATGAGGCATTTGCACTCTTTTGTGAGTTTTTCAGGTATAATTGATTTGACAAGTTCAAGTTTAATGTGATCCATTACAAAATGACAAATTTTGTGGCAAATATCATTCAGTTTACCAAAAGAAGTTTCAAGGGCATACTTCAGAGAAGCATGTGAACTTTCTGCATGGTTGGAAGTGCAATTTCCAAAGTGAGGATGCTTAAAAACATAGGTGCTTGCCCCATTCTCTTTGTCATGTATATTTTTGATAACGTAAATAAAAAATAATGTTATTATTTATTGTTAACAAACTGTTTTCAGCAAATATAACAGCACTTTGCATACCTCTCAAGGAAAGCTTTCGTACTTTTTTCTTGATCTTTACAATTGTCTTTTGCAAACCTGAGATATGCATCAATCTCTTTTTTCTCTTCTTTGGAAGTGGTGCACTTCAATGTAATTTGGTCAAGATAACTGGCTAACTCGTTCAAGAAGTCTCTCTTGTCCCCATTCTTGTCTTTCTTCATCATTGACAATAGCTGCTTCTTAAAATTATTCTTAATGTGCTTATAGCACAACAGCTGCTTACACTCAGGGAAAGCATTTGTAATTGCATTCCTCAATGCTTTCTCATTGTCAGTGATAAACACACTTGGAAGTAGAAGTGTTGCGGTGGTTGTGTAGCTGCTGCTGCTATCATTAACATCTGGCCAGACAGAATTGTGCAGACAGAAAAGTACCCATAGATAGTTGTCTATCGTTTTGTGATCTACCCAGGCTCCAGCAATTGGGAAAGTCTTCATAGTTGTATGGGGGGTTCCACTTACATTACTAATATCAACAATGTTGACATATGTCATTTGGTGACTATTTGTCTTTTATATAGCATCTATTACAATGGTTTCTGGCAGTCTTCTTACTTTGTCAAAGGCATTTTTATGGATGAAAAACAACATGTTGATTTTGTTTACCTTATTATCACCAATACTGTACCGGACATAAAAGTCTAATTCTTGCAATGCAGTAATGAAACTAAATATTTCTCTTCCTTCTTCTGGCTTTCTGAATTGTTGTTTGATATTTTTGATATCTTGACAGATAAAACTGGTGTACTCACTTCTCTTCAAGTTATTGAAGATGGTGGATACATCATCGTTTTCTTCAAGGTGTTGGACAACAAGAATAATAGCCTCAGGTTCAAGCTTTCAATGCATAGCATATGCTCTGCGGTCTTCTACAATCTGATGATTGTGTTTTGCCTCACAGGAGTGGACTACAATCTTTTCTTCTTTCTTTTTTGAGGCATACACAAAACAAGAACAGTCACTCTTTTGGGTATCCTTTACTTGTTGTCTCTCCCACTCAGAAATAGGGGTTTTTTGGTTGACAGAGACTTTTGGAACAATTTTTCAGTCTTTCTAGTATCTCTATACTTTTTATAGTGCTTACAGATTATTCTTATACAGGTGCTTGAGGAAGAATAAGTAGTGAATGCAATATTATGCTTAGTACCATATGCTTTTGTGGCTTCACAAAAGGCTACAGTTGAAGAGAATTCTCTTCCAATAAGAAATATCGAGTTGAACTTGGTCAGGGCAGCATTATACTTCTTTGAATAAGTCTCACTAACAATGACATAGTTATTGGTCACTGCAAAAATCCACTGAAATACTATGGTATAAAACTACCTGTAATATAGTGTAATTTTGGGGTTTAACGTCTATCTTTGGTGTGATTTGATATGATACTAAAGGTAGCTTGAGAACAAGTGCCGTGTTGTACCCAAGATGTGGAGTAAATCTTGGAAAAATGACCGAGTAGGGTTCATTAGTATTTCTGTGTGTGCACTGGCGTAGTATGAAGTATTAAGAAGGTTTAGTTTAAGTTTACGTTTTATTGTGATACACGGGTTACGCCAGTTTAAAAAACGATATGCAGGTACTTGATTCATGTAGTAAAGATAGGATTGTCGACTGTTTTAACCAATCCTTGACACTCTTTATTATGAGGTCATCCATAGTATGCTTCCCCAATTACTTGATATTCAGTTATTATTGGTTTAAAATATAGTTTATTTTTTGTATTTATTAAAAAAAAATTGTTCTGGACTGATGATCTAGTAGTATTATTGTATACCCTGAATCCTTTCTATTGGCCTGCTTGATATTATTTTGGATCGGGTGGTTCTTTACCCAAAAAATAAAATGCCTGAAAAATAAAAACAATATGCTGTTTGATATGATAGAGCAATGTTTAGAAAGTATGAACAAGAAGTGCGTTTAATCAAAAGGATTATGCTTTCTATATTCTACAGATATCAGCATTTATACAAACTTATACTTACACAACAGCTGTTTGTTGAGAATAGACAGAATTTTTTTTTGAGGATGGTAAAGATGACGTTTAATATGATTCCTTTGACTATGAGAATAATTGACAAAAATTAGTTTGGATGAATTGGATGCTAGAGAAATTCATTTACCTTTATAAATCAAGAGAATACATTTGTAAGCCAAGAAGTACTTTTCAAGAGCTAATATAGCATCTAGTAAAAGAAAATATTATATTATTATAGTGTATCAATAATATTCACATATAGATATTCTTTAAAAAAAAACTTACTATTGCAATGTCAGTAGCATGAGATAAAGACTCTTGATCTATGGCGTGTTTGTGAGAGGGACGTTCACCTATAATAAAAAGTATATTTGGTTCAATAAAAATTAAAACATAATATAATAAAAAAATAGATATAAAATATTACTATGTTGATAGCTGTGTTTAACTATAGAGAGTATTTTTGACGATATGTTCTTTATGAAAGAAAGAGAAAAAGTTAGAATAATGTTATGAGCTGATGGCAAGAAGTACATTTACTAACCTTTACTAATCCCAATGACCATTGTGAAGAAGATGCATCAGAAGAAAATAAAACGCTAGTATCTACAACAACAGAAACAATTATTATTTTCAGTTATATATATATATATATATTATTTTAAATAAGTCATCTTACCAGAAGAACGCGTGAAAATAATGAAAGTTGAAAAGAAAGAGAATAGAAGAGAAAAAGAGAGAAGAGAGAAAACAGTAAAATGGGGAAAAAGTAGAAAATAAAAAATAAAAATAAAAAAAGCCAAAAGACCAAAGGACAGAAGGATGGAAGGACAAAAAGACAAAAAGACAAAAAGGCCATAAGCATATATTAGATGGAGTTCAAAATAAAGTAATATGAAGGCCAATTCTCATTTAGTATTCAAAGAAGTTATTTTGAATATATTCATAAAATAATATTCATTGCATATAAATATTCTCAGACCTTTAATATCATTGAAAGTTTGTTCTTTATTTATTGTTGCGCACTTAATCACAAATCTTTACCTACTCACTCACCTACCCAAACATCCACACAAACGATTTCAATCTACCTCTGCAGGTTTATTATAAAAGACATAAAATATATATGAATTTGTATAATAGACTAATATTAATAATTGCAAAATGGGCAATACAACATTTATTAGAAAATGTCTGGAAACTGTCATATTCTCCCTGAGATTACTGTGGGAGAGAAAAGAATCATTGCCAGCCTTGCTGGTATGCAAGCTAACATAAAAGCAGTAAAGCGTCAATTGTCTGACATGGGCAAAAACGTTGGTGCCATTGCAGCAACCAGCTCTGATAACGCTGTACCAGCCAGCACGGTTGCCAACCCCATTCCTGCTCCCATTGTTGCCACCATCCTTGCTACTGCTAGTACCGAGATCACTGCACCTCCCAAAGCAGATTTTGCTGCGGAACCAAGTAAGGCCAATACCAAAAATGTCTATATATGTATTCGAATATATAAAAATATATCAATTCAGTATTTAATTATAATCAAACAGAAATTCATCAAAGGGTACATGTGGGATCCCAACTTTTGGTCAGACAAGCCTGCTTTGGGGCAGACAAACGAAAATAGGTCCAGGTGGGTCACTACAGTTTGCTTTTGCATTTCGCCTAACCAAGAGTTAGCTAAGAATGTTTTTGACTATCTGGTGCCCAAGTTTTTTGGTGTTGGAATGAGAGAGGCAAACCTGAACAAATATGTCTACATGACTTACTGTTCTTGTAAGAGTGAGCAAAACAAGGATAGAGAGGCCAGGAAGAAGTTGAATACTGTTTCCAGAAGACATAGGCATGAGAAGGAGGTAGTTTATATTTTTAATTGACTTCATTTTATATTTTTCTTGATATAAATTAGCAAAAATTCTTAATTGATATTTTTATTAGCACTTCAGACGTTGCAAGGCAGCATACAATAAGAATAAGATTGCCATTGACAAAAAAATGGCGCAAGATTGCTCTGCTCTGCTCATCAGGAAAGCAATGTCTGAAGGTGAATCAGACAGCGATTCAAGAGGCTCGACTTCTTCCCAACTGATTTGGATCTTGCATCTAGAATGGAGAAGCAATGAGACAAATTTTTCAGATAATTTAAATATTTTTTTGTTTTCGTAATGTATAATAATATATGGATAAGAATATTGTCCTTTGTATAATACAATCGTTTGATTGAACTCGTTGATGAAGCTGTTATAGCTGATTTGAGCAGCAATGCCCATCAGTTACTGAAACAAATTTGGTTAAGAACCACAGATTTGGCAGTCCCAGACGCAATTGCATCACAGTTATCTCAGTAGGCTCTTAGAAATGGACCCTAAATAAAATATGCAAATTCTTTTTTTTAAAACAAAAAAAAACTTTTCATCTATGCCTACTTCCTACACTCTAATTATCAAAAAAAATATAAAAAGAGGTATTACTCATCTTTGGAATTTCCTTTTTGTTTTTCTTTATAGAAAGAGGGGGATAGAGCATATTTATTAATAGAAATTTTAGACATAGTAATTTTTGGGTAAAGGAATGACGAGTGGTTTTTTTGATATTATTTCTTGCTTTTCTAGTAGCAGTTGCAACTTCCATGTCAATGCGATGTACTGGCAGAATGCTATGGTAATTGTCTGGCATGAAGTTTGGCAAGTAGACATCAATGCTTTCAGTTTTGCGCCTTTTATCAGCTGTAATTGATAACCATCGAATATATGCAAAGATGTGTTTTTTTTGATGGACTTGGGATACAGGAGAGTTCGGATGTGGTGGGGGTGTAAATGAATGAATGAACAAGTACTGAATTTGTCCCGTCAATGCGGTTTTAGTTATGTTGTTGCTGCCAAGAAACATTGCTTGTACAAAAGACCCACAATTTCCAGAACTGTTTTTGCCTTTATATATTTGGCCAAGGAGATTGATTGATTTTAATTTTGTGATTTGATTATCAACAAAATAAGGGCATAAGGAAGCATTGTGGTAACTAACAATATCAGGATTGGCATATACAAGCTGATAAAAATGAAGTAATTGAGGATAATCAATATCACTCATTGTTGATGCGTTTAAGGAACATAATGGGAAGGATGATGGAGGAAGTGGTTCGTTGCCTTTCGTTAAAGGTGATAGGCATAAGAATATGTTAACAAATTGTTGCAATTGGAAATTTTGGCGTGAAAGGGGGGCATAGGAGACATAGGAATCATAGTTGGCAGTAGTTGTGGCAGAAGAAGTAAGTTTTTGAAGGAGTGGAATAAAGGGGACTAGGCTAGGGCATGTCAAGACCTTTCGCATGTAACCACCCTTATATGCATCATTAATGAATGTTTTCATATATGTAGCCTCAAATCCGTCTTTTCAGTTGGTGTCAATTTTTTTAAGCAGCCCATTGTACCTCTCAAACCCAAGGAGCCAATAACCATACACTGGTCGAAAATCGTTGATAGTCTCATGAAGATGAAGGTGCAGGTGCATGTTGCAGGTGAGAAAACCAGGTTTATATATCACTAGGCATTGCTGACAGAAACTCTGCAGATAGTCGTGAGCTTTGTTGATTTCAGACATGGTAATTGATGGCTTTACAAGAAGATGGCATGCATTTACAAAATCTATCCAGTTCTTCAACTTGTGTTGCGGCAGAATATTCTTCAAGAGAGCTGGAGAGTATACTAATACTCAGGATTTCTATTTGTCTGCTTTCATGTACGAGAAACCCTTCCCAATTTTGGATCTCAAAATTGTGTAATTGGCTGACAGCACCATTGATTCTGACGTTTTTTGCATTGTGGCCAAAGCTGCTGGTGATATGTTATTTTCTTTAATCCATTTTTCAACCATTCTTTTTGCCGTTCCCAGGAAAAGATTATGCATGGGATCAATGATTGTTCCACGTACTAGATTAAAGTATCCAAGACGATACAACTGCGACTATTGAACACCATTTTTGACCTCCAGCTGCTGTCTTTCTGAGGGGGTACTTGCACTTTCCCACTCCTCAGCATGCAAACGGTTCATATCATTATTCTTTGGCTGTCATTGGTCTGTGTCGAATTCAGAAAAGTCAACAGCAGAACTGCCTTTCAGGCAAGGGAATTGTTTGTTACATTTGTAACATGCATGCGTGCTATTGTGTGCAGTGAATCCACTGGTCTTTCTTGCTGCAGGAATGTCACATGCTATCATTAATAATGCTGTACAAATCCAGGTGCCTGCTGGGTGTTTGTAAGTGGGTACATGTATTCCAAAATACAGCTGCAATAATTCATCCACCAATGGTCTTAAGTAGTTATTGATTTCGTCAGTTTTTGGCTCCTTTGGCCCAGGCATAAGTCTAACTAGAATCGTGTTCTCTGCCAAAAATCGTTCTTCTCAAGGAAGATTGTTGACAACCAGGTACATGGCACCACATGAATAACTGGCCCCATCGAAGGGCTGGAACCAATCGATGTTCAACGTGATCATTAACAAATGAGGGTCTTCAACAAAGGATTCGCCATCCTTTTCTTCCAACTCTTTCCACATATCGCCATCATATACATTGCACAACGTATTTATAATCTTTAACTGCTTATTCCACTGTCTGATTTTTTGCTTGAAATCTGGGCGGAGAAAGAGCAATCTTAGTGCATTTTTTACTGATTGGTAACAGTATTCACGTTTGGCAACCTGGAGACCAGAGGAAGATTTTTTTGTCAATTGACAGTTGCATGCAGAATGCGCGCCAAGCTTCATGAAGTCACAATGGGAAGGAGCCAATGCACTTTTCTCATATACCTTGTGGCAGTCCTGACACACAAGGAATCTCTGAACGTTTTTGTTCATGGCGGAGAAACCTGTCATACATTGGAGACCAGGAAGGCTCAAGGGCAATTGGAAATCCTGCTCGTAAATTGTCAAGAGCTTGTTGATGAACTTGATCAAGACAATGGCACCCTTGTTGACCACATAGCGGGAAGTGAACATTACCACAAAAGTAGCAATAAACCTGTGCACTGGGTTCTCAGGCATATTGGGGGTGGCAAAAGGGTCTATTATAAAAAAAATTAACACCCCCATTTTTTTTCTTAGTTGTTCAATACTGACCTTCATTATCAAATTCTTCAACCTCAATTTCAACAATATCTTCGACCTCTTCACTTTCTTCTTCGTCATTGTTTGTGTCATTGTTATCATTAGCATTGTCAATAACCTCATTGTCAATAGTCATGTTGTCATTGTCAGACATAATATCGGCTTCCCAAAAAGGTGAGTTGGTCTGACCGACTGATATTTCTGAGGGGCCTGCTTCCTGGGACAGAAAAGCTACATATAGAATAAAACTCTTAGTTTATATTCTCTGGTGTTAAAATATATTCTGCTTACTTTCAACATCAACTTCCATTGAGCTGCTTTGAGCAGATGTATCTATTAAAAAGTATTATTATACAAAATACTCCCAAAAAATAAAAACAAAAAATTCCAAAAAAAAAGTACTCATTTCACTTCTTTTGAAGGCTTCATATCTTGCTCTTTTGTTATAGCATTGAGCAGTTCGTCTTTGAGCTAGACTGTAACCTTCTTGGTTATTTTTGCATTCATTACAAAAGTACTTCTTATTATGAGTATTCGAAGTAGAGGACATTATGTTTTTTTAATTGTTTAAAATGTTAAAGTAAAATAGAAACAAGTGTTATATATTTTTTTATTTATTACGACTTTATAATAATGATGATAAAGTAACTATTATGATCGAAATAGCTAAGCCAATAGAATCCAGTACAATGACACTATTAGTTTGAATACAAAAATAACGCTGAGATAAAAAATCACCCTAAATTTACTATGGTGTTCAGGTACCCCCACACATAGATATTCAGGGTCATTTTTCCAGTGGGTGTTATTGATATTGCTCATCTTAGAATGTCAAAAAAATTATGCACTGATGTTGTAATAAAAAAAGAGCAGTGATTTTATTGGCAAACTAAAGAACACTTTATATAGTCCTCCCTACTCCCTCTGCCCAAAAAATTGAACATTTGCCTAAATACGTGAAGTAAGTTTAGTAACATATTTCCAGACTGTCGAGGCTGTTCTGGCTGTCCCACCAATATGACATTTACCCAAAGACGTGACTAAATGACGTAATACATTTTCAGGCTGTCCTTCTAGGCTATCCTGCCACGCTATCCATAAGTTTCCCCTAACTTAATAGTCTGTTTATAAGTTGACATTATACCAAACAAATATACGTTTTTGGTTAATGCAAGAACATTCTACAGCACTTATGTCACAATGTTATAGCCGGCAAGCCGAAGCTTAAACAAAAGGGGAAGTGCAAACCAATTGTTCCAAAAAGAGAAAAGAGGAAATGAACCTCTTTTTGTAATTAGTTACTTTGACTCTCTCTCATATTCTCACATAGCAGAAGCAATAATTCAATTAATATTCTTATAGATGAGACATTATATTGAATAAGACCTGAAGACAAACATTCCAAATAATTAGTATAAATATCAATAGCAATTGGTCATACTAAAATTATCTTTTATCTACTATATTATTTTGTCTGTTTGATTGTACTTCTTTAAGTATACTTCTTTATTATCAAGTATACTTCTTTGTGTGTTTTTATATTGCCGGGCTGTTGATATGTTTTTTACGCAATCTGATAACACTGATGCGTGTGGTACTTTGTTATGTGTATGGTGTGTACAAGAAAAGCAAGGTATGGGTAATAATAAGGGTTGAACTCCGTAATGAGATAGGATTATTTGAATTGAGAAACAATTGTAATGAAATGTAAATTAAATAAGAGAAACTACTTCTAGAAGGGAAAAATAGAAGGAATTTCAGAAGGGAAGAAATATCTAGAACTAGCAAAAGGAAATAAATAATGCTAATGTAAAATAAACTAAGTTAAGGAAAGTATTCAGAGAATAAAAGATTAAACATTAACTAAGAGAATTTCTAAGGTAATTTTAGAATGAAAAATAAAGAGAAAATTTAACAAAATGAAAATTGTAAAATTCGAGGGGAAGAAAAATAATAGAAAAATAATAGAAAATAGTCAATCTTCCACGAAGACTTGACAAAGAAAAACAGTAAATAGAAGAAAAATTCACGAGAGATCAGGGAAAGTAGACAGCATCTTTAGAGAAAACTTTTGTATCAGAAAAATTTGACAATTGTTTATTGATTGATTTTGAAGGGTTATTTATACTACTTCTTGGATAAAATTTATGGCGAAAATAGGTTGCACTGATGTCTAGGAGATAATTGTGATAAAAAGATAGACAAAATAATTGTAATCAGGATTTGTCATAAAAGAAAAATAAATAAAGTTATAATACATAACTACAGAGAATGGAAAAGATCGGGAAGGAGTATGCTATAAAGAAATAGAAAAACTACAGTTAACAATTTTGGTAAAGTAGTGTCAAGAGGAAAACGTCACATTTAGTGCGTAAGAAAAGTAAGAAAAATAAAAGAGGGACAAACTAATTTCGAGAAAGAATAAAGGGAAGGGAAATTTGTCTTCAGAAAATTGGAGAAGAATAAAAATAAAAATAACGAGAAGTCAGATTTTTAGAATAAGAAATAAAAATAATATAAATAAAATTAAAATTAAAATTAAAATATAAAATTATAGTTGGGGGTTTGAGACTTTGTAACTGATTAAAAAGGTTGAAATCGATTGAAAAAAGAACTCTTACTGCAGCCGATAAAACCCACAATGCGCCACATTAACATCATTGTTGGTTTCTTGGTGTAGGTAAAAGATTTTTATTGAAAGGCTAGTGGGCACACGCACTATAGAGCTATTGCCCGCCTTTAAGAGTACAAAAAAGAATAATAGAAAGAAAAAAAATCCAAGGGGGAAAATGGGAAAAACTAGAAAGGGAAACTAAGCTAGGGGATATAAAAAAAGGGAGATAAGGATAAAATATGAGGCATGTATGAAACTCATGCAATAAATGGAAACTAAGACTAATATAGATCTAAACTAAAAATAAAAGGAGATGGCCAGTCTCATTTGGGTAGCCAGTTCAAGAAGAGTTGTCCTCTGTCTGTTGCAGCATGATCAGCAAGATCAACCCCAGAGAAACAGATCTGTTCTATATCCAACATGATTCTACAAAGAATTGGCCAAGTAAAGATCTAGAAGGCATTGTTCTTGTTGTTTTTAAGTTTCTTCAGAGGCAGCATATTGAGTACATAATCAATTGGATTAGGTTGTACTGTAGAATAGAGATGGAGACGAATTGCAGCTCCAGTACACTCAATAACATGATGACGGCTGGTGGTATGCAATCCTCAGGAACAAGGTTGAGGACGTCCAGTGAGCCACCCCATACGCCAACGTATGAATCTACTACGTTCATAGTTAGTCATGGGAAGCCAGAGAATAGGGTCAACACCAAGAGAAGGACGGCAAGCAGAGAGAAGTATTTGTTGAGAGCGTTGCAAGAAGAGGGCTGGTTCAAAAATGAACGAATGGCATGCTTGCAAGCTTTAGAATCAGCATTCTGACGATTAGAGAGAGACAACCAAATGGGATTAGCTAAAAGCTTAAACCATTGGTGTGCTGGGTTTGTAAGAACAGGTCGAAGAAGAGTAAACAGAGCCTCATCAGGCAACCAGAAAGCACGATATACAAACTTGAAACCAAGAGTCAAGATCCTCTCCCTCATGCTAGGAAGATTCCCAAGGTGATGGAAAACAGATGTAGAAGATGTGGAGTGACCTCCAAAAATCATGCGTAAGCATGTGTTCTGGGCCTTTTCAAGCACAGCAACTTGTTTGATGTTGAAGCAGGATATTGCTAGGCCATACTCAAATTGTGGATGAATAAACTGGCGATACAAACGAATTGAGAGTAGACGTGACAACTCAGTGTGATTGACACCAAGTGATTGAAGAGCACACATGCTGTTAATAGCAGAGACACAATTACGAGAGATGAGAAGAGATAGATCAATAGTCCCCTTTGCTGAGAAGGGAACACCAAGGTAAGGAAACGAATGAGCATGAGGAATAGGCACATTGTAGAGAGAGAATGACAAAGGAGAAAGAGAACAAGAATAGTGAAGGATCATGCACTTGGTGGGACTCCAATGATATCCTAGCTCTTGAGAATGTTGTTCAGCAGAATTCAGAATGACAGGCATAGCTTCTGGTGTAGCAATGATGGCAACATCGTCAGCAAAAAGTAGTGAATTGACTAATTGATCATTGAGTCTTGTGGCAGCAGTCTGATTAAATACTGTGTTACAAAGTTCCCCTGCAGCACGAAGAGCAACTGGTAGAGAATTTATGTACACGGAATAAAGGTGGGGAGAAAGCACAGATCCTTGCATAACGCCAGTCAATGGTTGGAATGATCTGGATGTTGCACCAGAAAGCAACACCTCAACTTGAACATTGTCAAAAAGACTTTGTAACAAAGCTAACATAGCATCAGAGGCAAGAGGACGTAACGATGTCCATACTACAGAACGATCAACAGTGTCATATGCAGACTTGATATCAAGAAAAGCCAAGACTGGTGGTGCTTTGAATAGAGCTGTGTGACGACGGACCATCTCATGGAGACAAAGAACTTGATCAAGGGAGCTACGTTGACGTTGGAATCCACCCTGTGCAATGTCAATTGTTGGAGACACATCTTCAAGAGGAAACTGTAGACAATATTCCATGGCTTTTCTCAGGATAGACGTTAAGCTAATGGGACGATAGTTAGCAGGGTCATGAGTATCACCCTTTTTAAAGATGGGGACAATTTGTGCAGTACGCCATGCAAGAGGTGCAGAACCCCATTGCCAACAAAGCTGGAACAAAAGACAAAGAACAGGAGAGACTTGCTTAACAATTGGGTGAAGCATTTCAGCACGAAGATGGTCAACACCAGGAGCCTTGCGTGTAGGAAGCTTGAGAATTGCACTCTCTACAGAAAGATGAGTAAAAGGACACGATTCATCAATTGCAATTGGTGATGAAATCATCACTGTCTGGTCTGGAGGGCGGCGTGCAGGAAGAAATTGACCTGAGAAAATCTGTTGAAGATGATCAGCCATTTTGTTAGCAGCTACTTGAGGTCCACCCGGATCCACAAAGACAGGACTGGTTTGACGATGGCTTTTAATATGTTTCATTGTTGCTGTGGTCTTTGCAAAGTCTTGTGTTGCCAATTTGTTGCAGAATTCTTTCCATGTTTCACGTCGACGACGCTGGACTGATAACCTAACAGCATGACATGCATCCTGATGGCGCATCCAGCATATAGCCTTCTGCAAACCACTAGAATGACGCCAGCGTTGGTAGCTGCGTTCTCTCAGATCCATTGCTTCTTGAAGGTCCACTGACCAGAACCAGTACTTTTGCATGGTACGTGGTGTACGACGACCAACAGCAGTGTCCAGAGCATCATAGATAGCTTGAGCAAAAGCAGAGCACAGAGAATCTACAGGAGGAGGAGAAGAAGAAGAAAGGAAAGCACTGAACTGCTCTGTCAGATTGTCCAATGACCCAGAAGCTGTATCAATGTAGATCTTGAGAGTGTCAGGCTGAGCAAGCTTGGAAAGATTCCAAAGTAGGCGCGGATGATTAGTAGGGGGAGGGGGAGGTGAAACATAGGGAGTGAAAGTGAGGTTGACCATTTTGTGATCAGAGCCTAAAGAAAGATCAGAACGAATTTGCATAGAAGGATTGAGAAGGGGGGACGTAGAAAGAAATAAATCAATGACACTGGAACGTGAGGTACCAGAGCCACCAGAAAGAAAGGTAGGAATACCAAATGCAAGTAATTCATTCCAACAAGTGAGACCAGTTGCCTGGATCCACTGAAGAAAAGAAGTTCCTCGCGAAGTGATAGCATGGTCACCAAGAAAGGATCCCATACGTGAATTAAAATCACCACAAAAAATAGTGTTAGAAGAAGGAATAGAAGAAGAAGAGAGGGGGAGGTCATAAAGAATAGAAATTGCATCGTCATTAGAAAGAGAAGGGGGAAGATAAATGCAATGAATAAGACAATCAAATACAATACAAGAAAGAACATAAGGAGAAGAAGAAGGAACAATAGAAATGGGGTAAGGGAAAGAAGGATTTACAAGAAGAGAAATACCCATGCAGTCACGGCTAGCATTGGGGACAGACTGACCATAGGTATGGTACTGCTGCCAAGAAGTAGGATAACGATGGGGGGACAAAAGCCACGTTTCAGTGATAAAAAGAAGGGAAGTAAGTGGAGCATATGAAAGGATCGTAGGTATGGTCTGTTTTGCAAGACCATTTGCATTCCATAATGTAATTGTTACTGGATTCATAGATCAGAGAATGAAGGGATGGTGATGCTGGCAGTATGTATAGAGATGTCCAAGTCTTTTTTGGTGGGTCGTGGGGGAACAATCTCAGCTAGTTGGTCATCACTAATCCATCCCTGAGAGCAAAAGGAACGTGCAACAGCAAACTTGACAGGAGCCCTAATGAATTCAATGGCACGTAGCATACGATCATTGTGAACATGTATAGCTTTTGTTGCCCTATCATCAAGTGAAAGAGAGGCCAGAGCTGGGTCACGGAGGTGAACAGGGTCCAGAGGATCAAAGTTATCCAAAGTAGTAACACCATAACTCGCCAAGATAGTCTTGAGCTCAGGAGCATACTCATTATGTACAAGCATTCCCATCACCTTACGATCAGGATAGTGGAGATCCAGCACACGTGCATTGTCTATCTTTAATTTCCTAAGACGTTGACGTTGAGTACTAATGGGGAGACGGATAGCATTAGGTACATAAACAATTTGAAACCCCTGATCAGCATTTTCTTTAATTGTCATGCCACGAACAACAGCAGCAATGGCCCTAGCAGTTGGAGCCCTTTTACGTGGTGTTTTAGAAACGAAAGTCTTGGTGGGTTCAGTGGAATGATGGGTCGGGGATGCAGGAAGTGATGGAAAATCAGCCTGAGAAACAACTGGAACAGAGGCAGCAATAGTAGCATATTTGGATGCTGCAGCACCAACAGAAAAATCAACATTCTCCTTTGTCAAACGTGCAATAGTGGCGTTTGCAGTAGCAAGAGCCTTACGCAACTCAATGTTCTCTTTTTGAACAGCCTCCAATGCAGAAAGACGTTCATCATAAGCCTGGAAACGGTCCCAAATATCCTGAAGAGTGGGCATTACAGTTGGAAGAACAGGTGCAATGTCAGATTCAATTTCATGGATATCTGCCATGGAAATACTATGACCCAAGATGGAAACAGAAGGAGACACAACAGGCTCACTTGCAGAATGAACTTCAGGAATTTTGTGTTGGACTGCATTGATCAAAGATTGCATGGATGAAGCAGTAAATGTTGCACCACATTTGCATTTAAACTGTGGGCTACCAGTACGAGAAGTAGACCCATTAGAAACAATTTTGCCTGTAGTCTGGCAATGTGAACAGGACAAAACATTGTGCAATTTTTTAAAGTCTGCCTTGAGGCCAGACAAAATGAGAGCAGTGGGAGTAGGGCGGCCAGTGGAATTAATCACCTGTTTTTGGGAACCAATCATTGTTGGAGGAGCTTGAAAAAAAATTTCGTGGGAACCAGGAGCAGGCAAAGCAGAAAAAGAAAGGTCTGAAACTGGGACAAAAAAGTGCGAAGTTGATGGTAAAACACCAGAACCACCTTCAGAGAAGGAGAAAAGAACTGGAGACGATAACAGAGGTACAGGCAATTGAGATGTAGTTGGAGATGCTGACAATCTTGAGTGATTTCGGCGCAGATGTGAAGATGATTGCAATGATGATTCCAACAATTTGAAAAAAAAGTCAATTAAAAAAATGAAAATTGGTAGATATATAAAAACAACTATGACAATCAATCCTGCTGCAAAAAACAGATAGGTTTGATATAGTAGTTATAGAGAAAAAGAGGTAAAAGTAAAACTGTGCTGGGTTTGAATTCAAAACATAATTTGGTTGTGGAAGAGAGTGTGTGGTTTCTTGGTGTAGTTGGTTATCACGTCTGTCTAACACACAGACGGTCGCCAGTTCAAGTCTGGCAGAAATCATATTTACCTCTGGTGTCAGAGTGTTGACTATTATTTTTGTTTTGCCCAAATTCTTGACAGTGTGTCGTTTTCGATCTGGGTTGTTCTTCCAATGCTATAACACAGCCAAAATTGGTGAAACCCACTGGGAATCGTAAACGAAGATAAAAGAATAAAGAGGATAGAAATGTCAAGTCTCGATCTGATATTTCTTTTCTGACACTTGTAACTAAGTTGCAGAATCAATACCACTGGGGATCATCAAGTTTATGAATAGTTTTTAGATAAGAAATAAAGATGCTTTTTATTAAATATATTTCTTAACTATTTATACAAAATGATAATTGATTTCTGGCTAAAAGAATAGCTACAATAATATGTCTTAGATGCCTGTTGTCCAGTAATATCTTCTACAAGTATATTCACTATCTTAAACATCTAAAACATATATGAAAGATCAATCGGCAAAGTCAAGATCTTTTATCCTAAAAAGTCAACTCTTACTGGTTGCTTATAACTACCGCTTTTGTTCACCAATGTCAACTCTGACAGAAAGATAGATAACTTTTATTGAATAAAATAATGTCCTCTTTTATATTTTTTCTAAAACTACCCAGCCATTATAAATATCTGTTTCGGTTTCTATTCTACTTTTGTTAAGCTATGTGCTTTCTAATTCTTTTGTGAGCAAAAGAAAATCACTTTGGTTGTCGTTCTCAAAAGAGAATTCTGTGTAATCGTCATTCTGATTTGCTGACAAGAATTCGGGCACGACAAGTGTAGTTCCCGATCTGGGTTGGTCTTCCTTTTACTATAACAAAGTCAAAAGGTCAAACCCACTGGGGATCAAGGAGTAAACCTAAAATTAAAGAGAGGATAAAAGATACTTTTTATTGATATAAATTGAATTGTCTTATATAGTTTTCTAGACTACTGGTTTTATCCATTCAATTGGCGCCCATTTCCATCTAATTAGCATCCGTTTCCATCTAATTAGAACCCATTGACATCTGATTGGCTTCCATAGAAATTGAATTTGCATCCATTGCCAACTGAATTTGCTCCCCCCCCTTTTACTATTGGTGGAAAGGTACATGGCACTCAAATTTTTTATCCTTACACCTTACAATTTTTTTATATAACCATAGTATTTTTTTTTGTAAACATTGTACTTTTTTTTGTAAACATCATACTTTTTTTTTGTAAACGTCGTATTTTTTTATATAACTGTAGAATTTTTTCTGTAAATGTTGTATTTTTTTTATATAACCGTAGTATTTTTTTTGTAAATGTCGTATTTTTTTTTTATAACCATAATATTTTTTTTTGTAAACGTCATATTTTTTTGGCATAAAACATGGATATTTTTATTAGGCATAATTAGTTGATAGAGAAATAGAACACATAATAAGAAGTAAGATATAATGAAATACAAAGTAATAAAAAAAGAAAAGTATAAAGCAGTAAAACAAATAAAAAAAGAGGGATATAAAGTGATAAAAAAATAAGAAAAAGAGGGACATAAAGTGGTAAAAAAAATAAGAGAAAGAGGGACATAAAGTAATAAAAAATAAAAATAAAATAAAAAAAGACATAGAGTGTAAAGAGCTTAAATAGACATAAAAGACATACTTAAAGCTTTCACTCTCTGTTCAAACAGCGAAGAAAGAATGAAATGACATGGTTAATCCAACCCAAACAGTCCAAAAGGGTGACAGTTTTAGCTGATTCTGTAATCCTTAAGATGAGCCTGCCTGACTCTGTATTCTCTTCTCTGTGGATACCAAACTTGATCTTGGACCACATTTCCTCAATTGGATTCAGAAAAGATGAATACACAGGAAGATATGCACACTTGTACCCATGGGAAGAAATAAAGTCTTTCACCTCATCAGCCTTATGGATAGGAGCATTATCCATGATGAGATAACATCCTTGCATACTCTGGCTGTCCAGAACGTCCATTGTATGACTAAGAAAGTCGAGGTAGTGCTGGGCTCTGGTGCCAATTCGGCCATTCACCTCAACATTGGTGTAGATGTCTAACTTTCTCTTCTTCTTGGTTGCGACTGCAGTGGGTTTCTTCAACGAGAGGCTGACAATCCCTCTCTTGCACATTGCACCAAGGATGGTGATGGACACACCTCTCTGCATCGGGACAGTTGTCTTAGCCGGGGTGCCACTGACGGAATGACCAAAAGTTCTCTTGATATGCATATTGAAGTCTGCTTCATCAATAAACACACAGTTCGACAGATAGTTGAAATCCGCATGTTGTTGCCACTCCAAAATGTGGTCTCGTCTCATCTCAATTGTGCTGATGTTGTCTCTCTTCTTGGGCAGCTTCTCCAACTTCTTCATTGTCAGGGCACACTTCTTCACTGTTGTAAATGAGTATTGACTACTGCTGTAATTGAGAATAAGTCTGAAGGAAATAATATAAGGCCTCAGCTATTCCAGTCAAAGGTGTCTACCGATTACTTTATTATTTAACACACAGGTTTAGCATGCATGATAGTGATTATATTTCATATGATGATATCACCATAATATGGGATACATCAGTGGATTATTATAAGCATAATTATAACTCATAAACACATTTACTTTCGATGTTAATACTTCATTGGGACTACACACATTTATATAATTAATCATATATTAATTATCCCAAAATCACATTGCTCTGATTAAGGCTCAGATAGGATCGATTACCTGACCCCAGTCATATAATTTTCTCAATCCAAAACAATATAAATAGCAGTAGTAGTTCAGTGTAGGAACCTGGTCAAACTTTGATACAAAATCTTTCTCAATAAACAAAACCTACACAAGTTCTCACGAATCTTCGTTCCTAATCTCAAATCTTCAATTCTTCCTCTTAAAAACTTCTTCAACTTCAACCACCACAACATTCACCAAGTGCTTCTGGATTGCTGATTTGGTAATCTGCAGCCCAGAGAACTCTTCCATGACAGCTATCCTTGCTTGTTCCAAGGTAGCATCTGGTTTATTTTCGAAAAACTTTAAAAAAAAGCAGAGTGTGCCTGGAACAACTTTTGGTTGCCATGTTTTTGTTCTTTAAGTGCAGAAACCTCCTCAACCTCCATCGTCTCCAGCCCATTAGACTCATCAGTCTCCACTGTGGCAGCATCAAAATCGGCCTGGATCTTCTCTCTGGCCAACCTGACATAGTTCTGGGCAGTCCGGACATTGATGCCCATTTCCCTGGCAGTGGCAGCAGCAGTCTGGTTTTCCGAGAAAACCAAGGAGAAGAGCTTGTTCACCTGGTTTTGGTTGTACTTTTGGTATGAACCTCGACCTATGCTTTCTGCAGTGGGAACAGAATTAGGGTCGACCTTCTCTGGCAGATTTGTCTTCGGCTTCTGTGCAACAATGGTTTTGATAGTAGCCTTGTTGACTTCAGTTGGCAAAAAACTTCTAAGACTTAAGAGGTTTGTGACTGCTGGGTTTCCGGCCGAGGTACGGGTCCATTCCATATTGGCATGGTTGACAAAGACATCTGTCACAGATCAGAGTACAACTTCTCCATGCATTTTATTGACAATCTCTTGGTTGAAATTGCACAAGGGGTCAAAAGCAATTCCAGAAAACTGGGTTTGGTCTGCAGAACTGCTGTGACTGACCATTTCACAGTGCTTGTTCATAACAAATTCAAGGGAGTTGTTAGAAGTAGATATTTTTTTTTGAACATAAAAAGGGTGTTAAAATCGAGGAAGAAAGATAACTGAGAAACTTTTATTAAGATACTGGGGTATATATACCAAAAAAAATATTTTAATAACTTAAACGTTTCTACCAAGGTATAGTCTTGTCCTGTTGTCTTAATATATTTGGATAAAGAATGTGTTGAAGAATAATGAATGTTTACATATTAAGCTTCTTTATACTTTTAAGAACATTTATTTTATTAGCTGATTTACAGTGCTACCAGAGCCTTTATGGTGTCCTGTCCTCTGTCTCAAAGGAAGGGGTAGAATTTCTCCTCATGGGTTTGCCCAACCAAAAAAAAAATAAAAAAAAATAAAAAAATAAAAAAAAATAAAAAAATAGAAAAAAAAAGTTTTTTTTTGTATAGAGCCAAGGAAAAGCTCGAAATTCAGTTATTGAGATTTTCAGTTTTTCAGAAATTTCTGCAGTTAGATACCATTTTATTTTCAGTTATTAAGATTTTCAGTTTTTCAGTTATTGAGACTTTCAGTTTTTCAGTTTTTCAGTTTTTCAGTTTTTCAGTTTTTCAGAAATTTCTTGCAGTAAGATACCATTTTATTTTCAGTTATTGAGACTTTCAGTTTTTCAGAAATTATTTGCAAAAAAATGGTTATGTATATTATAAAAATTTATGAATAAAAATGCTAGTTATACTATTTGGAGAATTATTTTTAAAATTGCGATTACATTTTTCTTTTTTTTATTTATTTTTTTTATTTCTTTTTTTTATTTTTTCATCTCTTTTTTTTTCATCTCTTTTTTTGTTTTTATTTTTTATTTTTTTTTATTTTTTTATCTTTTTTTTCATCTTTTTTTTTATTTCTTTTTTTTGTCATGAGCTTGTGCTATTTTTTGTTACTGTTTCTGTGTGTAATATTTGTTTTTTTTTGGTATTTTGTATCATGAAGGTTTCCAAAATTGAGATTGGGTAGTGTTGTAGGCAAAGCATAATTCTTGGACCACTTTCAGCTGTTTAACAGATTGTTGGACATTTACTTGTTTTGAGTGCAGATTACAAAGAGTTATTGAGTTTGATATTAAGAAGATCAGGATTCTGACATTGTAAAATGGTTAGAGCAGGTGCTGAATAAATATAGCATTTTTGGATTCTTTTTTATAATGATATCAGATGCTTGTGTAGGACCAGGTTCATAAGAAATACAATTGTTGTGGTAGTCAATCAGATGACTGAATATTTGAGATAAAAATTGGCAAGTTTTTGTGTGGTCAGTAGAGTGAATTCTACTGTTGGATTTCGAAAAAGTATGGTCAGTGAAATGCACTTAAAAGCATTATGAATATGTGTAGACTGGTTCCTATTGTACAGATAGATGTTTAATCTTGTAGTTTCTTTGTAGGTGGAGGGTTGAATTGTCACATTTTCTTTTCAAATTTATAGCTTTTGTTCAAAATACTATAGATTATTTAGAGATTAATATCAATGACTCCGAGGTATAGGCTTTATTTACATACAGAAACACAATGTGATATGGAAATAATAAAAAAATCCATGAGATGTAGAGCTTTAAGAAGTGTTTTCATTGTTAGAGTATTAATTAGTTGTCAAAGTGAGCATGAGAATGAGATTTATTGCTGATTTAAGAAGAGAAATAAAGAGTTTTGATATATAAACACCAAATGGAAAGAGAGAGAATTAGGATATCTCTTTTAAAAAAGAATGTTTATAATAAATTTATGGCTGTGGGTAATATATTGTCCTATTTATTTTTTATCTCCTTGAGTTCAATTTGTACTACTTTATTTAGTGGACCTTGGAATATTATTTTTTGATATAAAAAGCTGAAAATATAATGACTAATACTATTTAACAACAACTCAATCTTCTTTACATCTATTCTTGCTGCTTCAACTTGTGTTTTGATTTTTATCTTGCATCTTAAGTAATTATTACTTCATTATAACAACTATATACTAGATATATCTATATTTATATAAAATATGTCACTTTAACATATCTTTCTATTTCTTTATTTTCATCTTTTATTATCAGAAAACCCTAAAATGTTACACGAGAAACTTGAAGAATATAACAGTGCCTTTGAAAAAATTATGGAAGGGCCTGAAGAGCCTGAAATGCCTGAAGATCCAAAAAGTTCTGCCACGTCAACAACAGACGAAACCCCCAAAAAAAGTAGAGGGCAATATCAAAAGCCTACAGATAAAGATATAAAAAAGCTTCTTTATCTCTACTTCATAAGGGGATTAACTATCGAAAAAGCCAGCAAGATAGTAAATATTAAATAAACAACTGCTGGTGGCTATATTTTGAAGTGGAGAAAGTCTCCAGTTGTTTTTTTTTATTAAAAAGAACAAGGAGGCTACAAGTGACAAAAAAATGAATCTTTTATTCGAAACTTATTCTGCAATAAAGAAAGAATACAAATAATATCATTGCATTTTCAATTTTAACATAATTATTATAATGAGATAATTGCTTTGTTATCTTATAACTGCAGTAAGGCATTTAACTTCAACAAAGTAATCTGGAGAAAAGTTTGCATATTCTGTTCGTTCTCTCTATAAATATTTTCTATGACGTATCTTTGTAGAAAGATCTACATACATTGAAGTGCTATTACATTAGGCATTTGGCACTTATATAAAAAAATATGGCAGTTATATAAAAAAAAATACCATGTTTACAAAAAAAAATACTACAGTTATATAAAAAAATATGACATTTACAAAAAAAAATTCTATGGTTATATAAAAAAATACAACGTTTACAAAAAAAAATACAACGTTTACAAAAAAAAGTACGACGTTTACAAAAAAAAGTACGATGTTTACAAAAAAAAATACTATGGTTATATAAAAAAAATTGTAAGGCGTAAGGATAAAAAATTTGAGTGCCATGTACCCTTCCACCAATAGTAAAAGGGGGGGAGCAAATTAAGATGGCAATGGGAGCAAATTCAATTTCTATGGAAGCCAATCAGATGTCAATAGGTTCTAATTAGATGGAAACGGATGCTAATTAGATGGAAATGGGCGCCAATTGAATAGATAAAACCAGTAATACTATGCATTATCCACAGTAGCTATTATATTATATTTAAATAAAAGAAGAGTCATTATACTGCGGTTAATGCTCAGGAAGATGCTACTGTGCATAAAGAGATACTGCAGTTAACCATCTTTAGATTTTATGGATTCATCAAAATAATGTCTAACAGCAGCCAATCAGGATAATGATTACACATAATTCTCTTTTGAGAACGACAACTAAAGGAAGCTCCTTATTTTATTCTATAAAGAGTTTAAATTAGTAGCTGACATGGTTCTGACTTTATAAATTTAATAACAGTTGATAGCTTTTTTATCCTACATTGGGAAATTGGTTTTTAATAAACACTTTTTTCTCCTTCCTAAAAAATACACTTTAATATGTCTCACAATACAAACAACACTATTTACAATATCTCCAATGCCCAGCAAGTCTTGATCAATTCGCATTTAGAAGGAATCAAGATGCTTGCTTTAAATACAACAATATCAGTGCAAGTTAGTGAATGGAAACAATGTCTCGCAGAAATTAATAAGCTTTGTTCAACAAAGTAGAATAAAAAATATAAACATATCAAAGCAAATTTAGTTTTTAGAAAAACAAGAAAATGTTACTGTGCTGGAAAATATGAATCTGAACATCAGACACACGTTGCTCAAAAGAATAAGAACACTTGAAAAATGAACTGACATATATATTTGTAAAGACGTAGTTATTTAGGTATTAAGACAAGGTTTAATATTGAGTTCAGATACATATCAGCATGTAACAAGTTTGTCTTAGCACCATGTGCCATGACTAGCATTACACATGTGTAAAATTAAATAAAAATTACGGTGATATAGTTTTTTAGCACTTTCAGTGCGTTGATCTGACTTGGGATGTTGAAAAGAGTTTTTTGAAACCAAGGTTTTCTTTTTATATGTTTTATATGGAGCTTTAAAGGTGGATAATATATTTATTTTCAATTTTGACAAAGTAGTATAGTTCAATATTACACTTCTTTGTGATCTTTTATAGCCAATTAAATTCAATACTTGAGTAATTCTTTGGATTCTGAACCATAGTATAATTCAATCAATTTAATTTTATAGTAAATTCAAAAACCGGGCCAGCAAATGTAAAATTTGTACCCTGCAACTTATATCTTCTTGAGTTCTTATTCTTTTGCAATAGTTTTAATACACTCTAGGACATCTGTTAAAGAGCTACAACATACTATGCTAGTATAAATATATATATAGTATTAATAAAAAGTTATATGAAAAAAAGTGGAAATTTTCAGTGGCCCAGTTTTTTAGGTAAAGGTATCTTTTTTTATTTTTCATTAATAAGATACCCTTTCTTCAAAATGCATTTATGCATTCTGCTTTGCATAAATTCAATTAGATTCTTGCACATATCCTCTGGGATACTATCCCACTCATTCTGAAAACGAGACCACAATTCTCTCATTGAGCTAGCTGGCTCTTCATATTGGTAAAGTTTACCCTTTGTGTATGCCCAAAGGTTTTCAATTGGATTAAGGTCAGACGAAAATGGTGGGAAATCAATGACCTCAATCCCCTCTGTCTTCAACCACTTTCTGGTATTGGCTGCAGTGTGTGACCAGGCATTATCATGCAAAAACATGATATCGGACTTGATGAGATTCTGCTTCTTCAAGGTCTTCAGTAAGCCCTGCTCCAAAACTGTTACGTATTTTGGGCTTGTCATGGTTTCATTGCTCTTGAGAAGCTCTCCGTGACCTCTGGACGAAAAGCATCCCCAAACCATAACGTGTCCTTCAGCATAAACAGGGGAAGTCTTACCCTTATATTTTTTAATTGCTGACTTCTTCAACTTCCACCTCCATCTCTTTCCATCCGAGCCAAAGCGATTCACCTTACATTTGTCTGAGTAGACAACACACTTCCAGTCTTCCATGGTGAAGTTGATATAGTTTCTTGCAAACTCCATATGCTGCTTGCGGATAGTGGGGTTTGTTTTTACCTTTGGAGGTGATTCCAAGGTACAGATGAACCCAGATGCTTTTAGCAAGGTGTGGATTGCTGGAGCCTTGACAGCAAAACCTTCATCACATAGCTGTCTCTCTGCCTCTGTTGTTGTCATAAATTCCTCATTTAGGAATGCATAGATGATATGGTGGGCAAGCCTTTCATTGATTTGGGCAGGTCTACCCCCAGGAACTGAGGTAGAGATGTTCAATTTTCTTTGATATCTCTTGACAGAAGTCTGCAAAACACCAACAATCTTTGCTACCTCGGCTATAGACTTTCCATGTCTAAGTTCAACTTCAATTGAGAGTATTTTGTCGCGTGAGATGGGAGACATTTTTGTTTTAAAGTTGAGCAAAGGAACAAGGAAAACTCTGAAAAATTCAATATAATATATCTATTTTGTTTGCATGATTGTGATGTAATGACAAGACACACTCCATATAAAAATTATTATAAAGCAGTTCTGCATTGAAAGTAAAGAAATAATGCTTTACTCTATTTTTTGGCCCATACCTAAAAAACCGGGCCACTGAAAATTTCCACTTTTTTTCATATAACTTTTTATTAATACTATATATATATCTATACTAGCATAGTATGCTGTAGCTCTTTAACAGATGTTCTAGAGTGTATTAAAACTATCACGAAAGAATAAGAACTCAAGAAGATATAAGTTGCAAAGTACAAATTTTACATTTGCTGGCCCGGTTTTTGAATTTACTATAATTTCAGAAATTGTTTTATTGGTAAACGTTTATAATAGTATTTATTTCAAAAGAATAGAATATTTCTAGAACTATAACAATCTTATAGTATTGATTTATTGAATATCTGTTATTACTTCTACTGGTCTGCTTGATACTGTTTGAATAAAATAATTATCTACAGAAAAGAAATATCTGAAGATATAAAAAACAGACTGTTTGTTAGAATACAATAGTCTCTAAGAAGTATAGACAAATCATTAGCTATTTTTTCTGGATACTACACTTAATGTAGTATGTTTTTACATTTTGTATATATGTTTATACTTACATTGTAAATGTTGGAAAAGAGCGAGCAAAAAATAGATGTCAATATTGCTTATCCATGGTGTTCCTTATGATATATTTCACTATAAAAACAACAAAAAACATTAATTTTTGTGAATCGAATAAAATAATAAATAATTTACATACTAGTAGCAAGAATATATATTAACAGAGATAGATCGTCTTTGTAAATACTTGATAGAACTCTAGTGAAAAAGAATAATGTTTTATGTTAACACATTATAATCTTAATATAATTAAAAAACAAAATAAAATAGTGATTTTTACTATGTTATGTTATTCCTAGTAATATGATATAAGAGAAATCAAAGACAAGATCAACAGTGTTCATCTACAATAAGACTTTATTTTAGTAAGATGAATGTCAAAATAATATATATCACTATAAAAGACAACTGATTTAAGTAGCTTAATTCTTGTTTAAATTCTCCAAAAATTGGTGATTTATGTTCAATTATAGTTTGGTATTTATTACAAAAATTGATTCATTTAGTTAACCAAATAATGAGATTATAGATATTAAAATCAATAGATCAATTGAGAGTTATAATTCTCCCTTTTTTTGAAATGTTATAATTGTCTGTAATTCTGGTTATATATTCACCTATAACTTCAAATTATATCTAAGCCCTACTTGTTATAGAATTGGCTTTGAACTCTCTACCTCTTAAAATTTTTTATTTGCTTTAATTACATGATATTATTGGATAGACCTCACTAAAATTGATCTAGAATCAGTCTGAAATCGGACAGAAACAAGCATTGAAATGAATGATGGCAAAAAAAACTTAAATAGATCTTGTTGACATCATTAAGAGATGACGCATTTGAAATAAAATCTCATGGAAAAAATGGTTTTTATTGATTTTTGAATGATTAGAAAATGTATTTAGCTATTTATTATGGACTACTAATACTTCTTTAAAAGTGTGTATCCAAATAGTACAACTTGTATACACGTTATATTTTCATTTATTGGACGGCTTGAATGCATTAGATGACCTGACTTATACTATACTTCCCAATCTTATTGGTTTCATGTATTTGGTGCGTTTTTTTTGTTTTATACTTCTTTAACTGAAAGTGAAATTCTTGGTATTTTCTTGGAGAATACGCTTGTTCAGAACTACATTAGTTTAGAGCAAAAAAAGATAAAGAAGTATTAATACAGATTTCTTTATGAAATAAAATGAAATAACATACTTACTAGATCATTTATGGGGGTTCATAACAAACCTCGCAATAGAATAAATATCTATTTGATTGATATTTTCTTTTAAATAAAAAGCACAAAACAAAATAAACAACTTTATTAATATATATGCTTTGATTGTAAAGACACTTGAATTACTTATATATGATAGACACGCGTTTGCAAAAGGGAGCAAACCAGTATGACTTGAAAGAAAAGTTTGACATATTTATCTGAGAAGAAGAATTGATAAGTTACATGATTTAAGTTGAGATATATATATATTATCTTTTCATAGACTAAAAATACCAGAAAGTATATAGTGCCAAGAGCAAAACATCTTTTATTACAAAATAGATAGAAGCTCTATCATTTTAAAAATAAAAAATATTTAGTCAGCAAGTTGTTTTATTTTATTTAGGAGATTGTTTATTACCTATACTGTTTTGAATGCTTATTGAGTGTATTATTTATCTAATATATATTAAGATGATTATAAAAGCCAAAAGTATTAATAAAAGTTGAGATATTAAGAGTAAGCTTACCAAGACGTGTAAAAAGAGACAAAACAAGAAGACCAGATTAAAGAAAGAGAAAATAAAAAAAAGGGGGCATGGTTATTCTATTAAATATGAATTTGGGATTTTTTTAAAAATAAATAAATCAAAAAATTATTTTTGTTTGTTACTTAGAATTGAAAAAAAACGTAGTTGCACTATGCCAGCAGCTAATACACACTACGGTGGAGAAAATGGTAACATGTTACCACTTTGGTAACATAACTGCCATTTTTTACTTAATAAAAAATGGCAGTTATGACTCTGTATAAGGCCAAAACAGGCACTGTTACCATTTTTCAAAAAAAAAAATCAAGCGTCCTTCCTTTCCTCTATTACATTCTTTCTTTTGTTCTATTGCTTTCAATTCTAGCACAACCTCTTGTTTTTCCTTTGCAGCTTTAACAGAATGGTCTGTTTTTTATTATACAATATTGAATCGGGTTTAATTGAATTGAATCTTTATTTCAATGCATGTTTTATTAAATGAAAATGATAATAATAATAGTAATAATGAAAAAACAATTCCATCGGCCACTCGCAATAAAAAATGGTTCTGTTTAGCTACTGCAAAACGTATGCAGTAAAACACTACTATTCAAATTGTATTTCATATACTTTGGGTATTCTAATATATCTTAGATAGCACTTATTATTTTTTACCGATTTCTACAAATATACTAATATTAGAGAAAAAACTTAAAATAAATAAATAGATATAATATTATTATAATGCTTACCTTTATATAATATGCTTACTTGTTCAGTAAAATAAGCATTTACTCTAAGAATATATATATATATTAAAGAATGTATTAATATTTAAGATCTATATATAAGAAAAGCAATAAAACATAAGCACTATAGAAAGTCGTTATCGTAGAAGAAGAAAAACTTGAGCAAAGATTCAAGTCATGTAATATGAAGCTAATTCGAATCTGATTCATACAACCGGAATGAGCATCTTGTTAGAAAGCTTAACGTGTTTATTCTACTCAATATACTTACATATAATAGAACGACTCCCAAGTATAATATATCAGTACAAAAATATTACTATTAATTTTTTTCCCAAAAAAAGGCTATATACTATTTCCTTTTATATTTGAATGTAGCGGAATTGTAGATGCTGTACATTAGCTTCAAATTCTTGTAATCACAACATTAGCAATCATATGAAAGAGGTCAATAAATTTTTTATATGAAAGAAAAAAGGAATAAAAAACATAAAAAGAAAAATGACGAGATAAGAAAAAAAATGCACTAAAGACAGACTAAAAAAATCAAACTCGGCCAATCACAGCAGCCAAACTATGATCTTCGGCTTCTCTTGCGAGCAGGCTCAACACTTGCTGTGGGTGGAGGAGACCTACATAAAAGAGTAAGAAGTTTATATTAGTTTTGTATTAACAGCGCATGAGAAAAAGCAACAATGGTAACTTACAGCACATCTGCCATTATGGGCGACTCAACATCACCAGTTTCTGACATATCAGGAGAAGAAAGTGAAGAATCACTTATGTCTCACTATGTCTATAGCATAATAAAAGGAAACGATGTTAATTAAAGTTTACAATATATAGATTTGTTAATTGATAAACTTACTTTGTTCTTCTCTGCCATTCTTCTCTTGTGCGTCTGGTTGTCGCTCTTGAAGCTTTCCCGAAGAAGGCTTCTTGCACACCACATTCTTTTACATTGGTGGATGTGCAATCCACCATTCTTTGCCAACCTCTCCAAATGCATCATGTAGTATTCCCTGTTTTTCTCTGGGATATTCTTCCATTCTTTTGAGGCCGCAGGATAGTCTTTGTCAATGATATCATGCTTTACTGTATGGCCTAATGTTTTGAGATGCAGTCTTTTTACTGTCAAATCATGGTCTGAAAGAGGGACTAATGGGGGCAAAGGCTGCCCTTGTGGAACTTCTTTGCAGCGCGCCTTCCAGTCCTGCTCGTGAAGAATCTGAAGCAACAGATTGTATTTTTGCGCTTTGTTTTTTCCTTTGAACTTGCCGCCAGTATTGATTACTCGTTTACCGAGCTGATCAGGGTACTCTGTGAGCTGGGCTCTTTTCACAGACTCGGCAATGCGCTCAAGAGCTACAAAAAATGTATGACAATATTAATAAAGTAAATAAACATCTAAGCACAGAATATATATGACTTACAACTCTGCTCAATAATGCTTTGTTGCATTGTAGTTAGATCTTCCGCACTGACTGCTGGTGCAAATTGATTGCTGAATTGCCTTTGAAGCTCGCGCAATGCTTGCTTGATTTCAGCAAGATCAATCTCAATCTTTTGAATTGAGTTGAGGAGAGTTGTGTTAATATTGGACATGTTTAAGTTTTTTTTTAGCTATAAGCAGTGAGTTGAAAAGAAAAGGTGATAGTTTAGACAAGTAGAATAAGAGCGATTTGAGTTTGAGAAAGGCAACGATTTATTACAAGCAATTGATAGCTATTTATATGAAAAAGATACAGACAGATGTACAAACAAAACATATAAAAGAAGGGATGCTTATGCACTTGTATGCACCTGTCTGCACCTGTCTGCAGTAGCTCATGTGAACACGATACAGTCTTTTCGTGTCGACACAACAAAACTGTAAGAAATATAAAGATAAAATGAATTAGACTTTAAATCAATATTATATGTATAAATGTTCATACTTTGCACCGTCTACATATTAAACGTTTTAAAGTATATGATATAATAATATAACTCTATACATATTGCAGATATAGCATGAAATTTGGTTAAAGTTCTCGATGACAAAACCCTGTACCAGTTAAAATTATAACTTTAAATATACTCTACAGTAGCTATATAACATCTGAACATCATATAGTTAATTAGCCCCTTTTTATCAACATTAAAGTAAATGTTATGATACTCAAGTTCATATCATACTTATTATCATTATCGACTAAAACTTTTGATTGATGCTGTCATCAAAGGTAAAAATAATTTTAACTGTCATTACTATTATTTACCAAGGGGCATTTTTGATTGAAACCGTACATTTTTGAAAAAGGTGTGCTTTAACTCACATCGGCACTTTCAATTAACACCCCTTTCGATCAGTAGTGCTTATCTTGATGATGTCAGTAAAAGAGTATCAGACTATAGCCCTCATTATCTATATCTATTTCTTTAAGTTTTATACATAAACAAGAAAATAATGCTATTAGCTAAATATATATTCACTATCTCAAAAATATTATTAGTACAACACAGATAATATAAATATGTCTTTTCTACCAATGTGTTTAGACAGTACTACTTTTTTTTAACTGTTAATTATTAGAAGGCTGTTTTTCTTTGCCTTTGGTATTAGAGAGTAATTGATAATTTATTTAAAAAAAAACATAAATTATTTGGTCATTAATTATCCTAAATATACATATACCTCTTTATAAAGCCCAAAGAATATCTAATCGCTCACAAGTAAAGAGTACGTGTCTGTTTCACCGGTGCTCTTTTAATGGTACCCCCTTGTCAACCAAGAAGTATTTTAACTTACATCATAATTATTAATGAAGAAGAATCTTTCCAACCACGGGAATTATTTACTGACAGGTGTTTCACCTAGCATTGACATTACTGTAATCATTGCTATATCATCATTATGAGAGAGAAAAAGAAAAAGAGCCGCAAGCATTTTAGTTAAAAAATAAAGAGTATATAAAGATGTCTTTTACATTTAATAAATAGCACCAAAATCCTCTTCGCAGCTTTATTTTATATATTACATACGTACCAACCCAACCAATATGTCTTCTTCTAACGCCAGCCAGCAGAGAGATAGAATATCTACACAGCAATACCAATGTGATCAATGTGTCTTGTTTTTTGATAACTACCAGAAGCTGCAAAACCACAAGAGAATTCACAGAGGAGATTCAGCAACAATGACTGAAATTGACCAGTCTATTCTGGATGATGTTGACATGTACCATGACGAAAATGATACTAGTAATGAAGATGAATCTGTTAGCAATTCAGGTAATGAAAAGAGCTGTAATTGTATTATTTATTTTCCAATTACTAAATAATGTATTACAGAATATACTATGGAGTCTATGGAGCTTGATAATACTATTTCATATAAGTGCGCATGTAATTTTGAGGACAGTGAGGGTGAAGCTCACATTTACGACAGCAGCCGAATCAGTACAAATACTTTTACCAAGGCCAAGTTGATGAGTATTCATCTGTCTCAATTGATGCTACAGCATAGAATTGCTAGAGCAGCATATAGAGACATTGTTCAATTTATAAACACTGTCATCCGAGACCATGACGATATAATGATGGGTAAAATATTATATTTTCTGTTACCTTGTACTTTAATTCCAGATCACTAACATGTAGTGATATCGTTTTTTTTAGAACCTGGGGCTAAGATCAGTCATAGCGAAACTGTTGATGCTTTGCTCAAGTCAAAGTCAAGTGTCAAGGGCCATGAGTATGATGTCTGCTCTAGTGGTTGTTGATTGTATGGCATTAATGACGACCAGGAATCTTGTGTTGACTGCAGCAAACCGCGATACAAGACTGATCCTGATCAAAGTCAGACACCAGCCGCCAGTATGAAACTTATGTCAGTTGGGGATATGCTTTCTCAAATGTTGGCAGATCCAGCCACAAGAGAACTCCTCTGTTACAGAGCAAACCGGGAATCTGTAGCTGGTCAGCTAACCGACATTTTTGATGGTGACAATTACAAGCAGTTGGTGCAGCAGGGCCTGTTCTCCAATCCCGATGATATTGCCATTGGGCTTTATACCGATGGGTTTGTCAATCAAAAGAAAGGCAAAAACTCATATACCATCATCCATTGCATAATATTCAATCTAGACCCATCCATCAGGTAATTAATTAATTCATTACTATTTATTATTATTATTACATTTTTTTTTAAGAAAAATTACTAATAAAATACTTAGATATACCAACAAATACCTTTTGCAACTGGCAATCTTGCCTGGCCCCAAGAAGCCAACTCATTTGGACTCCTTTCTTATACCTATCATCAATGAATTGCGAGATCTTGAGGCACATGGCTTGGTTGTCAAGCACAATGGAGTGGAGTTTTGCAGATCCAAGGTCTATCTTCTGCTTGCTTCTGGCGATATTCCAGCTGTAGCTGATATGGCCCACATTGGTTCCCATACAAGTTTATTTGGTTGCCGTTTTTGTGAGACCAAAGGCAAATGCCCTACTAACAGACGGCATGGCATGTACTTTGATGACATTTCCGCCCGGTTAAGACCTTTGGAAGACTTCAAAGTAGGCAACCCTGTAAGTATACAAATGTTCAATTAGCCATCTTTTTTTCATACTAAATAACTGCTTGTAATAGTCGAAGAACATATACCAGCCGAGCATATATACCCAACTCTCAACCTTCTCTGGATCATCATTTTTTGCATTAGATGAACTTCATTTAATTGCAAGAGGGATTGGAAAGCTTGTGTATGACCTGATTACCATCACCATCACAAAGGAAACCAAATTTTATTATACCCATCCAGACAATACCCTCAATACCACCGAATACCCTTTTCATATACCAAGAGCAGACCTTGTAACAATCGGAAACTGTATTACCAGCTCACAAAAATATATACCTACCTCATTTCAAGGCAGTTTCGACAACGTATTTGCCAAGATCGATGGTACTCGCGCAGTGGACTGGCTTGACTTTCTCTTATACCTTGTCCCCACTTTGGTCGTGCCTTATTTACCAAATAGGGCTGTCAAAACAGCTCTATTATCTCTCGTGAAAGGTTGCGCGCTTGCCTTGCAATGGACGTTGACATCAGAATTGCTTGATGAGATGGAGTCGTAAGTTATTATACGTCTCATACATTATCATTACAAATAGCTGATTGTTACCATTTTTTAAATATTAATAATAGATACTTCAAGCACTGGCACTCGTTTTTATACCAGCAAGTCCAGAATAATACCCTGTCTCGTAGTGTTTTCCGACCAGTGCAACATTACCTGGTCCATATATCCTATATCATCAAGCAGCAAGGCCCCCTGCGATGCTACTCCACTCGCTCAATGGAGAGAGTAATTGGCGTCTTCTCAAAATTGATAAAGTCCAAATCAAAGGGTGGCCGAAACGCCAGTTTTCTTGTCGAGCGATTTGCAATTCACAATTATACCAGCACAGCAATCAGCATCTGTGATGAAATCAACCTCATTCGGCCAAAGCCATATGGAAGAGAGAGCTACATGGACCTTCCTAATGATCCTAGTGGTGCGCAGTTGTGGGAGCCGTTTCATCAGTTTGTTAATTTGAACGATGATTCGGTGGAAGGTGTAGGCGGCCCTAGTGTGAAGGAAGCTTTATTGAAATACTACCAGAGAACAACAGGCTTGACTGGCCACAAGTTTGGTGACTCTGTTGTTGTTGTAGCTGCACGTCTGTGGATGGACTCGACTGTATATTCCTCATGCATGTACCGAAGAAAGAAAAACGAGACCAGCCGTGGCAACCATTACGTGATGTTTACTTGCCCCTATAGAAAGTAAGTATAATATTTTTCGATATACAATCAAAAGTTGCTTACATTCTATTTATTTATTTATTTTAGCAACCGTAATGTAATTGTTCACAGCTGGCTCGTTGGTACAGTACAGTTCTACTTTCAGCATGTAGATTTCTATGGCTTCCCACACTTTCTTGCTTTCGTGGAGGTCATGAAGGAACATGACGCGGCTGGTCATGACTCATCAGTACCTATCGTCAAACAACGGTCACAAAGCACCTGTACACTAGGCCACCAAACGCAACCAACTTATGCAGTTATAAGTGTAAATGACATTTGTCATCAAGTTGGTCTGGTCCAATACCCACCGAATGGAAACCAGTTTTATGTAATCGCACCCTATTATATCTTTAACAACAACATGTGCATTACTAAAGGCAATCTTTCCATTCTGTAATCCTTTATATTTTTTATATCATCCTTGTATCTTATATTCTTTTTTTAATTTTCTCTATTTCTTATGTTTTTTTTAATCTCTATATGCCCCATCTTTCTTTTCTTCTTTATATACTCCGGTTTTTTTTCTATTCTCTATACACCTTATGCTTTTCTCTTCATTCCCTATATGCTCTATACGCCATTACGCGATTTAAATAAAATCAAATTGCCAATTCATCAAGATAAAAAGAATATCTAAAAAAAAAAGAACGTAGTTTAAAAAATAAAAAAAATGGCAGTTATGTTACCATTTCGTTCACACATTCCAAAAATTATTAATCTTAATAATTGTTGACATCTTTAATATTCAATAAAACATATATTTCAATACTCAAAGTGGTCATTACAACTTACAAACATTTTTTACAGTATTGAAAATATTGTACAGCAACAAAAAAAGTGTTTTCATGCTACTTTTTTAAATTGCTACGAATGACATTACCATCTTACAACAAACGGTGGAGATTTTATTGGGTTTCGACCAAAAAAATGGCAGTTATGTGCCTACTTTCGGCCCAACTGCCATTCATCCCGCCGTAGTGACATATGAAAACCGGAGTATAGTATAAAATAATATTATTCAAGTACTAATACATAATATAAGAATAAAACATGAATTGAAAATTAAATTAAAGAAATATATAAAATACTCACAACAAGAGTGGAAACATTCAAAGCTGTTCTTGTTACGTAATAGATCATGGTGTTCTCTGAGAAAAAATAAAACTTAAAGCCCAAATTAAATATAATATAAATAAACCCTTTGGATTTAAAAAAAACAAGCTATTTTTATTATTCACAATGTCAAGAAATCTCAATAACAATTCAGTTAACAATGCTTTTGGTGAAGAACCTTCTGTGGGAAGGTAGATTAAAATCAAGCAGTCTTTGATTTTCTTATATTAATTTTATTTTCGTTTTTTATAAAAATCAAAAAAAAAGCCCACCAAGAAATACCAATGATATAAGGACAATAATGTTGCAACACTCACAGAGAACAGTGAGCAATCAAAGACCACTAGCACCAAAGAGAGCTCGGTTGAATCTTGAAGGTGATTCGTCGGGTAGAACTTGTAACATCCATGATGTGTATGAGAAACTTGATACCATGAATAGTGTCTTAAACACTGTTTTGAAGAACACATCTTCTGAGAAAGCTGAAGCCACTGCTAGTAATGCAGTTGAGCAAGACATGTCGCCTGAATGTCAACCAACATTGGATGTAAGTAATCATAATATGTTTCTATGTAGATAGAATTTAATATATATTTATATTATAGCAATTGTTGCGCTATTATTTGAGTGAAGAGAAATTGTATGACCAATATAATACTAATAAAAATAAAAACAGTGAGGGAAACAGACTCATTCTGAAGTCCATTACCAAGTATCTTTGCCATCAAGAAGAGGGGAAAAAGATGAACTTGCCAACTTTTCGAACTAATATTGTGCAACACATTGGCAACAGAAAGTTGCAAGAAAAAAAACAGGAGAAAAGAAGCAGGAAGAGAATCGATGAGTCTGTCTTCATCAGCAATATGTAAAGATAAAAAACATATGCACACAATATACTAGATGTGATATTAAGTTAAAAATATTATATATTTATATATAGTCGTGTGAAAGAAGACAACCTGTCTTGAAAGCCAATTGGGTACACTTTGTAAACAGCTTTGAGGAGAATGACATCTTCTTATTTCATCCTACAGAGAGTTTGAATTTTAAAAATCCTATGAACAAGTGCAGCAATCTTACAGGGACAACATTTTCAGGATGGGGCACTACCTTTTTTTTGCCAGACTAATTCGTTGTGACTACTTGTCCGAGGTCCGAAGTATTTTCTCCAATCCTTCCGAACAAAACGATGTGTTCTGAAATTCCTAATCCATTTAAATATAAAACCTTCTTTTCTATTCTATACTCATCTCGTAAGAGCTACTAATCAATTGCACTTAAAAATATTATTTTTTCTCGAAGATAGTAAAGAGATTACTTTGCTCATTGCAGATTAGCAATTAGAAATCATGATGTTAATTACTTTCTAGAAATCACTTCAATATGAATCCTATTAATAAAGAAATCCGCTTTTTCAATGGAAAGGAACATTATCCTGTCCAACAACCTCTTCTTGTCTCACCAGTTAATGGTTACAGTGACATGACAATGGCAATTTCAAAGATGCAGGAATATGCACTTTCCAACAATTTTGCACTTGTAACTAGAGATAGTAAACCAACTCGAGTGTATTTGAAGTGTGCCAAGGGCGGTCATTATAAGAACACACGGAATATTGAAGACAGCAAATGCAAGAGAATTCCGTCTAGTGGAAAGACTGGATGCCCCTATCTCATTAAGGTATCCTACAAGAAGGCCGCTAAAGGATATCTTCTTTTGAAAGCCACCAATGAGATTGAAGGCTACCACAATCACCCTCTTGATGATGACTGCCTGGAATCTACCTTGAAAGGTCGTTTGTCAAAGGTTACTGTCAATGATGCTAGGGAAATTATGAAGCTTGTTGAGACCAAAACCAAGACTCGTGAGATCCAAAAGGCGATCAATGAAGAGGATAATGTCAGCCATAAGTTGTATGTGAATGACATCAACAATATCAAGGCTGCTTTTGCTCGTACTACTGCTTCCACTTCTCAGGATGCAGGTACTGAACTTGTTAAAACCATAGAAGCTAAGGGATATCTTGTATGCTATAATGCCGGCAAATATGAATCTCTTAAAAGAGTATTTTTCTCACACCCAAAGATGCTAGAAAGAGCTCATCGCTTCCCAGAAGTCATGCCTATCGATGCCACCTACTTAAACAATAATTTGGAAATGCCTCTTGTATGCGTGGAAGGTGTCCATAACCTTGGGGGGGACACTCTTAAATCGTTTCCCATTGCCTTTGCCTGGATTTCAAATGAGAAACAAGAGACCTACATTTGGTTCCTTGAGCAGCTCAAGACATTTGTTTTTGAAAACAAGAAAAGCAGTTCTCTATTTGTAACAGACAAATGTATGGCCTTAATGAATGCACTTGACATTGCATTCCCAAAAAATGTCAAATTGTTATACTACTGGCATATGTTGAATAGCATTGAAAATGTCTTCACTGGAAAACTCAAGTCAGTTGCAGAGAAAGAGGTCCTTATGGAGTATGTGAACTCCATGATTCACAGCAGTACCAGAAGGGATTTCGAGGTTGCGTTGATGAAGTTCAATGCAGTATCTTCTGGTTGCGAAGTAGATGAAGGAGGGTCCAAGGTAGATGCATTGGTTTACTTTGCCAAAAGATGGATAAAGTGCCAGGAGAAGTGGGTAGGATACCTGACCAGCCAGCAAATGCATTTTGGGTGTACACTACCCAAAGAGTCGAGAGCGCACACCAAGCTTTGAAAAGAGGGATATCAGCAATTTCGTCTTTAGGGCTTGCATTTGAAGCTGTCAACTCCTATGTAGACAGGCTCAAAAGAGACTTCAATGCTATAAAAATCAGGGAATCAACAACTGTTGATGGTTTGGTTGGCCGCAACAAGCAGCTTTCCAGGCTTTTTATGAAAGTCTCTAAGAGAGCATTGCTTGTTATTGATCAAGAACTTCGCTTGATCAATAGAGACGATGAATTTTGTCATTGCAAAAACAGGTTTGAGTTCAACTTGCCCTGCAGACACTCGCTGCCAGCTGGAAGGGAGCTCACCCTTGATGATGTTCCTGAAAGATGGATCATAAATCCTGTTCTAAAAGAGACATCTTTTGAAGAAAGTTGTACAGTGCATGTAATTGCCGAGAGGCCAGAAGAGTGGATACAAGAGATTGTAAAGCTTGAGGCTCTTTTCTGCTCTTGTGAGGGCAGCCAGCAAGTGGCCAACCTCCTTCAAAAGATCAAGAAGGTTACTTCTGAATTCGAAGGCAAAACTGGGCACCCTTCGATTAACTTTCAAGCCCCAGAAAAAAATAAATATCCTGGCAGAAGAAAGGGTGGTGCACGTCCTAAATACCTTCCCAAAGACTTTGGTCGGGCAAACTGGAGGAAGATCAGTGTTCCGTTTGGTCATGTAAGATAAAAAAAATATAACATAACAAAGTACTAATATGTATCTTGAAATACTAGGCCGGACTTAAGGCAATGGTTAGGTTAAGAGCTAGAACAAGAGATGGAAAGCCTGCAGCTACACAAAAAACGAAATACAACAAAAAACAAAATAAAAGCAAAAAAGAGTCTCTCGATCTAGGTAATATATACTTTTATTTTATAGTGTAATTGAATTCATGAAAAAGAATCTAACCTTATACTAATATGCTTTTTAGTCGATGCCACTAAAAACAAAACAAAAAAAATAAAACAAGAGCCTCTCGACCCAGGTAATATTCTTTCTCATTTTTCAGTGTAATTGAATCCATAAAGAGAAATATTGTTGTATACTTATATGCTCTTTAGTCGATGCCACAAAAGAAATAGAGTTTAAAAGACCCACTACAGCTCAAGAAGATTACCAATATGACTATCGCACCTCTGTTGGCAAGAGGGTTAAATTTCAGCCCGGTTTTCCTTTCTCTCATGAGATAGTCGATGACGTTAAGGGTGGGTTTAACCCTACTGCTGATGGATGGTGTGGTTTTTGGGTCCTTGCCCATTTGATCTATAAAGATCAAGAAAAGTTCCCTCTTGTGAAAAGAGATATGCTTGCTACCCTTCCAAAATACAGCAGCATTTACGCCAGCACGTTTGGAGCCAATGTCAAGCAATCAGAAGACATTATAAAGCATGTTTCTGATCTCTGCATCACCAACTCCAACTCCAACTTCATCTCAGCGTGTTTAGATGCCAGTATGTGGTTTAGCATACCCAACTGTGCTCAACTAGCTGCAGACACCTATAAGCGACCAGTCTGCATCTACTCAGACAACCCCAACATCCCTTCCATATTGTTTCTTCTATTCACCCTTCTAAAAAAACATACCAAAACATCAACAACCTCTGATTTTCAATCATGTTAACAATAACCACTGGACAACAGTACACCTCTCCCGCAATGTCTCAAGGAAATGGCCAACCATTCCTGAGTTATTCTTTTTGGGTTGTGTCAGAAACCAGATTCCCGACAACTTTGATACTTACTGGAACAAGTTTAAAGAGTTCAATAAGTATGATCGTAGAAATGTGATGTTCTCTTTTCTTTCTGATAAAGAGGAACATGTTGATCTCACTATAACATAATCTTTTTTTCTTCTTTTTTTCTTTTATTTTTATTATATTTTTCTTTATATTTCATTAGCTAGACAACTTATTATTTATATACTCATTTACTCTTATATTTTATTAGCTAGACGATCTTTTTTTTTACCTTTATAAATCTTATCAATCTGTTTCTTTGCATCAACATAAGCTATCTATCACTTGTGGGTTAAATGACTCTCCACTCTGTTTTTTCATAGAAATCATTCGTGGGAAGTACTTTACCCTACGAGTTACACATATATCCAGCAAATCAAAAAGCATAAATGTTGGGTGGTGTTACACAGATAGAGCCAAACTATCTTCGAATATGTTATATTATGCATTTTTACCTATTTATTTCATCAATTCAAGTCTTGGCTCTCTATAACTTTGGATCCAAGTAGTGTATAAATATATGTATGGGTTCTAGAATTTTTAGTTGAATTGAAAGGGTGGATCATGAGAAAACTAACATAATATCCCAAAAAATTTGCTTTTTTTCAATAAAATAAAATATTGTATTTGCTTGTAGAATCACTTTTTTCTCATTTGTTTTCTATGAAACTTTTACTGGATTTATATATTATCTGAATATATGTAATTAAAAACTTTTTTTTGGTCTTATATGAATATTTTTCATTTTTTTGTATTTTTAATAACATATCTCATGTACATGTTGTAAGGAAATGATAGAAAGAGTTTTTACAGAATAAATAAAAACATGAATTTTGTAAATATATATTCGCTTAACTTCTATGCAAACTTTCTTAGGCATAAAAGGCTTCATTACCTTTATATTCATTATGAAAGTTTTTGAAAAAAATGCAAATTATATGGATTATAATTTTTTCCACTTAAATCACACAAAATGAAAACATATGATTTATGTCTCAAGTTAAATTGTGAAAATATGACTCATTAGCAGTCACAGGTATGTGATTTGTTGATGGGGGCCAAATAAATCTTATATCTTACAAATACTCAATTTTAGTTACCATTTTTGTGTAATAAGTTGATTCTATTTTTGCTTCTTTGCCTTATAATATTATATCATAATTATAGTAAGAAGTAAACTTATTAGTGTTTAACTATTAATTATGACTCTAAGTAGCTGTCACTTTATCTAATATATATTTTTTTTAATGTAAACTACATTTATTCTACAATTATTAGATATACTTTTTAATATATGTAAAATTAATTAATACTATATGTATTCTCAGGCATTTTTGTGACTTTGTTTTTCTTTTCTGAAGAAGATTTAGCAGTTTTTATTAGTGTTTATCTTAAATAAGTATTAACAAAAGGTAATGTTTATTACATTAAAGGATATTATAAGCCTAATAAAGTATTTAGTAAAGAAATTTCAAATTTTATAAGGTATTTTTTCAATAGGCAAGATATGAAGAGTCGTGACTTTTGGGGGACAACGTTTTCAGGGTAGGGCATGACATTTTCTATTAGGATATAATGTCTTGAAGTAACATGTTAGATAGTTTTTTATTATTCTATATATATATCAGTTAATTTATTACATATAGTATAAAACTTTAAGTATAGAATTATATATATAAAACAACACTTTTATATTTAGTCAAAGCTATTTTTTTATATGAGAAGATTTTTTATTATCATTTTGCCCAAAAACAGGTCGTGCTTTCTAAAGAAGGAGAGATATATGCCTGGAGACAGTTTGATGAATGCACAAAGTTTGGGAGCAATTTAGTGAGCTAATACGCATGAGTGGAGAAGGAAAAGACATAATTACATAGAGGAAAGAAGCGTAGAAAAAGCTATTATCCTGCCTTGTATAAAAGTATCTTTATTATGATAAGTATGAATCCTTAGGGACCAGATATAATTATTTGATACCGGACAGCAAGTCACAATTTGTGGTCCAGTAAAATCAAAACAACGTTTCCCATCAAAAAGGTAGTGCCCCATCCTGAAAATGTCGTCCCCCTAATATTAGCAGAACAAGTGACGGTCTTTACTTTTTGGTAAATGTCAGAATTGTTTTTGTTTTTGTTAATAAACAAAAATATTTTTCTTATATGTAAAACCTTTTGATGATATATTATTTTTTTATTATCTTTGAGTATTTAAGCTTCTAAAGTATGAAGGATTCTTGCTTCTATATTTATCCATCAATTGTACAGCATGTGCAAGTGCTCTTTTCATTTCTTCTACATCTGTTTGGTCTAAGTCCGGAATTGTCTTCAAAGTCTGTAGATCTTCAAAACAATGATACATTGTTGTAGAATATGTTGCAATTCTATCAAAGCCATGTGTATCTCTATGCTCAACAATACGTCTTTCCTCTACTATTTCCCCTACTTCGCCTTCGTTTTCATTTGTATAGCCTTGTCTGCTCAACTCTGCTCGTGCAATCTCTCTTCACTCGAAAAATCCAAATTTGACATCACAGTAGTGTTTAAGCAAGAATGAATGCTTACAAGGGATTTGGCGAGACAAGAAGTTTGGGCATGTACAGTCTTGTATCAAATTGTTGTTGACATTGATAATATACCATCTATTCTGAGTAGCAAAAGACTTTATCTGCCACTCACCATTATAATCATCCATGCTATTACCAGTCTCACCCAGAGGATTGAGAATCATGGAAGAAAGCATGTCATCTTGGATCTTTGATGCAGCAAAAGATTTTCTTGACAACTTATTTTCAGTGAGTCCCATTTCACCATTATTGAAATGGATGCACTCAACTTCTTGTTCATAAAAGAACTCAACATCATTTGTCAAGATAAAAATGAGACGATTCAATCTTCTTATGCATGTGCGACCAAAGTAAATGATCTTAAGTTGATTGTACCATGATTCAACATAATTGTTTGTTACATATCTTTGATGTTGCTGGCTAACGTAAGGGCGCCCCCATCTTCTCAACAATTCTTTGTTTTCGGTCCATTTCTTTTCAAAGTATTACAGAAATTGAGGTTGATCTTGGATCAACTGCTTGAAATCATTGATGGCTTTTTAAAACGTTTCTTTGTCTGACTCGATGAGAATCTGTCTCAAGTAGTTTTTCAATACAGTCTTATAGTTTCCAAGTTGTTCTGAAGTGAAAGACGTGTTTAACTTAATCTTACTGTTAAGATTATGTTGCCATGCACAAAGAACATGGAAATCACAGTAATGAATTGCTGCTTGAGGCAATGCTTCTTTGATTGCATTAACCTTTGGAATGCTGCAGTTAATTGTGATGTTCATTGGTGCAAAACCACTCTTGTTGCAAAGATGACGGAACTAATGGTGGATTGGAACAGCCGTCTGATTGTTGGCTATCATATATGCAGCAGAGAAGCCTTTTCCTGTCTGCAGATGGCAAGTGACTAAAGTGTATAATACTTCATCATTTTGGGATGAAATACAATGTGTGGCATCAAGACAAAAAGATTGTGACATTCTCATAATTGACACTTGTGTTCGTGATTGGAAACCGATAGCAAATTGTTTTTTAACATTGTTGTAGACAGAAAGATTGATATCAAAGATGCAATAATTCAGTGATGCTAACTTCACATTTAATCAGAGAGAAATAGATGCATTTTCATCAGAAGCAAACATATACAATAAAGTAGTCATCTATTTGATGTACATAGTATTTATTTAATTTAAAATCTTTATTGTGTATTCATTGACAAACCTTTCTCATTCTGTTGTAAATTACTTCATAATTAGGCTTTCTAATACCCACACCTCAATCATCGATCTGTCTCAACACAGAAATTCTGGTACTTCTACAGCTGCTGCCACTTTTCAACTGTTCTTCAATTATTCTAATTGCCTCAGAAGGCAAAGGAAGTGTTCGGATTTCCTTTTTCTCACTGGGAACATGGTAGACATGAGCTCTTGTTTGGCAGAAAGTGACAACATTACAGTTGCTAATGTACTGCTTAATCTGCAGAGCAGCTGTACAAGAACATGTCTTTGTGTCCTTTTGAGCAACGTGTGTCTGGCATTGAGATTCATATTTTCCAGCACGGTGACATTTTCTTGTTTCTCCAAAAACTAAATTTGCTTTGATATGTTTATGTTTTTTATTCCACTTTGTTGAACAGAGCTTATTAATTCGCACAAGACATTGTTTTCATTCACTAGCTTTAACTGATATTGTTGTATTTAAAGGAAGCATCTTGATTCCTTCTAAAGGCGAATTGATCAAGACTTGCTGGACATTGGAGATATTGTAAATAGTGTTGTTTGTATTGTGAGACATATTAAAGTGTATTTTTCAGGAAGGAGAAAAAAGTGTTTGTTAAAAAACAATTCCCAGATGTAGGATAAAAAAGCTATCAACTGTTATTAAATTTAGAAAGCCAGAACTGCATCAGCTACTAATTCAAACTCTCCATAGAAAAAAATAAGGGGCTTTGGAGAATGTTGACAGTATTCTCCATGCTGATAAAATGTCAGACCTTGAGAGTGATGACAAAAGAGAAGAAAAGGAACTGGATTCATTCTCAGAAAAGAGTTTTTTTTGGAGATTCCGCCCAAGCTGGAGAAGCGAAGAGGTATAGTACAAAAAAACTATTTTTTTGGATGGTGTGTAATAATACTTACATTGACATATAGGGAGATAGGTTCGTTGATGAACTTGATGCAGATTATGAGGCAGCTCATAATAAGAAAAATAATACCTGTCCATTCGAGCATAAATTTAAAGGAATAAGAGATAAGCAGCTTAGTAAGACCAAAGCAAACAAGCTGCCATCATGGTCAAAGAAACAATAAGATAATAAATCAAACATTTTCTAATAAATTGATAAAAGAGTGCAAAGTGGTATTTTATTAATATTATTTAAGCTTCTATTTTCTGGGGTAAAGGGATTACTAAACGTTTAAATTCACTAGTTATAGTAAACCTATATTTAGCAATTGCGATTGGTGAATATAAACCATGTACTGGAATAATACATTCATAATTAAGTACAGAAGAAGGTTCATTCCAGAGCTCAATGCCTTCATTTAACATTGGCTGGTAACTCCCCGAAGAATAACTAGAGTACCACTCAACAAACGCAAAAGTATGGGTGATGACAGTTTCGTTGATGGTTATCAAATGTTAAAATAAATACAGTATACGGCCAGGAAACGCTGCTTTATCTTCACTGTTATTCTCAAGATAATAGGCGCGGAAATAAGATTCAGAAGAGTGTTCCTGTCCAAGAAGAGATATCTATTTCATTTTCTCAATTCGGTTATTGACAAAAATCTGGTTAGACTTGCAGTTTGAATAATGACCAAAAAGATCGTGACTGCCATACGCGTGTCTGTAAAACTCCAGTAAACATTCATAATGTCCCTTGCACATTGTAATCCTTTGGTCGAGTTTAATCGGAAACACTGAAGGGGGCAACGGCTCACAACCCAAAGCAGAATGACGAGGGTTTAACGAATATTCAACAAAGTCAGACAGAGAAAAGATACTGGCAGTAGAAGATGGATGCAATGCTGCTAATTGATCTTGACTATTTAAAATGCAATGCAGAAAGTCAATTGCAAACTGGGGAAGATGGTTGATGAAAGATTGTATGAAGCTGTCAATGTATGTTCTCTCTAAAAATCTCTTCATCATCGTTGATTTGAAGCCGCCTTTTTGATTTGTTTCGATATTCTTCAACAAACCATTGTATCTCTCAAAACTGAATAACTAGAAAGCATAAATTGGCCCAAAGTCATGAACACACTCGCCAAGATGAAGATGTAGATGCATATTTGGTGTCATGGCCGATTTTCCATACAGTGTCTGAAATCTTGTACAAAACAATTGGAGTTTACTGTGGGCTTCATCTATTTCTTTGTCAATGATCGAAGGTTTTGTGAGTAAGCGGCATGCGTCAACAAACAAAATCCAGTTTTCGAGATTCTTGGCTGGAAGCACATGCTTCAGAACAAATGGAGAGTATATGACGCACCACAACTTCCACTTGTCAGCTTTCATGAACGAAAACCCATCGGCAATCTTCTTTGTTATACGTGCATATCCACAAGGTACAACAATACCATTAGCAAGCTCTTGCATAGTTAACTGATTCTTTTCATTGATGTAGTTACACTTGCGCCATATCTGAATCATTCGCTTTGCAGTTCCAAGATAGAGGTTATGCATTGGGTCTATAACTGTAAAGCGGACTGGGTCAAAGTAAGATAACCAATGAAGCTCTGACCACTGAGTGCCATTTTCTTTTTCTAGGCGTGTATGCTCAGTATTGTTCAATGCATTTGTCCAGCTGACAGCGTGTTCCAGATTCATTGTCTTCGTGCGTCTCACCCAATTGCTATACTTTAATCCAGAGTAGTCAAGCTTGCTGGTCTTCTTTATAGTCGTGAATTGTTGTTGACATTTGTGACAGGCGCATGTGCTCATGTGGCCAGTAAATCCAGAGGTTTTGCAAGCGGCAGGGATATCACAGGCAACACACATCAATGCAGCACAAACAACAATCTTTCTATTTTGTGAGTCTGTCATTTCTACACCAATGTACATCTCCAACAATTCGTCAACGAGTGGCTTCAAGTAATGATTTATGCTGTCAGTGCTTGTTTCTTTCGGCCCAGGCATCATACCAACAAGAATGACATTTTCAGACTTAAGGCGTTCACTCCGTGGGAGATTGTTGATAGAGAGATATATCGCACCACTGGAATGTGTTCGTCTATCAAATGGCTGAAACCAATCGATATTCAGAGTCAACATTAAAGATTGGCTATCATCAACAAACCGTCTGCCATTGATGTCTTTAATATCACTCCAAACTGCACCATCAAAAATGTCAAGTTTGGTGTTTTCAATTATTTGACGATTTCTCCACAAATTGATCTTGGACACGAAATCTGGCTTGGAGAATTTTTGTTGCAAGGCGTACTTCAGAGAGTTGAATGGATATAACATTGCTGGAAGAGAATGATTTCCGGTTGACACTTTAAAGATATTGTTGTTACAAATAGCAGATTAAGAGAATTTCTTAAATGTACAGACTCTTTGACTTGTTTCTGGAGGATAAATTGAATGACATTGTGAGCATGCAATATATATTGTCATTCCGTCTGTTGCCATATTAAATCCTGTTTTATGCTTCAAGCTATTGATCGTCAATGAAAGGGTGCCAGATATATCACAGAGAGACAGTAGAGTATTGCAAAACTCAATAAGAACTGATCCGCCACTTTCCACTAAAAAGATCAAGTGAAATATGACAATGAATACTGCAACAAAGCAGATATACAGGGGCATGTTATCAAAAGATAAAGAACAAACTATGAAGACAAAGATTAAGTTAGTTTAAATTAATGTATTGATTAATTGTCTATACTATATTAAATCATACCTGATTCTACTATCAAGGTCCCACTGATCTCATCAAAGTTTTCTTTGTGTTCAAAATCAAAACCAGTATCGCCTTCTTCAATCTCACTACCATCAACCACAAATGCTCCTGTAATTGTATCTTCATCAGTAAATATAAACTCTTCTTGGGACAAAGATAAGTTAACTGGAAAGGAATAATTGTTGTAAAGATATAGAAATAAAAATATAATTACAATTATAATCATATAAAAAATAAAAAATATATATATCAGTCTCAATTATTATTTTGTTCATTTATTTTATTTTATTTTCTTACCTTCTTGATCAAATTCAATGTTTTGTTCTTCATTTTCATCTTCATATTTGCCTTCGCATTTGTTTTTGTAATCATAATCATTGTCATTGTCAACACTATCTACTTCCATGTTGCCAAAATGTTCTTCAGGAACATCTATTTTAAAAATTAATTTATATTAATTTCACATGTACAGCTCAAGTTATTCTTGTTATTTACCTATTACATTGTCTTTGGCAACAGGCACTATATGTTTCTCATAGTGTTGTTGTGCATTTTGTCTTTTCTGTTTCTTTCTAAAGCTATCCAACTTTGTACAGTCTGGATATTTGCAGATAATATAACTGTCTTTCTTTTGATTATTGGACATGTTGATTGTTTAAAATTATATACAAAAATTATATAGCTTTTAAGAGATCTTGATCAAGATCTTTATATACTAAAAAATAAATTATAAATAGGTAAAATACTGCTCCATGTCATGACTATAGTATGCCAAGTAATTCTTCAATACATCTAGTGCACATATCATTATAATTATACTAATATATCATTAAGTCATTAACCAAGTCAAATACTGTATACATTACTAAAAGCGTACGCAATTTTTTTTGAAAGTCTTTTTTTAGAATTATAATATTTGATATGACAATGATTTGACCATGACAAAAAAAATCCAAAAATGAAACATTCGCCTCTCACAACATGTGAAATAAAAAAATCTGATATTTTAGTTCCATATATCAAAGGGAAAAATTACGCAAAAATATTGTCACAGTAAAAATGAAATCACAACCTCTTGTCTTGTTCCCCTGAAATATATTGATTAAATATTTGTTCTTATATTCACATTTATAATACATAAAAAAATATTTAAATAATTTATTTTGAAATAAAAAAAGTAAAACCTTAAGAATATATATAATTTTTATTAAATATTATATTAACATTTGTATAAATGTTTTTGCAGTATAATTTAGAATTATATTAAAGAAGTGTATAAAATAAAAAAAACCAATTTTGTAATTTTATAGCTAGAAAAAAAAGATGGTAGTGTGACTTTACAGCAAAAAAAGAGTGATCTGAAATCATAACAAAAAAAAATAGAAATTATCTGAAAAAATTAAAAATCGAAAATTTTAGTAAAATTTTTATAGATTTTTAGGAACTAAAATCAGCAGTCTTTTGCAGTGTATTGATCAGTCTCGATAGACTTGACTCAATATACTTGGATAATCAAACAAGTAAAATATCAATAGTGTTAAATATTAAGAGAACTTGTCAGAAAATAAAACGTAAAAAAATCAATATTTATTAAATGTAAGTATTACAATATTAATAGCTTTGCAATTGACTTGTTAAATAAATAAATAAATAAAATTATTGAAAAATATAATAAAAAGCTATATAATTGATGATCTATTAAATGTGATTTGTTTTTTACTATCATTAAGTACAAATAAAATAAAATAATTATTAAGTTATAATCATGAAATAAATTATGCTTGTAAAGAAAATATAATAAAAATAATGTTAATTTCAAGTTAATTCATTCAGTTAAATATAGCAAGAAAATAAGATAAGATGTATAGTTATGTAAAGTTATTTTTGATAGGCTGATGCTTTTTCATTGTACTTATTAGTGTTTTGCTCTACTAATAAAAAAAATCTTTCTATCCAGCCTTGGCCACCATCGGAAAATAAAAAAATAATGGAATATAATTTTTTTAGAATTATAAAGAATTCTGTAATGTTACCACATTGCCAGACAATCGAAATTTTGTTATAAGCTGACTATTTTTACAACACGCTGTGTCATAATTATCAGATTGCACTGAGCTAATAAATCAATGGCCAAGCAATATAAAGTCAGGCAAAGAAGTGTACTTAATAATAAAGAAATATACTTAAAGAAGTATGATCAAACAAACAAAATAATATAGTAGATAAAAAATGATTTTATTATGAACAGTTGCTATTGATATTTATACTAATTATCTGGAATGTTTGTCTTAAGATCTTATTTGATATGATGTCTCATCTATAAAAATGTTAATTTGAATTATTATTTCTACTATGTGAGAATGTAAGTAAGGAACAAAATAATTAATTACAAAAATATATTCATTTGCCCTTTTCTCTTTTTGAAACAATTGGTTTGAACTTTCTTTTTTGTTTCTTCACAAGCTTGTTGGCTACAACTATAGTATTGATGCGTGATGTGTTAGGGTTGTTATAGATTGTGACGGATCACTTGGCAAATAAAATTCAATGATAATAGAATAGAACAGAAGATGAATACAGTAAAAGGCAGCAAGTTGCAATAGTTGACAGATAAGAAAAGAGAGAACAACTGATAGAATCGTTGTTAAAAGTGAGAGAGAGGGAGAAGATGTATAAAAAGAAAATGACAAAACAGAAAAATAATAACTAGCAAGGAGACCAAAACCAACAAGCAACCTTCCTAAAACCAAGAAACTGATATGTTATGTCACAAGATGGTATAAATCACAAAGAGAAGAAAACAAGAAAAAGATACTGAATTAGATCAAAAGATAAAGATTTATTGAATGAAATTGTTTCTCTTTTATAGTCGATGAGGTTTAGAATTGATAATAGAAGTTCAGAAAAATATAGTAAAAATAGAATGATAAGTAATTGATACAGCAAAGATAAAATATATGAGTAAAGATACAGTAAAAATATAATAATAAAAGTACTGGTGTTGCACGGAGATGTTGGCAAAATGAATTGTGTACATTGTAGAAGAGGAATGTTACTAGCATAGGTGACCATGATTTCGAATGAGTATAATGTAGACAAATATGTTAACAAGGGAAAAAGAAAAAGTATTGTGTGTAGAAAGAACAGAGAATAAAAACAAAAAATTTCCTATGCACGGAAAAATCTCCTTTTACCACCAAGGGCACAGTACCATATCAACAAACAGTTGATGTCAGCCTCTCATAACTGGGACGATACATCACAACAAACTACCAGACAAACCCACCAAGCAGACTGACCTTCCAGTACCAGACACCACAACATAACCAAACCCCTGAGTTGCCCACAACATACTATAACAATTGACGTGTGTGGTGCTTGTATTTGTGGTAAATATTGACAGGTGATGTTATCATGGTTTTCGAGGTTTGAATGGGTTTGTAGATGTGAAATAACCTCTCTTTTCCACAAGAGAGAAAATGACAGACTCAAAAGAGAATGTAGAATTAAAAATAATAAAATCAATAAGAGAAAAATAAGAGAAAACAGTACTATTGATCAATCTCGGTAGACTTGACTCAATATACTTGGATAATCAAACAAATAAAATATCAACAGCGTTAAATATTAAGAGAACTTGTTGTCAGAAAATAAGACAAAGAAAAATCAATGTTTATTAAATGCAAGTATTGCAATATTTATAGTTTTGCAATTGACTTGGTGAATAATTAAATAAATCAAATTAAAAAATATATATATAAGAAAAGTTGTATAATCAACGATCTATTAAATGTGATTTGCTCTTTACTATCATTAAGTACAAATAAAATAATATAATTATTAAGTCATAATCATGAAGATAATTATGCTTGTAAGAATATATAATAAAAATAATATCAATTCCAAGTTGATTCGTTCAGTTAAATATAGTGAGAAAATAAGATACAATGTGTGGTTGCCTGAAGTTGTTGTTGACAGAATGATGCTTTTTTGTTGTACTTATTGATGTTTTGCTCTACGAATAGAAAAATTGCTTTCTATTCAGCCTCGGCTGCCATCAGAAAATCAAAAATAATAATAATAGAATATACTGGAAAAATTATCTGTCTAAACATATGTAAGAGTACAAGAAATTCTAGGTGACAGAATAATTAAATTCTATAATTTGGTATGTCTATATTCCGTCCTCTATATATTATATTACATATGAGTTGTCCAAGTAACTTCTGAAGCCATAATTGTCTATATACAGAAGCGTAGTTCTTTTAAATAATTAAACACAAAACCTTAATCAAAGTACATACTTTTTCTTTTTTTGTTTGGCACCATGTTACAGTAATACTGCTTTAGAGACGGTCTTATAAAGGAAAAAGCATCTGTTTTAGATAGAAAATTGTCTACTGAAATAATAGTATTCTATTGGATTATTTGATAGAGAAAAATGTCTACCAAAATAATGGTATTCTATTGGATCATTTAACAGAAAAAACAGGATTTATATATAATCTCTTCTGAATCTAAACACTTTTATTGGACAATTATGCCCGGCTAAACTATTGGATTTACACATGTCATACTACTGCAATACTTCTTGCACTTCATTTCAAATATTTTTGCAGGGATTGTTTTGGAAAAATTGTTTTTATTAAAAAAAAAGCTTTTTGCTTATAATATGTATGGCTTGACAATATATAGTCTAATGTAATATATAGCCTACTACATAATTAATATAATAGCAAACTCTTTCATATATTATGATATATGAATACTTCTAATATGATAGAATCCTAAAAAGAAATGGGTGTTAATGATATTTCATTTGTAAGAGAAAGCTAAAAAATTATTCAATTTTATTAGATTATACAAATATTTATTTTTCTTTAATTTAAATAGTATAATTACTTACCAGTGCTTTTGTCAAGACCAAACATAGTACAGATTGACTGTTGTTCTGAAAGGTTTAATAAAACGCATTAGCAAAGATCATGGAATATAGTTTGATTTTATTACTTACCAAAGAAACCTAGTTTTTAAAGAAAAGTCATTCAATCAGGTACATAGAAATGTTAGAAGTACTAACAGAGATAGAAGATAAATAAAATTAGATATAAAAATAAAATAAATAAATACATTATTTAGACTTACCAGATAAATTTCTAATGTTGGTATGTCTTTATGATGGGCTGATGAGCTAATGAGCTGATGAGAGAAAGAGAAAATTATTAATAAATAGATACATATACAATAACCATGTTTTATTTTTTTGATCTTGTCTGTTAAGCAACATGGCAGAGACTTGTAATAGTATCCACAACTACAATAATAATAAAGGGAAAAAATTAAGAATAAATATAACAAAAGAATAATAAATACCAAATTGCTTACCAGGGTGTGAACTCAAATACATTAACCAGAAAAGAAGTAAATAAAGTGGAAGAGAAACAGGAAAAAAAGAAAATAAGAAAAAATAAAAGAAAAGGAAGAAACATAAGATTTTTTTTAAAAAAACAAATAGTTTAAATTATAACAAACTTTAAAAAAAAAGTGAGAGTAAAATAAGTCTAGCTCAAAATAGATAATAGTACTCATTCTTGTATTGTACATTAAAGAAGTTGCTCAAGATTATAAAGGACATTTGTATTCAATAAATTATAAATCCCCCTTTTTTTCAACAATCTTATAAGTCTACTCTACACCACCTTATTCTGTATGTATATCTTTAGCTAAGCAGAAATAAATATAATTCAAATTGCATATTTATTTTTATAATATATTAATATTTAAAATATAATCAAAATACAATAAAGAAAATGCCTTCGAATAACAGTAAAAAGTCAGACCGCAAAGGAAAAGAGAAAGCAAATGCAAGTACAAGTGCATCTACTTCCATCAGTCATGTTTTGACTGGCCGTGTTTTGCCTAGCAAAATTGCCCCAAGTCTCCCACTGATTGCTAACCAAGACCAGAGATATATGGATATTGTTGACATGTTTAACAAAGTCAATGAAAACATTGAAGGTGTTAAGAGTGACATTGCTAATGTCAATACAAACATGACTACTTTCAAGAACAAGCTTGGAGTATTGGTTGGCACGTCTGAAAAGACAAATATGGCTTTTGTTGAATTTGCCAAAGCCTATGCCAATGACCAGGCCCGCATGGCTAGTGTAAGATCATCTTTGATGTCATATTCCGCCCCTCCACTCTCTCTCAGTGATGCTAAAATGACTGCAGTTATTTTGGTAATAAATATTTATATATGCTAGGTGTCAATATTTTATTAGATAAATCATATTTAGGAAATTCTGAAGGCAACAGTATGGAAAGCAAACTTTCAGTCCGATGACCCCGTACTTGTTGCTGATAATGAAAGCAAATAGAAGTGGAACAAGAATGAGAAAATCAATTACCCTGATAATGTTGTGGTGATCAAGTACCTCAAAAGCTATATTCTTGCACAACCACGTGCAAGTGGGTTTTCCCACAAGTTTGTAGTTGATAAAATCAAAAACAACTACAAATATTACCATCATAAAACTCATATGACAGATGAACAAAAGGCTGCTACAAGAAGCAAAGGGAGAGCAAACAGCCATACTGATCAGGTTTGTATTTGATACAAAAAATTAAATTAAGTATATTATCATTTTCTCATGTTTTAATATATAAATCTAGATGTGTACATAATGCAAGTGCACATATAACAGTAACTGGGTGGTCTTTGATGCTGCAATGGGGTTTAAGGCTGGAAACCCTGCTGAGAAGGTCTACCTCAGACTATTTAAGAAAGAGGTCATGTCTGATAGTGTGTTATATTTTTAGAAAAGAAAGAAAAACAAAGTGCAGACGAGAAGTACGGTGAGACTTTGTTTATTGATGAAAAGAGAGATGATCTTCTATTGCTATTTGCTATGCGAGTTTATATAGACATTGCGTGTGTATTTAGAATAATGATATGAGTATATCATGTGATATCTGTTTTCTTATATCATAGATAATATATTGTTAAGTTATTACCTACGCTCTTGTTTGAGTGATTAGTAATGTTGACTAAGGTGTGTGACCTTATTATTGGTATATTCTTTATTTAATGATAGTGTGAGAAATAATGTATAATTGATACTGGTCGCTTATTCAATATGTCTTTGTCTTATTGTCTGTGTGCTCTATTTGAATCTACAATTATGTTAGATACAACATAGTGAATCGGATACTGAGGTTAAGAATGGCAAACCAGAATGAGTGTTACATGTGACTCTCCCTACTTGGAGAAGTGATGAGATAAATAATATTTAGAATAAATAAATAAGATTTAAAACAAGAAAAATAAAGAACTAATAAAAATAAATACAGTTCAACAGATTGTTGGCAATTGTTGATGACATTGCGGCAGACCATGACTTGCAAAATGCAGGTGTGGGAACAAAGTCAAGAATGAAAAGATATCAAACAACAGTATTGCCTTGCTCTATTCCCACCAGTCTCTCTTGGTCATTGCCTGGTTGGGCAATCAACAATGAATAAACATTTTTTTTACTATGTTCTGTTGTAGGACTAAATAGTAATAATTGAAATTGAATTGATTAAAGGAAATAATAATAATAGAGGATAAATATATAAGTAAGTGTATGTATGAGAATTAATAGTAAATTTTTTTGGTAAAGGAATTGCAAGTTTTTTGTTGATGTTTTTTGTAGTTTTATAATCTACTATTGCAACTGTTAGGAGAATCTGATGTACTGGTAGAATGCTTTGAAAATCTTGCTTGTAGAATTCATCTTGTAACAACTCAACTCCTTCTAATTCTCTTGTTTTGTCCGAAATGGATTTGAACCATTTGACAAATGTAAATACATGCTGACTACCTTGGGGATTTCTGCATGTTAGAGAAGAAACAGTTGGGCCAAAGTTGTGAACAAAAAGGTACTGAATCTCTCCAACATAGGCATGTTCTGACCAAGTTCGTTTAGTAAAGTATGCTTATACATATAATCCTTGGCCATTTGTGCCAATGCATTCTTTGTAGGTCTGACCAAGAAGATTAACAGACTTTACCATTTCGATCCAGTCATTAACGAAAGGTGAGTCATCAATAATGTCTTTGTAGCTTGTGATCCAAGAATTGTTGTAGGCAACTTGATAATATTCTACAAGACAATCATACTGATTTTTTAGCATTATCAACAGAGACTTTGTTTGCAAAGGCAAGGCAGATGATGGCAGAGACTCATTTTCACAAATTGATATTGACAAGTTGCAAAAAGCTTCCAGAAATTCAGAAATTGAGAAAAAGTGAGAGAGATAGGTTATGTTGTTGTTGTTGTTGAAGAGCTTATCAAAAATGTCAAAACATTCTAGTGCATGCAAAGGTTTCTAAATGCGGTGAATAAAATCTCCCTTCCATGATTTTTCAATGAATTGTCTCATGAATATTGATTCAAAGCCATTTTGTCAGTTGGTCTTAATGTTTTTCAGAATGCTATTATATCTTTCGAAGCTGAAAAGCCAATATCTGTAAACTGGTCCAAAATCAGTAAGTGTTTTTTTAAGATATAAATGCAAATGCATGTTGGGAGAAAGAAGGTCCAGGTTTTATACTGTCTCGCATTCATTACAAAATTTCTCCAGGCATATATGTCCATTCTTGATATCTTCTTCAGAAACACTAGGCTTGGTGAAGTATCTGCATACGTTAACAGACTCTATCCAGTTCTTGAACTCTGGCAATAGCAACATATCCCTTAGAACTATAGGAGAGTACACATGGCACCAAGATATCCACTCATCAGCTTTCATATAGGGAAATCCCTTGGCAATCTTTGTCCCAAGTGACATGTAATCAGGCAGCAACACTACCTTCTTAACAGCCTTTTGCATGGCAATGAGTTTTTTATCATCAATCAATTTATCTGCAAGCCATCTCTCCATCATTCTTTTAGCAGTACCTAAGAATAGATTGTGCATTGGATCAATGATTGTGCAGCAGACAATGTCAAAGTACTGGAGACAATGCAGTTCAGACCAGCAAACATTATTTGCTACTTTGAGACGATGTCTCTCAGCATGCATGATTGCATTTTTCCAGACCTCTGCATCCTTACAATTGTCATTCTTAGTGCGTAGATGTCACTTTGAGAAATCAAACCCTGAATAATCAATGGAACTCTTTCCAGCTAACCTTAAAAATTGAAATTTACACAAATGGCATGTATTTGTACTTGTACAGGATGTGAATCCACATACTTTCCTTGCAGCCAGTATATCACAGACAACCATGAGAAGTGCTGCTTGAATATTGGTACCATTTGGACATTGATAAGTCTTGATTTTCATGCCTGTTTACAACTCCTTTAACTTGTCAACAGGAGGCTTGAGATAATAGTTGATATCTGATGTACTCACTTCTTTTGGTTCAGGCATTAATCCAACAAGGATCATGTTTTCTTTTTTGAACTATTCACTGCGTGGGAGATTGTTGATTGTGAGGTATATTGCGCCACAGGAATAGGTCACACCATCAAATGGCTGAAACCAGTCAATGTTTAGCGTGAGCATAAGGGACCGCACAGTATCAACAAAAGGAATTCTGTCTACGTCTACAAGCTTATTTCACATTGCCCCATCATATACGTCAAACAGAGTATTCTCCATTTTTGGGCCGCAGTTCCATGAATTGATGTTGTCTTCAAAATTAGATCACTGAAAGAACGTCTTCAATGCTTTTTTGACCAAGTGGAATACAAATGTCTTTTTTGGTACCCTTGACCCAGATCCAGTCTTGAATAGGCTGTTATTACACAGAGAACATTTTCCAAACATAGGCAATGTACAACAAATTGGAGAAGTATTGTTATTTTCATAAATGGTGTGGCATTTACTGTAGGCAATATACTTTTTGATTCCATTTGTCAAAACATTAAATCCTGCCAATCTTTTGAGCCCAGGAATATTCACAGGAAGGCAGAATAGATCAAATAAAAATTGAAGAATTTTGTTAACTATAGCAATCAAGATTACAGCTTCTTCATCTACAACATACAAAGTCACAAAAAAGGCAACAGAAATAATAATAAACTGGTAAATCAAATTCAATTCTGAGATTGATTTTAAAGAATTATCTACATTTTTTTAAAAAAAAATAATTAACTGTCTTTTATTTTTCAGAAACTAATATTCTATTAATCTATACAAACTTTCATCATTGGTCATTTCATTATCAGTCATTTCATCTTCAGGCTCTTCATCCTCAAGGCTGTCACTGACATAGAATGTATTTACTTCATCACCAAACACATTATCAGATTCAGATAAAGATAAGTTTCTTGTTGATGTATCTAATCTACAGTCGATGTTATTCAAATCTACTAAAAAGGAATTTTAGACCTAAATAAATCATCAAAATATAATAAAGCTATCTTACTTTTGAACACAAAATATACTTCAATGTCTTGCTGCTCAATCTCAAACATATCTTCATTGTAATTCACAGCCTCGGCAGTCTCCCAAATAACTGTCTCTTGCATTTCTTTAAGGGCTAAATTATTATGATTATTATGATTATTATTATTATATAAAATAAAGTAAATAAATTAATTTTATATGCTTGAATAAGTGTATTACCCAGAATATCTTTTTCTTGATAATGCTTAAATGTTTTAGCAGATACAAAATCATATCCCCCATCTTTATTTTTACAGATAGTACATTTACACTGCTTTCTTACAGTCTTTTGATAAATAGGAGCCATTTTAAATAAAAGCCAAATGTCTATAATAGTATTTAAAAGTAAAAGAAAGGATTTTAAAGATTTATTTTATTTTATTTTATTTGTGTTTAGTGTTGCTTTCTAATTATATACATCTTTTTATAGCCAATAGAGTTAGCAGAAATAATATTCAACAACTTTAATTACAAAAAAAACTGAGTAGCAATTCTATCTTTTCTGTCTCTCAGAACTGATATATGCTATACATATGCGAAATTGATACATTTTTGCAGTGATATAATTTTTTCTAGAATTACAAAGAATTCTGCAACGTCACCGCACTGCCGGACAACCGAAATTTTGTTTTTTAGTACTTTTTTGTAAACATCCCATATCTCCAATATAGTTGGAGAGATGGCCGAGTTGGTCTAAGGCGTCACGTTAAGGCCGTGATCTCTTCGGAGGCGTGGGTTCGAATCCCACTCTCTTCAAAACATCATTTTTGTCGTGTCTGAAATTTTGTCAGCCAATCAGGATGACGATTACACAGAATTCTCTGTCAAGTTGTTGGGCATTATTTTGATGAATCTGTAAAATCTGAAGATGGTTAACTGCAGTACCTCGTTATGCGCAGTAACATCTGTCAAGTCTCGATCTGGTATTTCTTTTCTGGCACTTGTAACTAAGTTGCAGAATCAATATCACTGGGGATTGTCAAGTTTATGAATAGTTTTTAGATAAGAATAAAGATGCTTTTTATTAAATATATTTCTTGACTATTTATACAAAATGATAATTGTTTTCTGGCTAAAAGAATAGCTAGAATAATATGTCTTAGATATCTGTTGTCCAGTAATATCTTCTTCAAGTATATTCACTGTCTTAAACATCTAAAACATATATGAAAGACCAATTGGCAAAGTCAAGATCTTTTATCCTAAAAAGTCAACTCTTACTAGTTGCTTATAACTACTGATTTTATTTACCGATGTCAACTCTGGCACATCTTCCTGAGTATTAACTGCAATATAATGTCTCTTCTTTTATTTAAATATAATATAATAGCTACTGCGGATAATGCGCAGTATTAGTTTAGAAAACTATATAAGACAATTCAATTCATATTAATAAAAAGTATCTTTTATCCTCTCTTTGATTTTACGTATACTCCTTGATCTCGAGTGGGTTTGACCTTTTGACTTTGTTATAGTAAAAGGAAGACCAACCCAGATCGGGAATAACAAAGTCTTGACTGGGTGTATCTTTCTATTATTTTAACTTGTATAAGTTTTGATAATAGATCATCACCAACTAGTACTACAAAAATTATATGATTTCCCCTTGAGAAACTTCGGTTGAATCAAAGGGAAATTTTGATAATATTTCAACTTTACAGGGTTTTTTACTTTTGGCAGCAATAATTTAATTGGGCCAATTCAATTGGATATAGCATATGCTATGCCTTCCAACATTTATTTTGACCAGTGCTTTGCTCTGTCACCAACCAACAAAAAAAACTTTTACTTTGATATTAAGACTAGACTAATTATATTTTAAAGACTATAAAAAGAAGTTTAATTATATGCTTTTATTACTTTGACTTTTGTAATTTTTGTAAATGCTATTGTGGTTATAGAATTGTAAATATATAAAGACATAGATAAATGGGGTTTTATTTCACAGATATTCTTTATATATATAAAATTTTTAAAAGAAAATGTAAAACTGAAACATTTTGTTTGAATATATTGGTTTTACATTGATAGAAAGCGATATAATATGACGTAGTTGGCAAAAATGAGAACAAATCAGTATAACATTGAAGAGATATGTTAAAAGGGATTACTGATTGGATACCTGATTTAAGGATTTCTAGCTACAATTTAGACTCTGATATTATAATAGGAAAGTCTATAAAAATAAACTATGTTACTGAATAATTTCCCTTTTTTGCAAATTTCATAAATGCAACCCAATTCCTAAAATGTCTAATAACGAAGTTGAATGCAGTTGCTCAGTATGCTCTCCAAATGGCAGATACTCTGTTATGGTCTCTTTCCAGACATGCCATAGACATTTTGCAGATGATGTACAAAGAAATTTCCAAAGACAATCTTGTATGTATAAAGCTACCTTAACATTTTATTTTACATGATAATTTAACACATTTATATAATACAATATCACTTGCAGAAGCAATAGACATGGTGAATGACAATGATAATGACATGGAAATTGATGTCAAGACAAATATTTCTGAAGATCTTAAATGTAATTATATTTTTTTTGCAAGTTTTATAAGCTCTTATAATTCTAATTATTCAACTCTTTCTACTATAGCTGTTTACAACTTACCCGGTTCTAATGATGAGGATTTGTCCAACTCTTACGAATTCAATAACAAATGTGAAAACATCAAAGGTTAGTATAAAAAGCAGATAAGAGAAATACCTTGAAATATATTTTGGATATTAATACAACTATGCAATAGAACAATTGTTTAGTCATGAAATGCCAGCAGATCTAACCCACAGTTTCATCGCATCCTTTGCTGCATATTTTATATCCAAATACATAATCAATTCTGGTAGTGCTATCTTTATCAAGTTTACCAATGAGGTGCTGGCACATTTTGGACAATCATTTTGTCTGCCGTTGAGTCTGAAGCGTTTGAATTCATTGACGGGTCTAAGCACATTGACTGCAGACATCCATCGCTTTGTACCATGTGACAAATGCCATAAGATTTTTTCTGAGTCAGCATCCAAGTCTAGTCCTCAGTGTTGCGACTTCAGAAAGTTGTCTGGAAACACATGTGGAAACAATTTGTTCTTGGAAGCCCCCAATAGCTTGGATAGATCAAGAAAGGTCTACATGTACAACTCGATAACAACAGCATTGTCCATCTTCTTTTTGCGTCCTGGATTTGAGAGATCAATTAACCTCTGGAGATTCCAACAGTAAGTACCAGGAACTCTGTTCGATGTGTACAATGGGGCAAAATGGAACTCATTGAAAGATAATACTGGTCAACAATTCGTAGCACATGAACATTCCATCATGCTAACACTTAACATTGATTGGTTCCAGCCCTTTGATGGGGTTACTTACTCTTGTGGCACGATCTACTTGTCCGTAAACAATCTGCCCAGGGAGGAAAAATACAAGAAGCAAAACATTGTCCTTGTGGGACTTATGCCAGGTCCAAGCAAAGCCAAAACGCATCAGATAAACCATTATCTTTGCCCTCTTGTAGCCGAGCTAAACCAATTGTATTCTGGTGTTGCTATTCCAACAAACGAGTGTTCTTCCGGTACCTTGGTCCGTGCTGCAATTCTTCTCGTTGCTTGTGACATCCCAGCTGCAAGGAAAACATGTGGATTTATATCGCATGCCAGTACTAACGCATGCCATGTATGCAACTGCCAATATTCTTGTTGTTCAGATGGCAAGGGTATGGACCATTCTGGTTTCAAATTCTCTGATTGGATTTTCAACACTGATGAAAAGAACAAAATAAATGCAGAGAGATGGAGACAAGCTGGTAGCAATGTTAAAAGAGCAAGGTTAGAGAAAGAGAATGATGTCTGCTGGTCAGAGCTCCATCGGCTTCAATACTTCAATGCAGTTGAGTGTATCATCATAGATCTGATGCATAATCTCTTCCTTGGCATGGCAAAAAGGATGATGGAGAAATAGAGAGAAGAGAATCTGATTACCAGTGAGCATCTGGCCGAAATGCAGCAAGACGCAGACAGTATGATCATTCCTCTCGGCATCACTCTATTGCATAACAAAATTGGAAGGGGCTTTCCATTCATGAAGGCAGACGAATAGAAGTCCTGGTGTTTGGTTTACTCTCCCATTCTCCTGGCTGGTCGTTTACCACCAGAAGATCTCTGTGACTGGATGGAGTTCATTCACGCATGCAAGTACTTGGCAAGACCAAGTATAACTGTTGAAGACTTGTCACATGCGCATGCTTTTTTAGAGTCGTTTGGTCAAAAGTGTCAGATTATGTTTGGGAATGATTTCATATCTCCCAACATGCATCTACACCTGCATTTCAAAGAAACCGTCCTCAACTTTGGCCCTGTATACGGGTACAGGCTCTTCAGCTTTGAGAGATACAATGGTGTATTAAAAAACTATACTACAAATAACAAAGATGGATTCGAAGGCACGTTCATGCGAAGATACCTTGAGGACACACGCAAGATAGATCTTTTCCATACAACAATGCAATCTCTCCAGACCCCCTCTCAAGTCTCTTTGATATATGACCTCGTTGATTCATTTCTGACTCTTGTCACTGTCACTGCCGCTACCACTACCACTATTGTCCCCACTGCACTGTACTTGTCAACCACTTCTTCTGGTTTCAATCTGAAGATCTTCCTTGCTTCCGCTGAAGTGAACATCAACAATGTCAAAGGCAACAAGCCATTGCGTTCTTCTGTCTTCCCTCTCAGTCTTGATGAGGTTTTTTCAATGAAAGAAGACGAGTATGTCCTTCTGCTTGAGTTATACTGTATGGCGTACAGCAATACTTCATTGAGAGGCTACCAAGACGTGATATTTGGCCAATTATTCATGAACAACATGATTCAGAAGATGCAGCCCATCAATCTTCTTGGCCAGGTATATAAAGGCAGCAATGGTATAGTTCGACATGGTTCAATCATACAAGCAATGTTTCATGAAAACAATAATCATGAAATGAGTGCGTTTACTGGCCAGATCCAATATCTTTTTGTCAGCAATATCATCAACCCAGTTACATACCAAGTGGACAGACATATATTTGCATATTTCATGTGGTATAGAACATCTAGTCAAGATACAAGAAGTGAGCAGTTTGTAGAGATGAGCGAATTTTTGTTTACAAGAAGCAATTTTCAAAACATCTTATCTGCTTACCGCATATTGATGCCTGCTGCCATTGGTGTACATACAACTGCCACTGGTAATACCCATATGCTCATTGCCCCTTTATATAGAAAAATTTATGCATAAACAAAAAAAATATATCTTTATTTATTATTACTATTATTATTATTAAAAATATTTGCTTTATACCAATGAGATGATGAAGAGAAAAAGTAATTTATATTGCCGTTTTTAAAGTTGTTTGCTTCGAATGAATAAGATGATGAAGAGAGAAAGTATTTTGTGTTGCTATTAAAGTCGTTTGCTTTGAATGAATAAAATGATGAAGAGAGAAATTATTTTGTATTGCTGTTAAAGTCCTTCGCTCCAAATGAATAAGATGAGGAGAATAACTATATTATATTGCTATCATTAAAAATCTTTACTTTGTACAAATGAGATAATGAAGAGATGAATTATATTTATTTATCATTATTAAAAAAATGGTTTATATAAATAAGATGACAAAGAGATGAATTATATTTATTTATTATTATCAAAAAAAATGGTTTGGAAGAATAAGATGAAGAGAAAAATTGTATTTATTTATTAATCTTTAATGGTCCATTGAGCTAGTGGGACTTTTAAATCATTGGAAACATCCACGTCACATGTAACTCTGGTATGAGGGATAAGTTTCAGTGATCTTTGCTATCCTTTTGCTACAGCATAATCGTCAAGACTTTCTAAGAGCGTTTGAAGCTATTTTTTTTCACGTTAATTATTTTTCATATATCAATTGATCTCTAAGTATATTATCTCATCACTTCTTCAGCTAGGGCAATGAGCCTTCAGACATTTACTGTTGGCTGATCTAGTTGCCTCATTGTCTGTCTCATCATCAGACATTACTGTCTTTTGAAGGACATGAGCACAATTGTCTCTTTTCGTGACCATATCAATGACTTCTTTGTTTTCAAGGTAAGCCATGGAATGCCGGTGAAGAAGCTATACATACATTTAAAAAATAACAGTGAGTATCAAATAATATATATATATACATATCTAATTAGACACTTACTAACAAACTACACTGATGTCTTCTTGATGCAGTTCTTTTTCTGTTTGCAGATGAAGGCATTCTGCAGGACTCACGGACCTGATTGCAAAAATAGTTTTTTACCATACGTGCAAGGTCACTTGTAAGTATGCCATCAGATTGGGGTTGGCTTCGCAAATACGCAGTTAGAGCCAGTGCAAGACCGTGATTATAGCCACCTGTAAAGTAGCTTGTAAGGACCAATCCTGGCTTTGCAGCATTTGTGGCTACTTTTCTTCAGTCACTACTGCTGAAGTTCCACTTTTTCAGATACCCATTGATCAATTTCTTAGAGAAAAGTGTTACATGTCTTGGCCATTATTCTCAAATCAAATCTTACCAAGATTGCTGGGTGTCTCTTTCCAGGCACATAATCATCTTCCATCAATAATGAAAGACCAGTGACCGCTTCAACGCCTGATGTAACATTGTATCTGGAAGCAGTATTCTGGACAACAGTTTGATCAGAAACAATATTTGCTACTGTCTCCTGAAGACGAGTTATGGTATCATTGGACTTGGTGATACCAGTGGCCATGCTTGCAATTTGGTCAGTAAGACTCTTCATCTGAGCATTAAGACTGGCCAGCATTGCCAGAACTGGATTGGCCACATTACCATCAACATGACTACCTGCCGGTCTTGTGGTAGGTGCATACATAACCAATTCTAGACCAGTGTTATTGTTGGGCATGATGTTATGTGCAATAGCCGCATGCACAAAATCATTCTCAGAGGGACTGTTAGAGGTGAAGTTGTTTATTTTCTATATAGAATCAAATATTAATATATGTTAGCTAATGAAATAAGCTTGACACAGTTTCTGTTGAATTTATATATACAAATAAAGAAGATGATTGAGAGAGGTCAATTAAGTAAAGTCGAAGCCCTATTTATTACAAAATTTCAACTATAGTAATTATTCAAACTGCATATGTTTCAATTTGGAGAAGTATATATCTTTGGGTAAATGAACCACCTTTTTTTTGAAACATTGTTTATCTGCCACTTTTCTTTGGAATCTATATATTTGAAGTCAAACTATTTTCTTTCTTTCTTTTCTCTTTTGTACTTTTTGACACAAATTTATGGTAAAACATTTTCCTTTTTTTTTGCTTCTTTGTTTTACTTCTTTGTTTTACTTTGATGTTTTACTTCTTTACCCACCGCTTTTTGTCTTCCAACAGTTTGACAAGTTATATATTTCTTTTTTTTTGATAAAGTATCTAACTAGAGACATGCCAATAAGTATATGTTTACTTAAGTATTTATTATTTACTAATAATGCCAACAATATAGATACCATTATATCCTTTTGATGCCACCCACAATAATATTCACATCTCATATTGTGGTATCTCTTTACGAAATACATGTATTCCAACTTTGCTTTTATATCTATCTTTTCTTTGTAAACATTATTCAATTAGGTCCGAGTATTATTTTCTTAGAACAATAACATCTGGTAAGTTTTTTTTAACGAGCAAATCATCTATACACTCATTATAAACAATACTAAATGTGATATCTTTTGGTAGCAATTAGCGTATCAAGAGCTTTAATCTTGTAGTGTTTACTAGTTGTCAATTATTAGTTTATGACAATTGTATCAAGCCTGTAAGTATCAATTTTCTTATATTTTATTTTCAATGATATCATCTAATATATATATCTTTCTTTTTTTGTGTTATATAGTTGACTGTTTCTTCAAGTAGGTATTGACATAAGTGCTTTAAACAATAACAATTCAACAGTATATGGTAGAAAGTATTGTTATAATCAATAGTTTTACGAAATGAATGTACCAAAAAAACTAGAATGCTCATCAAGAAAATATTCTTTTTCAAATATCAAAATAAATAAAACAAAAAAAAATTCACTCAAAATAATACAAAACCACTTCTTTAAAATGTATGGTTTCCCAAATGTGAAATGCTAAGAAATATACTTTCCCACAAATTCGTGCTATAAAACCATAAATTAATATATAATAAAAAAAGGGGAAAGTGTTCCTGCTAAAGAAGTATTTATGTCCGATTCAAAAATGAATGATTTCCTATAAATTTTATATAATAAAAATATAATTGTCCACAAATTCGTGTTATAAAACAAAAAATAAATATACAATGAAATAAGGGGAAAGTGTACCCACTAAAGAAGTATTTTTATTAGCTTAAAATGAATGCTTTCCTATAGATTTTATATGATAAAATACACTTTCCCACAAATTCGTATTATATAACTAGAGAAAAAATATACAGAAAAATATAGGGAAAGTATAGATGCAAAAGCAGTATTCATATCCTGGTTTTTTTTAGACTAAATGATGATCTAAAATAGAATATAATGACTACATGTATCAAGAGCACGGAGTATACACTCATTATTTCTATTCAAATACAATTGACGGACTAAGAAGGGTTATTGTTACTCAGTGAAACAATACTTACTTCATGATCTTAAACTTCTATCTACTTGATATAAGTATACTAGATATCTCACAGGTAACATTCCTAAAACCACACAGAAATCGCGGCTTTAAACTCAATATTTGCATACTTTCTACTTCATGAAATCATATAATTTTTGTAGTGTAGGACGTTGTGAATAAATAAAAACAGATAGGAATATAGAGAATTGAATGCTTTTTATTGATATAAATCTTGGAGTATTTATACAGATTTCTTAAAAGTGAAACTATCTAATCTAATTATTTTACTTAAGACATATTGGTTTTACATTTATGGAAGGCAATATAATATGTCTTGATTAACAAAAAGGGAAACCAATCAGTATAACATTGAGGGCATATGTTAAAAGGAATAACCAATTGGATACCTGACTTAAGGATTTCTATCCATGATGTCAACTCTGACAAATATGTCAAGTCTCGATCTGGTATTTTTTTTCTGGCACTTGTAAGTTTCAGAATAAATATCACTAGAGATTATCAAGTTTATGAATAGTTTTTGGATATAGTGCAAGTTTCAATAAGTATCAATTTTTTCTAATCATTTCAATATTCAAAATCGAAAACTCCGCAACTTTTAGTATTAAAACACCAATCAATTAATAAAAAAAAGATAGAGAGAAGTTTTTTTATTATAATAGTTATTTAATAGAGAGATAAAGATAAAATATATTGTATTATTCATTTTTTTTAGAGATTTAAAATTTTAGTTATTTTTTAGAACTTTTCTATGTGAAGCATAAACTCTGGCAGAGTATTGTTTTACTTTTTCATATGTATCATCACCAGTGCAGTTTTGACTGTAGACTTCAATGAAACACTAGGACTTGTTGTAAAAGCAGTGAACCTTTGCAAGTTCACCAGCTCTGTCCAGATAAGAGTTGACATTAATCTTTAGTGATTTAAAGTTATAGTCAGACTTCTTTCTGACCAAATCCTTGGCAGGTCCACAGTACCTCTCTATCCAGTTGCACTCGCAGTGAAACTTTGGATACATCTCAAAGATGTGATCATTTGCCTTCACAACCTCACAGATAATAATCTTTTGTTTCTTAAAATTGGGTTGGACAGCAAGAAAGTGGTGGGCGCAGCATTTAGAATCCGGCTCTTCATCTTTACATCAATCAGCAAGCCACTTGCTACCAGACTTGTATGGATTTGTATTCAACCAAAGAAGACACTTCTCCAAATACTTCTGATTTCTTTTACGTATTTTACAGCAATATCCACAGATCTTTTCTTCTTTGTTATGGTTTCCATTTTCATATAATACATAGCCTGAGGACAAGGCTCACCATCCAAAAGAAATGTTGTGTTCTTAAAATCAAACTCTTTGTCTTCTTTGACTGGCTTGTTGTTCAAGGTAAACCTTTTGGCAAGTAAGACATTGTTTGCAAATGCTTGATGATTGCTGCTTTGGTCGAATATAAATACAGCTTGACTGTCCGGGTGCAGCAACTCAAAGAGGGAAATTACATCTTTTGTAAGCTGCTTGATTATATTGTCACTTGTCCAGTATCCATCTCTTCCTTCACTGGCAAAAAACAGCTTTCAGGAACTCCACTTCTGTCTTCGCATTGTATCATGACAAGCACATTGAAACTCATTGACTATTATACTTTGCCCTTGACCTTTTCTGGGCAAAGGGTTTTCTTTGTCGTCCAGCCAGTTTCTCTCTCTTCTGTCATATACATAAAAGGTTGATTCGTCACGTGTAACCAAAACAAGTTTCTTTTTACTATGCAAGACTTTTGGCTCTTCAACAACTTCCTTGTTATCTCCCGAATATTCTTCCATTCTTCTTTTATATGTCATCATTTGCTTTGACTATTTTTCTCTATACTTGACAACATCTTCTCTTTTGTGACCATTAACATAAACTGTGCTAGTAGATTTTCTGAATGAGAATCCCCAAGTTTTCATATATTTATTGATACTAAATAAAGATATATCTCCAACAACTCCAAATTTTACTGGATACAAAATTTGATCAATATATCTCTTAACATTGCTAGCTGTTCTTTTCTCAATTTTTTGCTGACAGATCCAGTTTGACGTTGCATTTGCAATAGCTTCATCTGCAAGTATAAAAGGTGGTCGAATGAATTTTCCCTGTTGACGCCGAGAAATATATCTGGTGACAATATACTCCTTTCCCCACTTTCGGATGGCGAGTGAGAGATATGTGTTAGTTTGGTTATACACATTCTCCATTGCTTGAATTAATGCTTCCATTTTTCTAAAGTCTTGAATTCTATTGAAAAAATATGTTTTCACAGCCTGGTGCTTCATTATCTCATATACACTGATACATCTGTCAGAAGGAAAACTGATTTGTTGCTTAATATATTCACAAAGATTCTCATAAGAAAGCTGAATTTTCTCATTCTCACTCTCAGTCTCAGCATCAAATAATTCTTCTTGAGAGGTCTCACTGATTGTATTCTCTACAAGTGCTGTATTTGATTAAGTCAATCAAAACAATCCCAAATCTTCAAGGTTATGGTTGCTCTTAGCATTCTCAATTAATGTGTCTTCAGCCTTGCGCTTTCTCTACATTGTTGTTGACGAGTCTTTTCTATATACTCCAGGAATATCTTTTCTAGCACCCTCTCTTCAATAAAGGATAGGGCTTGATGAATTTATTTTGGTCTCTTCAAGTTCAGTATTCAAATATTTGATATCTAAATTATAGACAAGTAATTCTTTATTCTTTCTGGCAGCATTTTCCATTATATTTTAAACCATGCACTTAATATACTGCTGGTGGCAACTAGGGAAAGGCATGTTGTATAAAGACTTGAATTAAATATATAAAAATATTTGGTAGATTTTTTGTATATGATGTTTATTTCCAAAGGAAGAAAAGAATAAAAATTTGATGTACTTTTCTCTTAGCAAAATCTACTGGTGTTTATATGTTTTTAAAATTATATTTTTAGTATGCAACAAAGTAAACATTTATTCTGATAGTTTTATTCTAAAAAAATGTTATTCTCCTAGAAAAACGTACTGTGTGAAAGCTTTCACAACGAATCAGCTATCAGTTAAAGAATGATATTTACGCTATTGGTAGCATTTAATATTCTGGTACTAAAACTTGGATAATGTTTTTGGAAGAAGATAATCAATTGGGTATAAGGTCTATGTTTTAGGCAATGAGACAAAGGCAGATCCATTCTACCTGCATTACATCAGAAAAAATTATTTAATAATCAGTCTCATCTTGTGTTTCAGCAGTCATCTTTTTTTCTCTTAGTTTCAGCAGTCATTTTATAATATTTAGTGTCCGATGTATAATTTTTTTTTGGTTTTGCCACTAATGACTGTTCAAAGTAATAATAAATAATAAACTTTTTATCTTACTTTAAAGGTCTCTAAATAAATATTTTACATATAGAAATAAAAAACTATTGACATAAGTCGATAGAGAATTCTATTCTGTATAATTACCTATAATTTGTTTTTTACAAATGGTATTTCACAAAATGTTGAACCCATTTAAAGATTTTTATAATTTTTTGATATCTCTTTAGGTACTCATTACACTAAGAATTTATCTGTTTTTATGTTGAAGATAATATTTTCTTTACTTATTTTAAATTTGTTGCATTAAATATTTTACATAAAGAAATAAAAAACTATTGACATGAGTTGATAGAGAATTCAATTATCCATAATTACATCTAATTTGTTTTTTACAAATATTATTTCACAAAATGTTCAGCCTATTTAAAAATTTTTATAATTTTTCTGTACCTCTTTAAGTGCACATTACATTCAGAATTTATATACTTTTAACCTCACTACTGTTGTATTTGACAGTCATATAATTTTTTATAAAACAAGTCCTATCAAAAACAGAGCATTAATCTCAAAAGCCAATGATAAATATGGATCTGAAAGTAAAGAAGCCTTATAAAAAGGGCATAACTGTCATAGTTAGAAGATCATCTTAACCGATACCAACTTTCTCTTTTTCTCTTTCAATAAAACCACAATATAAAATTTCACTTTATTTTCTTTGTCTCTTCTCAAAATTAAACCCAAATATAACAACTACAACGATTTTGAAAATACATACTTTGTACAAAATAATAACAACAGTTGAGATATAATATTAAAGATATATCTTATACATAATTATCAAAAGATATATTATAGTAAAAGTTATAAAGCAAAGTATTCAAGCTGTCTATAACAACTGAACTGGAGAAAGAAGTTTAAAGACATATTCATGTGATATATTACCATAAATGGATATTGGTAATTTAAAATCCCACTTTTTACAAGGTTTGTACCATTTCAATATTGTAAATTTTCTTTAAAATACCACTAAAATTCATTTTTTCACCTAACTTTAAAGAGAGATAAAAAATATTTTTTTATCAAGAGAAAACAAGATAGCAATCTACATCAATAGAGAAAAGTCTTACAAGTCTTATTATATTTGAACTGTTTAATAGAAATGATTTCCGATTTTTTTCAACCAGCTTAAAAAAAATCTAATTTTATTAACACATATATCAAATTATACTATATTAGATAAAGTGATGGCTACTTAGAGTTATAATTATTACTTAAACACTAATAAGTTTACTTCTTACTATAATTATGATATAATATTGTAAGGCAAAGAAGCAAAAATAGTATCAGCTTATTATACAAAAATAGTAACCAAAATTGAGTATTTGTAAGATATAAAATTTATTTGGCTTCTGTCAACAAATCACATATCTGTGACTGCTAATGAGTCATATTTTCAAGATTTAGCTTGAGATATAAAGCATATGTTTTCATTTTTTCCCAAAACTTTCATAATGGATATAAAGCTAATGAAGCCTTTTATGACTAAGAAAGTTTGTATAGAAGTTAAGCAAATATATATTTACAAAATTCATGTTTTTATTTTTTATTTTTTATTTTTATTTCTTCTGTAAAAACTCTTTCTATCATTTTCTTATAACATGTGCATGAGATATTTTATCAAAAATACAAAAAAAATAAAAAATATTTATAAAAGATCAAAAAAAAGTTTTTAATTCCATATATTCAGATAAAATATGAATCCAGTAAAAGCTTTATAGAAAACAAATGAGAAAAAAATCATTTTACAAGCAAATACAATATTTTATTTTATTGAAAAAATGCAAATTTTTGAGATATTATGTTAGTTTTCTTATGATCTAGATTTTCAATTCAAACAAAACTTCTAACACACATACATATATTTATACACTACTTGGATTTAAAGTTATAGAGAGCCAATACTTGAATTGTTGAAATAGATAGATAGAAATGCATAATATAATATATCTGAAAATAATTTGGCTCTATCTGTGTAACACCACCTGATATTTATGCTTTTTAATTCGCCAAATATATTGTAACTCGTAGAGTAAAGTACTTCCCACAAATAATTTCTATGAAAAAAACAGAGTGAAAAGTCATTTAGCCTGCAAATAATAGATAGCTTATGTTAATGCAACAAAACAGATTGATAAGATTTATAAAGATAAAATAAAAGACCGTCTAGCTAATAACATATTAGAGTAAATGAGTATATAAATAATAAGTTGCCTAGGTGATGAAATATAAAGAAAAATATAATAAAAATAAAAGAAAGAAAGAAGAAAAAAAGATTATGTTATAGTGGGATGAGTAGGTTCCTTTTCATTGGAAAGAAAAAAGAGTATGTCATTTCTACAATCATATTTATTGAACTCTTTAAACTTGTTCCAGTAAGTATCAAAGTTGTTGGGAATCTGATTTCTGACACAACCCAAAAAGAATAACTCAGGAATGATTGACCATTTCCTTGAGACATTGCGGGAAAAGTGTACTATTATCCAGTAGTTATTGTTAACATGATTGAAAATCAGAGGTTGTTGATGTTTTGGTATGTTTTTTTAGAAGGGTGAATAGAAAAAACAATATGGAAGGGATGTTGGGGTTGTCTGAGTAGACGCGGACTGATTGCTTATAGGTGTATGCAGCTAGTTGAGCACAGTTGAGTGTGCTAAATCACATACTGACATCTAAACACGCTGAGATGAAGTTGGTGTTGGAGTTGGAGTTCGTGATGCAGAGATCAGAACCATGCTCTATAATGTCTTCTAATTGCTTACCATTGGTTCGAAACGTGCTGGCGTAAATGTGACTGTATTTTGGAAGGGTAGCAAGCATATACATTTTCACAAGAGGGAACTTTTCTTGATCTTTATAGATCAAATGGGTAAGGGCCCAAAACCACACCACCTATCAGCAGTAGGGTTAAACTCACTCTTAACGTCATCAACTATTTTATGAGAGACATGAAAACTAGGCTGGAATTTAACCCTCTTGCCAACAGAGGTGCAATAGTCATATTGGTAATCTTCTTGAGCTATAGCAGGTCTTTTAAATCCTATTTCTTTTGTAGCATTGACTAAAGAGCATATAAGTATACAACAATATTTCTCTTTATGGATTCAATTACACTGCAAAATGAGAAAGAATATTATCTGGGTTGAGAGGCTCTTGTTTTATTTTTTTGTTTTGTTTTTGGTGGAATCGACTAAAAAGCATATTAGTATAAGATTAGATTCCTTTTTATGAATTCAATTACACTGTAAAATAAAAGTATATATTACCTAGATCGAGAGACTCTTTTTTGCTTTTGTTTTGTATTTTGCTGTTTTTTATTTTTTGTGTAGCTGCAGGCTTTCCATCTCTTGTTCTAGCTCTTAACTTAACTATTCCCTTAAGGCCAGCCTAGTATTTCAAGATACATATTAATACTTTGTTATTGTTGTATCCAATATAATCATAGATTTAAATTAAAAGTACAGACACTCAATAAATACGTACATCGAGTTACTGACAACTAGTAATAATACTAAAAGATATACCTTCCCTTATACAAGGAAATTACGTAAAGAACATACTAAGACAAATACTGAGACTCTAGCCAATAACACTAAAAACATAAGAACTAAATCATAGAAAATAATGGTAGAGAAACAGACATTACATGATATCATCATATCATCACCAAGCTAAATACAATGTCTATATAAATGCACAATACTAATAGCAATAGAACGTCATCTCCTTTCTGATTCTTTCACTTCTTCTAATAAAACAAAGTCTCACCGTGCTCTCGTCTGCACTTGTTTTATTTTATATCTTATTTTTACCTCATACATAATAGTTATGTTATATTTTTCTATCTTATATGACCAGACGAAACACTGATCTTACATCTGTTTGTCTGACTAAAGTCTTTGGGAAGGTATTTGGGATGTGCACCACCCTTTCTTCTGCCAGGATATTTAATTTATTCTGGGGCTTGAAAGTTAATCGAAGGGTGTCCAGTTTTGCCTTCAAACTCAGAAGTAACCATCTTAATCTTTTAAAGGAGGTTGGCCATTTGCTGGCTGCCATCACAAGAGCAGAAAAGAGTCTCAAGCTTTACAATCTCTTGCATCCACTCTTCTGGCCTCTCAGTATTGACATGTGCTGTACGACTTTCTTTGAAGGATGTCTCTTTTGGAACAGGATTTATGATCCATCTTTCTAGAACATCATCAAGAGTGAGCTCCCTTCCAGCTGGCAGCAAGTGTTTGCAGGACAAGCTGAACTCAAACCTGTTTTTGCAATGACAAAATTCATTGTCTCTATTAATCAATCAAAGTTCTTGATTAATAACAAGCAATACTCTCTTAGAGACTTTCATAAAAAGTCTGGAAAGCTGCTTGTTGCAGCCAACCAAGATATCAACAGTTGTCAATTCCTTAATTTTTATAGTATTGAAGTCTCTTTTGAGCCTGTCTACATAGGAGTTGACAGCTTCAAATGCAAGTCCCAAAGACAAAATTGCTGATATCCCTCTTTTCAAAGCTTGATGTGCGCTCTCAACTCTCTGGGTAGTTGTATACCCAAAATGCATTTGCTGGCTGATCAGGTATCCTGCCCACTTCTCCTGGCACTTTATCCATCTTTTGGCAAAGTAAACCAATACATCTATCTTAAACTCTCCTTCGCCCACTTCACAACCAGAAGATACTGCACTGAACTTTATCAACGCAACCTCAAAATCCCTTCTGGTACTGCTGTGAATCATGGAGTTTACATACTCTATAAGGACCTCTTTCTCTACAACTGACTTGAGTTTTCCAGTGAAGACTTTCTCAACGCTATTCAACATATGCCAGTAGTATAGCAATTTGACATTTTTTGGGAATACAATGTCAAGTGCATTCATTAAGGCCATATATTTGTCTGTTCCAAATAGAGAACTACTTTTCTTGTTTTCAAAAACAAGTGCATTGAGCTGCTCAAGGAACCAAACATAGATCTCCTGTTTCTCATTCGAAACCCAGGTGAAGACAATGGGAAACAATTTAAGAGTGTCTCCTCCAAGGTTATAGACACCTTCCACGCATACAAGAGGTATTTTCAAATTGTTGGTTGAGTAGGTGACATTGATGGCCATAACTTCTGAGAAACGATGGGCTCTTTCTAGCATCTTTGGGTGCGAGAAAAATACTCTTTCAAGAGATCCATATTTGCTGGCGTCATAGTGTACAAGATATTCCTTGGCTTCTATGCTTTTAACGAGTTCAGTACATGCATCCTGAGAAGTGTAAGCAGTAGTATGAGTAAAAGCAGCCTTGTTATTGTTGATGTCATTCACATACAACTTGTGGCTGACATTATCCTCTTCATTGATTGCGTTTTGGATCTTACAAGTCTTAGTTTTAGTCTCAACAAGCTTCATGATCTCCCTAGCATCATCTACAGTAATCTTTGACAAACGACCTTTCAAAGTAGATTTCAGGCAGTCATCATCAAGAGGGTGATTGTGGTAGCCTTCAATCTCATTGGTGGCTTTCAAAAGAAGATATCCTTTAGCAGCCTTCTTGTATGATATTTTCAAGAGATAGGGACATTCAGTCTTTCTACTAGACGGAATTCTCTTGCGTTTACTGTCTTTAATATTCTGCGTGTTCCTATAATGACCGCCCTTGGCATATTTCAAATACACTCGAGTTGGTTTACTATCTCTAGTTACAAGTGCAAAATTGTTGGCAAGTGCATATTCCTGCATCTTTGAAATTGTCACTGCCATGTCACTGTAATCATTAACTGGTGAGACAGAAAGAGGTTGCTGGACAGAATAATATTTCTTTCTATTGAAAAAGTGGATTTCTTTATTGATAGAATTCATATTGAAGTGATTTCTAAAGAATACTTATTAACATTATGATTTTTAATTGCTAATATGCAATGAGCAAAGTAATTTCTTTACTATATCTGAGAAATAAAATTTAAGTGCGATTGATTAGTAGTTCTTACAAGATGAGTATAGAATAGAAAAGAAGGTTTTACATTTAAATATTGAGTTAAGAATTTCAGGACACATCGTTTTGCCCTGAAGGATTTGAGAAAAGATGTTGGATCTTAGACAAGTAGTCACAACAAATTAGTTTGGCAAAAAAAAGGTAGTGTTCCATCCTGAAAATGTCATTCCCGTAAGATTGCTGTAGAACTGTCTACTGATATTTATATGTTTTTCTAATTTGTAATTCAGTGTGTGCTTAAGTAATCCTTATCACAATGAGTTATCTTCTAGGAGTATTGTTCTTCTGAAAAGATCCAAAAAGACTAATTGATATGATACTTCTCCAGTCAGATCAGTCTGAGAGTTTTGGTAAAGAAGAGCATTTATGCTATTGGTAATATTTTACTATTCTGACTCAGACACTCAGGTAATGTTTCATAATATTAAATAGTTGTAGTTGTAGTCTCTCAATTAAATATTTGTCAAATAAAAGAAATATGTATATGAACTGTTGTAAATGTGTATTGACTACTGCTGTAATTGAGAATAAGTCTGAAGGAAATAATATAAGGCCTCAGCTATTCCAGTCAAAGATGTCTACCAATTACTTTATTATTTAACACACAGGTTTAGCATGCATGATAGTGATTATATTTCATATGATGATATCACCATAATATGTGATACATCAGTGAATTATTATAAGCATAATTATAACTCATAAACACATTTACTTTCGATGTTAATACTTCATTGGGACTACACACATTTATATAATTAATCATACATTAATTATCCTAAGATCACGTTGCTCTGATTAAGGCTTAGATAGAATCGATTACCTGACCCCAGTCATATAATTTTCCCAATCCAAAATAATATAAATAGCAGTAGTAGTTCAGTGTAGGAACCTGGTCAAACTTTGATACAAAATCTTTTCTCAATAAACAAACCCTACACAAGTTCTCACAAATCTTCGTTCCTCATTTCAAATCTTCAATTCTTCCTTTTAAAAACTTCTTCAACTTCAACCACCACAACATGAACTATAATGATGCCATATATATAATGTACACGTATTTGTATATCCCATTTCACGGTGATAATAATAAATAATCAATTATGTGTATGATGATCTGTGTATTAGATAATATCATAAAGGCAGATACGTTTGACTGAAATAGCTGAAGATATTATTTTATCCTTCAGTTTTACTCTCAGATTCAGCAGTAATCAATACTCATTTACAACACATATCTATCAATAGCTCTCAGCATATCAATATGTATCTGGCTAGCAGATTTGGATGACTGTTCTAATTGTTGGGACAGCTCATGAAGATATTTCTTAGCAAGAGGAAGAGTATAGATATCTTCATGAACATCACCAGGAGTATACTCAGTATGATATTTTGTCCAAGTTATCTCATACCACTCTGACGTCTTTGAGAATCCTCTGACACAAAGAAGAGCAGGACACTTATTTTTCTTAGTTCGTTTCTGAACTACTCTTATGGCTGCCTTGGATTCATAAGTGCCAGCATGATGACACAAATACTTCTGGGAAAAGCACATCTTAATACCACTGTCTTTGGCTTCTTCAGCAGTAATATCAGTAGGTTGCTTGTTAGAATTACGGATAATCCATTTGACTGCACAGGATTCACCAATTTCTAGCAAGCAATCTCTCCACTGAAATGTTCTAACTTTTATAGTAGTATCAAGTCTAAGAGTCATCACTCCAGAAACAGATGTACACTCCAATGCTTCAGAGATTGTTGCCAAGATGTAAATGTTTTTGTTGGATTGAATGTTGTTCGTTGGCATATTTAGTGAATAATTATTTGAAAATAAAAATGCGTAATTTAAAGGATATAGAACCTTTGTTTCAAATAAACAATTCAAAAACAAGAGAAAGTATTAACAGTCACTATTTCAGTTAATAATTTTCTATCTATCAGAAAATATAGACTTTCAGAAAAACAATGGATGGAGAATAAATTGTTGAAAAAATAAAAAGAAAGAAAATTAATGAATTTATGCAATGTGTGATGTCTTCATTGCCAAATTATGGGCCATTGCACTTGACACTTTTTCCGCAACCACACCAGCCAAGAACGGAGATTCGTTGAAGATGAAGTTCTAATAAGTGCATCAAATGGCATGTGCTATGATAGCAACAAGTACCACAAGCAGGGCAGACGTATAGGAGCGCTTTGGCCATTTACCCAGAAAAAGAATGTTATTAGCTGCTTGCAGATTCCATTTTGGTGCATGGCAAGCCAACATGATATTCTAAACATGGGATTTGGGCGGACAGGAAAAGAAAAAGTGTATGGGGTCCTCTACGGGGGCAGAACACAGTTAGCAAACAGTAGACAACACTTTGGTAGGGATGATGTAGTGGATGCGGGCATGGGCCAGAATGCAGTTTCATAATGCTTTCCACCAAACGTTCCGACAGTGGTATGGGATGGTTTGACACCAGAAACTCTTCCAGCAGGCAGGGGTCCAATTGGTGGTCTTTACCAGAAGAGCCATATGTCTTCGAAAAGCACCCATAGTAACTTAGACTAGACTTTTGTTATTGATATGAACCATATTTAGAAACAAAATTAGATCATGTGACGCGGGAAAGGAGGGCAGAGATACTATGCAGTTCTAGAACCATAAATGTAGCTGCAGGCATCTAGCATCAATAGTCTGAGATAGGTGATATATCCAGTTTTGAGCCTTAGGGAAGTCATGATATAGACGTCTGAGAATCACACCATTCTGTGATAGTTTGAAAGCATTTAAAACCTTGACACCTTTCAGCACTGGGGCCTTGTCAGTGGTATTGGTGGTATGGAATATAGCACCAAGGGGAAAGTGGAGCACAAAACTAGAGGGGAAGGACATTTCGTGCGGCATGACCATAGGCAAAATATGTGAGCAGGTGCAATAAAGATAGAGCAATGACAATGGGCAGGAGGCAGCAGGGCCAGGAAACAGGATACCAAGGCTAGCTAAGATGGACTGGAAATGTAGAGATATCATGAACTTAAGGTATGGTTTTAGAAATGAAGTACTGGATTTCTGGTTGAGTATGGGAAGGATCCATCTGACCTGTAGAGCACATTGTTGATGATCCAGGTCAAAGAGACCAATATCACCTACTGATCAAGGCTGACAAAGTTTTTCCCAGCTGGCAGATCCAAAGCCCAGAGCAAGATATGACCGAATGACAGAGCGGACAGAGACAAAGAAAGACATATGAGCAGATGTGAAATATACGCAATGCCAGATAGAGCTGAGCAAGAGGGAGTTGGTCACTATGTCTTTGCCACAAATAGAGAGTTGACGTTCAACCATCATTTGACATTGATGCTCTAGTTTTCTCAACAGACCCATCCAGAATGCCTCTAACTGAGCAGGGTGAGAGAACAGAGGGATTCTAAGATATTAGACTGCTTCTGCCTGATTACAATCATGTCTGCAGCAAATATTTGCAGTATCGAGGGTGGGATCCCAGTCAGGCACAAAGTGTCCAGACAATGTGACAGCTACTGTCTTCCCCAGATTGATTTTGGCATTAGAGGCCAGACCAAAAGTAGTCAAGAGGCCAAGGAGAGTGTCTGACTCAGAGGGATAAGAGAGAAAGACGAGAAGGTCATCAGTGTACGCCAAAAGTTTTAGTGGGGATGGTAATTGAGGTGGAGCATGATAAAGCAAGATAGATGGTGTTGCAAATCAAAACCCATGTATGTCATCTGAAGCTAGTAAAGAACACATAAGTGGTTCAAAAGCCAAGTTGAAAAGTAGAGGTGAGAAAGGGCCACCTTGACGCAATTCTTGGCCCTGTGAGAATAGAGAAGATATGTTATCATTGATGTTGACATATATGCAAGTAGAGAAGAACAACTCACATACTGTATTGACAAACACCATCAGAACACCCATGTGTGACAGCACAAGGCGAAGATAGGCAGAGTGCACTCTATCATAGGCATTTTCTTGGTCCAGTAGCAAAGCTATGCCAGTATCACCAGAAAGCTGTGCCTGTCGCATAGCAAGTCGAGTGAGCAGTCCATTGTTTGCAATAAATCAATAGGCTATGAACTCGGTTTGGTGGGGGTTGACAAGTGGTCCAGCGCATGTCCTGAGGTGCGCTATGAGCATTTTGGTAAGGCTTTTGGCATCACAGTTTATCAGGGAGATTGGCCTCCAGTTCTTTAGTAGGGTGAGGTAACCAGTCTTCAGTAGGAGCACTAGTACCGTCTCGAGCCAAGAAGAGAGGAAAACACCACGCAATGCATCACTGTAGACTTCTATTGCTAACTCTTGGACAGAATGATCTTGTAGAAGACGTTTCCATAGAAGATATGACAATCCACCCAGACCTGGACTCAAGTGGTTTGGTATATGTGACAAAATGCCCAAAATTTCATACAGGGACACATCAGAAACAAGATAAGAAGAGTCAGACAGGATAAGTGTGGCACTCAGAGGGACATGAGCCAAGAGTGAGTGGGCAGCTGTAAAGTCAATGGGGTCTGCCAAGTACAAGGACTGGTAAAAGCTACTAGTATGCCCCTTAAGGTTTTCTGTTTCAGTGAAAAGCTGTTCTGTACTAGGGTCCATAAGTGAGGTGATGGACTTGTTCGATGTTCTCTGCTTGATAACTTGGAAGAAGTACTTGTTAGAAAATTCTCCTTCTTCACACCACTTGATTCCCACATGTTTTGCAAGATTGGAAGCCTGGATGATCTGGATATTACCCGACTGGTGTTCAATATCAGCAAGAGCTTCAGGGCTAGATGCCATGTTTCCTGGTACAATGTGAGAAACCATTTGAGCATGAGTTCTTTGTAAGGTTTGCTTGCGGAAGCGAAGCTGATGCTGGAACTTTTTTGCGTATGATATTGACAACTGCTTAATTGCGATTTTCAGCAGGTCTCAACAATGCCCTGGAGAGCAGTGGGAGGGCAGCATGGTAGGGGCGTCGGCAAGTAAGTCCACAAGTTGAGCCTCAAACTCATCATGGAGCAAGTAATTGGAGTTAAAGTGCCAAATTCTGGGACCAGAGGGACGAGAGAATGGTATGATGACAGCCAATAGGCTGTGATCAGTCCAGCTAGGATTCACAAAGGTAATATCTGGGGAAAGGGACGAGACGGTTCTGGGCCAATATATATAATCAATGCATGTGTGAAAGCAGGAGTTGTGGAACATAGGAAGAGGCCGAGTTCGTTATAGAGTTATTGCATGGACACAGTAGGTGTCAAGGAAGTCAAGTCATTCAATTGATACTCTATTGCGGTGGTGAATATTTGCATTGAAATCTCCTGCCACAAATATGGGTATGGGAGGGAGTGAGGTAGATAGTGTATGAGCTAGTGACTTAAAGAAAGTTTTGCGATGGGAAGAAATGTTGGGTGCCTATATGGTGACTAGGACAAATGAGTCAATGTAATTATCTGTATGTGCGACTTTAATCACTAGGACATGATCATCGTCAGTGACATGTATTTGCGACAATATGAGTGTGGGAGTGAGGGACACTAGGCCACAATGCGGAGTCCAGAGGCTGTTGTGTCCTTGAAACATGAGCTGTATTTGGGACTGATGTTCAGGTGAGATATGAGTTTCTTGCAGTGCCAGAAGTGAGAGTGGAGGATGAAGGGATCGAAGATGTCGGATGAGAAGATGTTTTGGTGAGGAAGGATTATGTACAAGTGAATGGAGCCCTCTAACATTGAGGGTTCATAATTGGATAGAGCCAACACTCATTAGGAAGAAGAAGAGCCAAACCAGGTAGCCCCCAAGTCCTCAATCTCCATGAGATTTCCAGTTATAACCTTTGCAGGTTTAGATTCCATATTTGTTGATAATTTGGATTGCGCATACTTAATCATGGCAAGGCCAATCAGCACATTCTTGACGTTGGTGCCCCCGGAAAACTCATCTTTGATGCCCTGATAGTTACCTTTGGTGGCAGGGAAGTGTTTGCTGCTGAAAATTCAATGTTCATTCTTATCATACATATAGGTATCTCCTGCAAGTATGGCGTTTTGGTTACCCTGGGCCACAACAATTGGCGCAGAGGCGTCTGGTATGACGTGGGGAGAAGGAGTGTTGTCACCCATCTTGGTATCTTTGACGATGGCTTGTGCAGTGGACTCTGCAAGGTAAGCATCCAATTCTGCTCCCTCGGTCTTGAAGGTGGTTGGAGGAGTAGGAGTAGGATGGTTCCTAAGGGGTGTAGAGACGATTACCTCAATAATCTTGGGAGAAGAGGTTATAGTGGAATCAGCCTGGTTCACTTTTGCCTGAACCGCAGCACAAGAAGGATTATTTGATGAGTGTCCAGTCTCCTCACAATCAGAGCAGCAAACGACCCAGGGGCGGTGACAAGTGTAGGCACTCAGATTGTATCCTTCCTTTTGGCAGTAACAACAAATGGGTGGGATGTCCTTGGCCCGAAGCACAATTTCACCCATGAGGGATCCAGAGAGTTGTAGTTTCCTGGTGAGAGGTGTGAGGTTGTCCACGGCAGAGACATTGAGAAGAACTGTGGCTTCACCACGGAAGGTGCCAAAGGGCGTACAGTAGATCTTGAGGTGAGCAACCTTATCATGAGACTGAAGTGCCTTGAAAAGTGGGCCCTAGAGGTCGGTCTCTGGGAAACAATTGGGAATGTTGTACAGATTGATTCTGATGATGTGGTCATTGGGAGGAAGCTCTGGTGTACCAACTATGCATTTGTTGTTGTGTGAAAAGCCAGTAGTGATGACAAGTTCACAAGTCTTGGGATTCGAGAAAAGTACCTCAGCAAGGAGGTCCTTGCTATTGGTATAGCAAGTGGATAGAGCCTCCATTGGTCCAAAGGCGGAGAAAAGGATTTGCTCGACCTGAGCAAAGTTGGGCAACTTGTCCAGGTTAAATATCACACTGGCTTGATGGACAGTGCGAGCCTAGGCAGTAGCAGCAGGGCTCATATTGAAGAGAGTTTCACTCCTGGGTGTTGAGAACACAGTTACAGCCTTGTTTTTTGACCGAGCAATTGTGAATGGCCATTGGATGGGCCCAGGGACCGTCTTCTAGCCTGTTGATGTGCTACCCAAAGGGTTGAATCCGTCATGGGTTACCATATGGATACTTAATAGGAATTTGTATATGTGTATTATAATTTATTCGACTAATTTTTTAGTGCGAAAGAGTGATCTTGGCGTCCACACAACAAGATTCTACTGCATTTTGTGAAAATCGCCAGCTGAATTGCCAGCTGAACCACCACTTTTTCCCAGTTTAAAATTAGCTTATCACTGTAGGAAATGGCAGTATTTGTAATTCCGCCAATGCAGATTACTATGTAAAAAATGCATACTTGCAGATATGGATTCAGCCAATAAAAACAAGGTGATACAATGTTAGTGTTACTACTCTTTGCCAATTGGATTTGTGGAATTCTATAGCATTAAACTCGATCGAGTGCTGTTCAGCATTCTCAAGCTAATTAGACTTGTGTATTACTTTTAACTAACCCTTTTTTGTTAAATTTGTTGGATCTCTAATTGGTCAAATAATACACATTGCGTCACATAAAAATAAGTTTTTATTTTTATTTTTGTTTTTTTTTGGTCCCTGGAATATATAAAAAAATAAAAAATAAAAAAATAAAAAAAAAATAGAAAAAATAAATAAAAAATAAAAATAAAAAAAATAGAAAAAAAATAAAAACAAAAAAAATAGAAAAAAAAATAAAAAATAAAAAACAAAAAAATGAAAAAAAAACAAAAAGAAACAAAACAAAACAAACAAACAAACAAACAAATGACAGTAGAAGAAGTATACAAGACATATATCAAATTACTTTCTACTTGATAACAATTTTTTTAAAATAGTATTTTTATTATGTTTTTTTATAAATGTCACTTATAAAGCTCAGTATTGTCTACTATAATAAAATAAAAAACAAACAAACAAAGCAAAACAATTGATTTCTATTAGTTATGATATTATAAATGGCTTTATATTTAAAAGTAACTTACGTTTTATTACTGTCTTCCACTGGAGACAGCAGTTCTCTATCTCTGAGAAAGCACAAAGATAGACACCCAGGAATTCTCAAACCTATCAAGAGCAATATTTCTTCTGGCTGCTCTCTCCTCAAGGTTTCTAACCAGGATATTTCTCTGGTTAGGTGCAAGACTACCCCACGATGGTATAGCTATACCATTCGTATGGTAGCGTGACATTGTTACCTGTACAAGCTGGCGAGCAAGTCTGCCAATGGCACTGTAAAGAAGCCAAGCTTCTTTGGTGTTACCCCTGGTAAAATGTAATACCAGGGCTGCAGTAACACTCCCGGCTGAGAGTACCCAACTGTTAGGTTGTCCTTGGGGGGAAGGGCATGGGATGGTGTTGCCACCAATGACCGGCTGCAAACGGTTCACATCAGGAGGGTTACCTCAGACGGGCTGTTCAGTGGCGGCCTCACTGCCCTCAAACCTGGCCTCAAACCTGGCCTCAAGCCAGGCATATGCTGTCTCCAGCATCACCAGTCGAAGGTTTAATTGCACAATGTTGAGCAATGACATTTTTAGAACTGTAAAGAAGATGTAAAATATAAAAAAAACAAAGTTAAACAAAAGCAACAAGAAAAACTGAAAAATAAAAAACAAAAACAACAAGGAAAAATAAAAAACAAAAAGCCAGAATCCCTTTAAAAATTTTTTCATGATAATTAGCGCACTTGTAATTTTTCACTGTCAACTGATGGAATAAAAATTAATATCACATCCCAAGTGGTTTTTTCGACCTTACACCCCTATTTTTTTAAAATACAAAACAACAATTCAAAATGAACATTAACGACTTACTTAACCCTGTTACCGAAAATGAAACAAGCAGCTATATACTTGACAATTCGTTCTTTGAGCAACAACCTGCTCAAATGGATATCAATGTCACTTATCCAGCTTACGACATGATAGATATCAATGATAAAGCCTCTGTCAATGATTCAATTGACTTTGATGGTTTCTTGGCTGCTGCCACTAACAATGTTGAGGCCGATGAAGAGGATGCTTCTCCTATGGAAGCCAATTCCAGCAATGTTGAGGTGGAGTACACCTCTGGTAAGAACAATTAAAAGAAAATGTTAATAATAACATTATTACATATGATTATGTTTATGTTAAATATTAACTGTGTAAATATATTAGAGAATGGTCCTGGATTCACACGTGTCCGAAACCAAGGAATGGCCCAAGCTGAACCAGAGCAGGCCGACATTGAGTACGACCAGTTTGTACCAATGTACACTCCCAACAGCAGTGCTGAGGCCATTAGTCTGGAGTTGTTCTCCTTGTTTTTTGAGAACAGTGTTTCTTGTGAAATCTACGATCAGTCTGTCAAGATCGTAAATGAGTACATGACAGAACGTGGATCCCGTAAGTTTATTACTATCACATATCTACTATATTACATATACTTACTATTGTATTAGCTAAAATGGATTCACTTCTGTCATACTACAAGGTGGATACCTTGCTCAAGCAAGAATACACAGTCAAGGCACAGGTGTATGACATGTGTGCCAGTGGGTGCTTTTGTTTCCCTGATGTCGAGCCTGGAAACTCAATCATTGAGAATGAGGTGTGCCCTCACTGCAATGGACCGCGGTACCAGCATGAGAGAGGCACTATATCACCTGTACAGACATACCAGGTAGTGCCTCTCTCGGAGCAATTACGCTTCAAGTTGGCTCACCCTGAAGAACAGGCAAAGATCGCCTATGGCACGGAGGTTTTGGCTGGTGGCCAATCGAATGTTCGTAAGGATATCCTTGATGGAGATGGCATCCATAGACTGCTCGCAGGTGGGATTGTTGGCCAGGGTGACATGGTGGTGTCTATGTTTGTTGACCAGTTCAACCCCTTCAAGGACGCCGCCATGTCAGCTAGCATCATTCATGTTATTAACATGAATATCAACCCTGCCGAAAGGTAAATAAAACACATTGATTTAGATGTATATTTATATATACTAATATAATATATTTAGGTACAAGAAGGGTAACATGATGCAGCTGGCCATCATCCCAGGGCCTAAGCACCCAAAGAACATTGCTTCGTTTTTGGAGCCCATCCTTGCCAACCTGTGAGCCTTGCAGACAAGTGGAGTGAAGTGCTGGGACGGAGACCAGTATGTGGTGTGTAAGGTTCATCTTGTCATGGCAACTGGAGATACTCCAGCTGTCTCTGACTTGATGAACCTTATGCATCACAATGCACAATACGGCTGCTGCCATTGTTTTGCACATGGTGAAAGCATTGCCAAGACCATGTGCTTCCTGGAGAGCAAGGGTCCTGCCCCCATGAGGGATGTAGGGAGCATTTGCAGAGCCGAAGGAAGTGTAAGTTATGAAATATCAAAAAAAAACCACTAACATCATTTTAGAGACCTGGTGGTGGGAGATACAATGCCTTTGCAGAGTTACCCACACTTACCTGTTCTGCTTTCTTTGGCCAGGACGAGATGCACCTCCTAGATCATGGAACAGGGCATCAGCTCTATCAAGCCCTTGGTGGCAAATTCTGCCCTGGGACTGCAGGCCTGGGCAGAAAATCCCATGGAATGCACCTCCAAGAACGCCTGCAACGACTTGAGTACCCCTTTGCCCTGGATGTTAGTCTAGATGACATCAAAAAAGCAGTGAGCACATCCAGGGCAGATATACTGACGGCATTTGCCAGTACGTGGAGGTCAATGAAGGAATCAAATGGCAAGAGGAAGGCCATCGATTGGATGGACTTCCTCTTGTTCATTGTACCAACCGTGGTAATCGACCACCTCTACTTTGCAGATGCAAAGCAGACCGTGAGAGACCTGGTGCTGGCGTGCTCCATTGTTCAACAATGGAGCATCACTGCCAGCAACATTGTTGCTGTGGAGCAGTAAGTTGCTTAGATATATATTTCTATCCGGTTTTTAATGAGTTTTATAGGGCAATTGGCCGCTGGCACTCCTTCCTGAGGTGCAAGATTTCAGACGGTAAGCTGAAATCCAACATATTCGTGATGAACCAGCACATGCTGGTTCATCTTGGTTTCATGTTGCGGGAAATGGGCCCTTTGCGGGCTTACAGCTGCCATCTGATAGAACGCATGATCAGTGCCTATACCTCTGTGATCAAGTCCAGGAAGGAGCCCGGAAAAAACATGGAAAATGTTCTTTTCCGGATGGTGGCCATCAGCCACTGCCACGGCAACCGTCCAGCCAGGACTGGACCAGCTGACAAAAGGACCAGCAACTTCGAGGTTGCAAGTGATGATGTTGCTGGTCCTCAGCTGTGGTCCAGTCCGACCAGGTATAGCATGGCCGAGTTGGCCAACACCATTGGCATGGAATGGGAGGACCTCGTCCAACAGTTGTTGCCTTTCTGGGCAGGAGAAGGAGTTTCCTCCTTTGAGGAACAAGACTCAGTGGTTTGCACCACAAAGATGTGGAAAGACTTGGTGGTTTACAGAGTCCGGTCCTCCTTTGACAGTAGACATGTTCGAGCTAACAATCTTGTTGTGCTCAAACATATGTGGAAGTAAGTGTTGTTAGTTATATTCTACATTGTTAAAAGTTGATATTAATCATAATTTAATTATGTTTTTTGAAAGTTATGGATTTGTCCGCAAATTCTTTTCCCACACTGTCAAAGGAGTGACCAGGCTCTTTGCAGCCACCGAGAGTCTTTCCAACGTCAGGCCCTTGCTGGGCATGCTCTTCCTTGTGTCGAGCAATCACTCGCAGGGCGAGATAAGGATAGTGGACGTGAAGTCCTTCAAGGGGATGGCTGGCCTCGTCCACAATACTAAGGACGGGGCCATTAGACATATCGTCTGGCCCTCGCTGACTCACAACCAGTAGTTTTTTCTTCTTCTTTTTTTCCCCTCTTTCTTTTTAATAAATGTATATAAACCTTTCGTCTTATTCAGATATTACTCAACGAAGTTGATTGTCATTATCATTTTATTTAAAATTGCACATCACCAGAAAATCCGAATTAATGGTATATCTGATTGATTGGCTATATTTGTAACCTTGATCAAAATTGTAAACAAAAAAGAACAGTCGTCTTTTTTTTCTCACTTAAAATAGACGTCTGAGTTTAACACATGAAAAAAAGATTAATCGCGGGTCCACAGCTTCTAAAAGGGGCTTAGAACACTCTAAATTTAGTAAGATTGATATGATTTTTACAAAGTTACACGGATTTTGCAGATATGCAATTATTTCTGCAAGTACTTGCACTTTTTTTTCTACAGTGTATACATTTAACTTGACTGGAATTCCATCTAGTAATACCTTTCCCCTTTTTATCAATTTTTTGTTGTTTGCACAAAATTTTACCACTTAACAAGCACCATTAGGTGCTCGCCACCACCTGTAAATATATCGATATCGAAAATTGAATGTCATCTCAAATATCCCAAAAGGATTATAATCTGCTTTTTATTCTTGTCTCGTTTTGGAAGAGTAAATATAAATACTAAAATAACTAATTTTTCTCCTAGTAATCTTTTTTTTTTAATATCAAACCCAAAAAAAGAGTGGTGGTAGTTTAGATTTCCTTTTTTTGACCCTGATTATTTTGAGTAGATGTATTTTGTAACTTCAAAATCGTCGATATCCCTTTCCTTTTTGAAATTTTGTTCCCTTTTGGGATCCTGATTATTTTGAGAGGTTTTATAGATTGGGAACAAAAAACAGTGCTTAAATCTTCAAAATTGAAAAATTTCCGGGTGGTGGCGAGCACCTATTCTAGAGAATAATCTTAATTTCAAGTTGAAAACTGTAAAACAACAACGCAAAAAAGGTAAAAAAAAATCGTCTTATTCAATATTGATAATTTTTTGCAGTTTTTTGTGTTAATTTTTTTTTCGTGCCTTTCATCTATATTTTTTAAATTGAGAGGTAAGGAAGGGATGTTTACTGGAGATAATAAGGAGAATAAGGAGAAACAGAAGAACTGAAAGATGTAGACGAGAATTATTGATTTTACACCACTTCAGCAATATATTTTCCTGCGCGAACGGTTTTTTTGACTTCTTGTACAGACACCCAAAGAACGTGGTGTGTGTTTTCTCCAGTCTCTACATTAACCAGAGACACAAGATGGTCGTGCCACTCGAATCGAACAGCAATTGGTTGTGGTGCACCCTTTTGTGAAGTAACAAATTTAGCCTTGAGAACCTGTTCATCATTAGTTTCCAAATCACCCATTGGCCAGACCATCTTCTGTTGTTCTACCATCCACTGCCCAGCAGGAATACTCTGGGCAGTCTGGACTTGGCCGGTTACGGTAGTTAAGAAGAAGATATTTTGAAGTGTCTGATTTTGCTTGTTTTGGTATTTCACCAAGAGGCGTGTCTGCTCATCATCGCACTTCCACATTGGCTTGATGACCAAAGGAACTTGTATATCGTGTCGCATTCTGTACTTTAGACAGTTCACTGCGCTCGCACCTGCCAAACGGAACATCTCGGTGTTTATCTGGAAGACATCTGGACTATCTTGGTAGAGTGTCACGTAGTTGTCGTTTGGTGCTATTTGATCGAGTTGATTGGCGTTCAAAAGTTTGAAGCAAATAGGGCTTGCACTTTCGATTGGACCTTCGTAAACAATGCTCACGTCTCCCCATACTTCAGACTTAACTACCTGTCCGCCCTGAAACATGGCGTGAATTGTCTCCGTGATGTGTACTTTGATTCTAGGAAGTTGTTCAAGTTGGGGTAACTCGACGTCTCCAAAAGGAGATACTGGTACTTCAATTATCTCTGGTGCTTGTTCTTCTTCCCTTATAGTTTTGAAACCATCTTCTGTTAGGTTCTTATGAGCCATGAGGTCGGAGTGACCTTCTGCTGAAGGGTTCAGCATCACTGAGCGCATGTTCCTTTTGGAAGAAAAATAAGAAGAGGAAGGAAGTGGGTACAAATTCAACACTATTTTCTAAGTATAAAAGAAAAAACGAAAATACTGTAACCTTGGGAAATACTTACTCACGACGACCTCTTGGGCGTTTACTGATTGTTGATTGATTCTAAAATCATATGGGTATATGATTAAAAATATCTTTTTTTTCTAATATTTCTTTATCTTATAACCTACTTCTTTGAGAATCGACCGTACACGAGACAATGCTTCAGTGGCATGTTGATTATCCTCTTGTTCAATTTTTTCATTTTTGATTTCAATATTGATTCGCTGGTTTCCAAACGTACTACAGAAGCGCAGGAAGAAGAGAAATAAATAACAGGATTAATAAGATGCGCAACAGTTTGGAATGTTTATTGTTTTTAATATTATTATCAATATTTTATGTCTATTCATACCTTTCACCGTCTGATCCAATATCATCATCTTTAAGAGAACCAATTTCAGGCCAAGCTGCCCTATCAGGGGGTGGGATCGTATAACCCTCTGCATCCACAACAACTCTTGGCTAGATAAATCATCATATATTAGTCTGTATATATATATATATATATATATATATATATAATCAATAATAGACTCTAATTTACCAGAGGAGTTGAGTTATTCATGCTACTCGTAGTGCTTTGGGATTTTTGAGCTGAAGGTGGAGTAATGGAAGTAGGCGATGCTGGGTTGTTTGATGAGTCTGGATTATTGTCCTGTTCGGGAATATCAGAATTCATGGCAGATGAAAAAAAGCTGGCATTGTCATGGACCTCTTGGGTATCTGAAGTATGAGGGGGGTGAACAGAATCCGTAGAAATATACCCGTTTTCTTGCTTTGGTTTGCGCCGGATAGAAATAAATGTCGAAAAGGCTATATATTTGATTTATGATTATAGCCACAAATAAAAATAAGCATTAATTTTAATAATAATGAGGAGATACACGCAAATTGTTTTTATTTATTTATTTAATAGCTTATACTTACTCTTCTTCGATCTCACATGAAGACTATTATCAGACCCACTAGTGGGCAATTCTTGATGACCAGATTCAAGAGATATGGAGCGACTATGGGGTTGAAACTTGGGTTGTGATTGTGATTGCGGTAGTGAATGAAACTGGGGTAGGGGCTGGGGTTGACCATGCATTTCTCCAGAGAAAGAAACTGTAGGGGAAGCGTTACAAAACGCAGTTACCTCATCTTCGACTTTGAATTGACTTGCTGCTTCTGCTACATGACCAGCCAGCTTATAGTAATAAAAATAAAGATAAGACATTTTTGAGAATAGAGTGGTTTATAATCTTGATTTTGGTTAGCTTGCCTCTACTCGTTTCAACAATTGGTTTGTTTGAAGAGATTCAAAGGACTGGATAGCATTCTTGAGATTATAGATACGATGTTCATCTACTGCTTGATGTTTCTATTGCCCATTTTGCCTTTTTGTATCAGCTCTGACTTTTACTCTTTACTCTGTCTAATTCTCTCTTTCTTTGTTTTTACCAAAACATAATCCCTTCCTGAGCGTAACCATTCGGCCCTAATATCCTCAATAGCGCGTGTTGACTCCGCCAACTTAGCTTCGGCTTCTGGTTTTCTAGTTTTTTCGGCAGTCTTCTTGTGCTAGGATAAAATAAAATGATATGAAATGAGACTAGGCCCGGTTTTACCCACGTGTATTGTACCTTTATCATCTTGAGTTGACGCTCATCATAATCCCGAGAAATCTTTTGAAATTGGCTGTCCATCTGTTATAATAATATTCAAATTGAATCAATCAATCAATCAATCAATCAATCAATTATATATAGTCTCCCTTCATTTTCTATATAGTTTTATTTCCACATGTCTTTATTTCTTACTGATCTAACTGTGGCGTAGTCTGGGTCTTGTTGCATTGATGATCGTAGAGGACGTTCAACTTCTTCGGTAATCTTAAAGGACATGACTGCATGTATAGTTGAAACCTCGGTAACTTCGTTTGAGAGCATCTCCCAAATAGGTGTCAAATGGCTAAACAATAAGATAGGATGAGTTTTTTTTTTCATTTTGCATATTTTTCATATATATATATATATATTATTTAAAGGGTAATCCCAGTAATAATAAAATGAATATTAATGAAACAGTGCGTAGTTTAGCTTTACCCAAGGGCTGATTTGTCAGAAATAAACAGTTTCTTTGATAGCTTGACTAAGCTTTTTGCATAAAGGTCTTCGGCATGGGCCCTGGTTTAAGAATTAAAGTGAAGCAAATGAAAAAAAAGTAAGCATTTGAGTAATTCTTGGTACTTTTATTAGTACCGTTCATCCAATGACAACATTATTCGCCCTACTATCTTTTTCTTTTACTTCAACTCATTTAAAGTTCTACCCGGTCATTTGGAATTAGCTAGAAACTTGCCTCTCTCTAAAGTACTCGGCTAATTCTTCATTGAGTTTGAGAGAGGAGCGAATTCGACTCTGAATCATATCAATGCCATCTCTGGGACGTTCTGTCTACGATAGAATTTTTCCAATGTTCATCTCTCTGTATATTCGTCTTCATCCGTGAGTCTCACCAGAAAGGCGCTTAGGTAAGGAGTGGCTTCGTTGGCCATTGTTGTAACAAATGAAGTATTCGGGAGAATAGATAGAATAGATGATTCACCGAGAATAATAATAATAATAATTAATAAAAGAAAGTAAAGAGAAGGAGTGGAAAGGTGGATGTATGTCTTTTTCTTTTTTGGTATTTTATTTTACTTTTTCCACTTGCAAAAGCCTAAAACTTATATCCAGTTAATTGATATATTTATATTATAATTTATTTATTTATATTAAAAAAATATGAAAAAAATTGAACTTTACAAAAATGTGTGCTGTGTATGGTGCGACTGTATTACAGCAATTTCTTGTTTTGGCAGTCAATGTAATATGCCTTTCTTCTTTCCAGCAAATGAATAGTGCTTCCAAAGTACATGTCAGAGATCATTATTACAGTTTCTGCTCGAGATTGAGACGACGTTAGTTTTTTTTTTTTATATATTTTTTAGGCAAACAAGTGAAATAAAACTGCGACACGAAAGACGTCGACCTACTGTAATATCCTTTGGTGCCTTTGATACTAAAGTGTGATAATTGTATTTACAGTATTAATCTGATTGGTTTGGAATAACTGTTTTTCCCTGAAAGGTAGTCCAAAGAAGAAAATTTGTACAAAATTTGTACAACTAATGTGTTATTTGCGAATAGCACCCCGCTTATATAACTACTATATGTGCGCAAGAGAGAGAAGGAGGGAGAAGGAGAGAGAAGGGGTTTTTACGTGTATATATTTAATTGAAGAAAGCGAATGAAACGGAAGGAAATTAAAGATTATATTGTTGTGTAAAGAGTGAGAGAGAAAGTGAGAATTTGAATGATGGCTGTGGTTGGAGGCTGCTTTGTTCTTTTTGAATATTAGTGGCAAGTTGGTAAGAGAAGCAGGAATAGAGAATGAGGGACAGTTGATGTGCAATTGAATTTTGTGGTTGTTTGAGTTGAAATATATATATATATATATGCGTACATAGAATAAAACAATAAAATTAAAAAAGAACTAGTATGTATGTATGTAAGTATGTAAGTATGGATTGGGGTGCTGCAGACAAGTCGGCAGATTTTTTTATAGGCATAAAGTAAAGTCAAATTTGTCCATTTCCAAGTCCATCTTCAGATTGATCCTCATAAATAGATACGGTTGGCATTACACAATTCTTCTTGCCGAAGATTGGGCCCAATGCAGTAGTCCATTTCCTTCGTTTCTCCATCGCATATACTGCATTTTCTGACAGAGTAGCCTTTGGTGTTGATCCAGCCTTTCGTTTCTTTGATTTTTGTGTGCGCTAAGTATCCAAAGACAAAAACCAGATAATAATAATAATCAAAAACTCAAAGAAAATACATATATAGATAGATATAAGAGATTTCACTTCTTTTCTTTTTAAAAAAAAAAGAATGGACTTTTTAATGGTACATACGAATCGTTTCATATAGCATTGCTCCACTTGGGTATCCAGTGTATCCAAGACTTGTCGATATTGCTCATACTGGAGTTGCTGATCCACAACTTGTAGTAATCTCTTTTTACGGAACTCGTTTATCCTTGACTGTTCCTTGAGCTCTCTACCCAGTTGCCGAAGCTCGGCGCATATTTGATCGTCTTCCATTGTATACCAATCTGTTGCCTTTATAAAAAGAAAAAGAAAATACACTCTCTCTCACTGTAAGTTCAAATGCTCTACAATGATAATCTATTATATTATTCTCTGCTCTACTCTACTATACTATACTATACTATACTATACTATACTATACTATACTATACTATACTATACTATACTATACTCTAATCTAATCTAAAACTCCCAATGTTTTTGTTGTTGTTGCTTTTGTAACACACTCACATCATCTTCACTGAACAGACCTGCATAGCGCAATTCCCGTTTAAGCCGCTCCTCAAACATAACTACCTGTTCAGGCGGATATGTCAATAGTTCAGTCTTTAGTTCTTGGTGGTATGACTGAGAAAACGACCAATCAAGGCATTCTTCTGCCTTAATATTTTCCAATGCTTGTTCATTCAGCGGCTCCTCCTTTACCAAGCTGCTTAGTAGCCTTTCTGTCAAACGCCCACAGCTCAGGTTATTGTTTAATAGACAATCGCCGGTCAGAGGTCGGTTGGGAGGAAGGTATCTTAGCTTCAGTCCAGATGCAACACCAGTAGCACGATTAGCCGCAGCATTAACAGCAGAAGCAGAAGATGTGGAAGAAGACGACGAGGATGAAGAGGATGAAGAGGAGGATTCGTTGCGAGTGTGAGGAGAGTTTTGCCGGTTACCAATCGAAGCATCATCTTCTGCCCAAACGTCGGCATAATATGGGCCAAGTGGAGGTATACTGTAAGGTGTTGTATTGTCTCCCTAATTATAATAGTTCATGTATGTACAGCAGATACAAGTACACAAAAGCCGCCCATTTCAATTTGTCAGATAGACCAACAAAACAGATAATAAATCATGTTTGATACGATTTACCTTTTCCAGCAGAAATTCTCTATCTGCTTCAGCTAAAGGGCGAAAATATGGCTCTACTGCTTGCCAAAATGTAAGAATTGGTACTTGGTCTTTCTGTTTGACTCGGATAAAATCGGTAGTGTCTTCTACTGGGGCCTGTTCGTGGCTTTTCGTCATTTTGACTTTTCCTGCTGAGGAAGGGTTTCCATGAACATGGACTCGTACTGTAGGATTGTTGTGCATTGCGGTTGATCGTTTCTTTTTCAAGTGTGCGCTCTAAGTTTTTTTTAAATATATATATTGTATTAAAATATTAAAATATTGTCATGACGATAATATTGATAATAATTCCCCGTATTCACACATATTCTCTGTATTCTCTATATTCCCTATATTCCTCATATACTCTATCTCCATTGGTTCTCGTCATTATTATTTTTTTGTCTATCTCTCTCTATATATATATATATATATATATGTGTGTGTGTGTGTGCGTGTGTGTGTATATCTACTTGCGTCAGATCCCTTGTTTGTAATGTGTTTTGAATGGCTGTGTGGTTTGGATACAGATGGTGGTGATAGACTGCGAGAGGTTAAAGGGGATTCACCCTCAAGCTTCTTAATCTTGACAATGTGGTGAGGTGATGCACTTCTACTGGTTGCTTTTTGTTGACAAAAGTATTATTCATTCATTACGACAAAAGATATATAATAATAATACTAAAATATTGAGTTTATCCAAATACTTGCCATGCTTGTCAGTTGTGTCTCCATGATCATCTTTACGCCACTTGCGTCGAAATTGAAGAGCACTAAAATGTACAAACAGTGAATTGTAACTTCTTAATACCAATCCCAAGCTTCAATTAAGACTTACACTTCTTTACCTATCTGCTCCTTTGTCATTGACCCGTGTATACCATCTATTGCATTCTCTTTTGGTTTGTGAAAAAATAAGGATATTATAGATACAGATATGTATTATGCATAAATCGTAATAAAATAAAATGGCACAATACAAATATGTAAATATATATATAAGGAAAGATTGTGAATTCAATGTTATGGCTTTTTATTCGTCACGCAAATATATATAAAGGAAAGAAAAAAGAAACCCACCTCCAAAAGATCTCTCTTGCTTAGATCTCATTTGCTCGAGAATAGCACCCATATTCTTTCCAGAAGATGCTGATGATCCTTTCTTACTCTGATGATCCATCAAGCCTAGGACGGACAAGGCATAAGGCGGCCTGTCTATGCTTACACACTGGCCTACCTCCATTGTCATTGATCTTGACGTCTTTTTCTAAATGATTCAAATCGCGTTTGAGAAGGCGGTTGCGTGTCTCGGCTGATGTCAATAACTCTTCTAGGTTCGCTTTGATTGCTAAGAGATCGTTCGACTCTGGAAGATTGCCAAACTGAGTTGGTCCATGAGATCCAATATAGGATTGCCTGAACTGTCGATAGAGAACAACAGTAGAAGCAGAAACAGGCGTAGGTGAGCTGTACTGACGCGTTAAATTGGTGTCCATGGCAAAGGTAAGGTCAACGTCTGATTCTTGCTTTATACATATATTTATTTATTTATATATATATATATATGTATTTATGTATTTATATATTTATGTATGTATGTATGTATGTATGTATGTATGTATGTATGTATGTATGTATAAAATATAGTATATAATATATATTACATAATGCAATTATATATATATATATATATATGTGTGTGTGTGTGTGTGTTATATGTTATAGATAAATATAATTTGATTATTATTATAATAATTATCCTGCTTCATATTCACAGTACTAATTCTCTCTTATTTTTTTCTTCTACTTCATTCTCTGTACATTTTGTGTAGATCTCATTATTTTGACTCATTCCTGTATGAAATCAACGGACAGGTAAAGTACATTTAATAATTACCTGTTGTTATTACCGTTAATGCTGTTGTTGTTATTGCCAGATCTACGTCTGTTAGTCTTTATCTTTTGTTAAAAATTAAAATAAAAATAAAAGCAAAAATTAAATTAAATTAAATTAAATTAAATTCAATTCAATTCAATTCAATTCAATAAAATAATTGGCTGAAAGTTTCTTCAAGCCGCTTTGTCGGACTTGTTAAAAGCATTTGATTTAATCATCCCTTCGTCTTTTATGGGCTTCTTTACTCTTCCTCTCTTTATAATGAGTAAAATTAAAATATTTCGTCTATTATGCCATTTGAGATTTAAACACACATTCACCACATATTTAAAGTAAGCTAGTACGAAAGTGTGTCTAATGTGTAGTATTAGTAGAGAAACAAAATCAAAAGATCCAAAATAATAATAATACATATATATATGTGCATGTATAGGACAATTGTCTTTATTAATCCCATTACTGTATTGAACTATACATTTTAAATTGTTAAATGAAGACTGTAATCTGCTATAGAATCTTTCTCACCCATTCCCTTCCTCACTTTTTTTTTTTTTACGTCACGATTGATACCAGAGTGAGCTGCATTTAAAATAACAATTTATAATACAGTATAATGCATTTGCAACTGATAGTAGAGAAGGGGACAACTCAGGGAAAATTTGAAAATATTGTCCCTACGGACATTCCTGGGTTTAAATTACCCAGACTTTTACCATTTTTACTTTTACCCCGGGACACTTCTAGGGATATTCTGGCAGAAATGACCGTAAATTAGGGAAAATTCAGCCAGAATATCCCTAGCACAAAAACAATGTCCTTCACGCCTGAAAGTGATCCGATAAATAGGATAACATATATTTTTCTCAAGTAATTGCTAAATTATCAAAGCTAACAGCATATACAAGCTATAAACTAATCATCTGTCAATGGAGTCTTGATTCATTAAAAAATCAAGACTCTAAAGTAAAAAACTGATCTTTTCAAGCTCTATACTTTACCATTCCAACAGAATAATATTAGTCGACATAATCTTGCTTATATAAAGATAAAAGTCTATCTGTGATATATTTTTTTCTAATGAATCAATCAGTGGCTTAATAAAATAGCAACCTCAGAAAGAGTAAACTGGAACTCTTCCTTACATGTATTATCAAAAAGAGCTGTCAGATGAAGGCACTTAGAGGTATCTCTCTTCTTAGGAGTGGTATTTCGAGTGCTTTTAGGACCCCAATAATAGCTATATATAGCAGGAGTGATAGTAAACATGGCGTTTTTCTGTTAAATGAGATAAATGAAGAGGAAAGAAGTATAAATATAATTTCTATAACGTCCTCAAAAGCGTCCCTTATTTTAACCGGAGATGTGCATTCCGATGCTGGTTTTATTTTTTTTTCCATTTTTAGCAGTCATGAAAGTTCCCTACGTTGTCCCCTTCTCTAGTGATAGTGATAAAATTTCTGTCCACCATCCATATCACTATATCGAGCTTTGACTGTATTTACCTGCTATATCTTAATAATTTGAAATTAAATACCTCGTGAAACAATTGAAGTTGATTGATATAGCCTCTTGGCAATGGATTCTTGACAACAGCAGACAACGCATTTACACTAATAGCCACAGACCTCCAATTCACTGAAGGGTTTGGTAAGATACTAAATAGTCTTAGTACAGGAAGCCGCCGAACATCAAAAGGCATGATGAAGCTCATGCTCTCCTTCATATTGATTCAGGATGTACTCGAGAAATTTGTAAACTTTTTCGGTAGCAGATGATAAGTAAGTAGGGCCACCCTTTGATCAATGAGTGCTCCTATCGGCTGACATTCTTGGTCTACACAGTTTTTCATAGCATCTTCCGACAAACTTGAGGGTAAATGCAAATTGTTTGTCCATACTGCATCTCATTGGCAAACATATTGGTACCAATATTCTTTATCTATCCTTTTGATAGTATTAGGGTCAATTTGCTATGTATATGAGTGATATAATTTAGAGTTAATCTTATATTAACTGTTAATAATTTTTTGCTTACCATGAAAACGTTTTGTAGTTGGTAGCATAAATACGTCAAAAGACGTGCCTCAAAATTCTCTACTATATTATTCTAGTAGCATGTAGCAAGTTCAGTGCACACCTCGGCTATACATTGCGAGGCTCCTGCTTCAATCTTTTTTTTTATATATATAATAGTCTTATGACTAGATGTAAGTCTATTCCAGACTGCTAGTATATCTGATGGTATGCTTGTACTGCTTGTAATTCTTTTTGCATTTACCATTTGACAGACAGAATACCAAAATTGTTGCGTAAAGATGCAGTGAGAGATATCGTTGTTTTGCAGTTGTTGGGACCGAAGTGTAATGTAATAGTTTACAAAGATCTTGGCACGGAATACTATCTCCGTAGTATCTCTGCTAGCAGAAATGATCGCTGGCTTCAGGCGGTTTATATACCGTATTGACCAGAAATCCAAGGCTGGCTTTGGAAATAGGCCAGGCGGTCGTGGTAAGAAAAAGCGGCGCGCATCAAAATGCTTAAATTTATGTTCAAGCCCATACTCGGACAAGATTTGCGAAAGTATAAGAGCATCCACAGTGGTATGTGTAACTAAAATAATTACGTAAAATAAAAAAGCCGCATTTAAAAGAGATAATTTAGACCACCCACAACGGTCTGGGTAAAATTAGCAGTGTATGTAAAAAAGCCCTGGATGTTTTTGTGAATTGTTAAATGTAAAAAGCCGGTAATTATTATTGAGAAATAATCAGTTAAAACTTTTAGTTAAGCAATCCGCTGGGGATGAAAAAATCTAAATTTTCTGTCTAAATTAACATTCTTGTTAAATTTACACAGACCGCTGTGGATGCTCTAAGGTGTACTTTTTAGGACGTGACGATAAAATGGACTAAAGTTACTTTGCCTGAGAGATGACTTTTTAAATAGCTGTCAATATATATGTAGGCATCATTAACCTAAATATGATATTTATTAGCAGTTTAGGCTATAAATTGGATATATGATATACATTCATCTATTGCTACGAGCTATTCTCTAAATACTATGATATTGATAAAGGCATGTATATTGCTTAATTGATTCTTTCTTTATCAAAGAATATCAACCTTTTCTGTGTTGACGTTGCTATGTTTGATTCCTATTTTTGAAAAACCAAAATAAGGATAATTGAATATCACCCTAAGAACCGCTTATAAGATTTCTCGGAATCTTTGTAGACAGTGTTATGAAATAGGATGTAACCCGGGTTCAAGAGGGGGGTTTGTTACCGAATGGTAAACTATTAGATTTGAATAATTTTATCGTCTTTAATTTTCTACTGGGTTGAAGAAGTTAGAAAAATCACACTTTAAACCCTAGAAAACTTGCAAAATTTCACTAGAATCGCCCCTTTTTTTTCTTTTTTTTTCTATAGTGTGTGAATAGTAGTAAAGATCTGGAGTAATTGATTGACTGATCTTTTTATTTCACCTTCAAAATTGACCATTTACGCTCTCTTAAGGCTTTTCTTTCTGCAAAGAAAACTTATAAATGTGTCAAAATTAAAAGAGGATACACATTTATCTCAAAATGTGACCATCAATTTATACTTTATTATTATTATTTATGCGTATATATTTATATTATATAGTATATGTATTATTTGAATATTTTTTATTTTTTATTTTATTATTTTTTATTTTCACAGCTGCCCCTTATTTATTCTTTTTATATATAATTTACAACCAACATAATGGTAGCAGTAACAGAAGAAACTAGAGTCTACAAAGACATTAAGACCGCAGTTGGTGGTGTAGTCGATACTGTTAACAAGCGAGTGTCAGGTAAATATATAAATAAATCAAGAGAAAGAAATAAATTGAAAGATCCCTGCAATCCATTCCACGATCCCGATCCGATTAAGAGATAATAAAAGTAACTCATTTACGCACTTTTATTTTAGGCAAGGCATGGAAAATTCAAAAGACCCCTACTATCCGTGCTCAAAAGGCAAAGACTCTCCGAAGAACATGGGAGCAACGCTCAGCTGAACGTACCAGAGATCAAACTGTCAAAGCACTTGAAAGACAGTTGAAGGATGAGAAGAAGGCCGAGAAGGATGTAAGCACCACATTGATATATATATATATTATGCAATTTATAAATGTGTTTAGATCTGATCTAATGATCAAATAATCAAATATTAATCTAATCAATCATTGTAATGCAGAGAAAGAGAGAAATTACTCAAGAGCGCAGAAAAATTCAAGAAGAAAAAGAGCGCATGGAGTTACTGGCCACCAAGGTAATAATAATAATATCAATAATATCGGTACACGGGTGTACGCATATGGTAAACGAGCCCACTAAAATACTTCTTCCTTTTTATTAGATGAACGCAAAGCGTCTTGCTCGTGTCAAGAAGAGAGAGTTGAGAAAGAAGGCTCGCGTCTAAAGAGGGAAAGAGAAAAAGAGAAAAGTGGCGCACAAGAAAATTGCAACCTTTACCATCTCGTTTCTTTTCCTCTTCTCTTATCACAATTCCTATTCCTCTTCCTAATTTGTCTTTTTCTTTTTAAAGAAAAACCTCTGCTCCCCAAAATACATTTTTTTTCTCATTTCCTTTCCTTTCCTCTCCTCTCCTCCTCTTCCCTCTCTGTTTGTCATCTTTCATCTTTACCTTCTTCTTATTCTTCTTCATTTTCTTCATATAGTCGATTCCAAGCTTATAGAGCTGTTAGAGATGCTCTGTGTACCGATCCACAAAAAAAAGTTATTGTATACATTCTTCCTTAGAAATTAAATCAAATAAAATAAACGAATTGCATAATTTAAGGGTGAACAATCGAGGACGTTCTTCAATGTCACTATTTTTTATTTATTTTTTCAAAGAAAGCAATTTTATTGGATAAGCTTATTTTGACCTTTGCTTTATTTTCTGATAACTATTTTCAGTCTGTCCAGACCAATTGATTTTATTTTTATTTTATCTTTACTCCAATAATAATTCCTGGAAATAGTGTATACTGGATATATTCAAGTCAATTGATTACCCATTTGACTTGATCTGTGTACTGACCACAAAAACAAGCCCGTCTAACATTCTATGCATCGATCAATGTATATACGTGATCTTGTAACATCTCTATAAATTCGCTTATTGTTTAATCACAATTTAATTAATACAAGATAAAGTTGTGTATATGAGATTAGCAAGATCAGTCTAGTGTGTTGTAGTGTAGTCCACCAGACATTTACTGTATTAAACAATAAATAAAATAGACGAGCAGTAATATGTACCTATGAAGAATGTACACACCCTTTCTTCCTTTCTTCCTTTATATTTATATTTTGCTAAACCAGACTTACACAACTTGAGCTTGGAGCCAAGGTGCTCAACTATAAGTGTGGGAACACCTGGCACCCTATCAATAATAATACTCTATATTCCAACTTTTTAAAGATATAGATTATAGGTCAGTGTACCATCATTTTCCAGAAAGGAGGTGCACACAAAAGCAAGACCAATATATAAATTTTCTTCTTCTTCTTCTTCTTTTTGTGAGGTATCTTCTTACTATTGCTATTATTATATATGTTTTTTTATTATTATTATTTCTGTTGTTGTTGTTGTTGTTGTTGTTGGTGGTGGTGGTGGTGGTGGCTGTGGCGGTGTTGTCATTTTCCTTTTCTTTTTCCTCCTCCTTCTTGTGTAAGATTTTGTCTACCAGTTGTAGAAAGACTTTGCATTGTAGATTGGCTTGGTTCCAACAAGTGGTGTCCAGACCTTTTCGGTGTCCTTCCATCCACGAATGGATCTCTTATTGGCCTTGGCAGCTTCTTGAGGAGTCTCAGCTTCCTTGAAGAGGAAAGAGATGTGTGCCTCCTTACGATGCATCACACCAAATTGACCACGTCCGTGAGGGTTTACACGCTGAATAAAACGACCCTTACCAACCCATGCCTGAGCTAAGTATTATTATATATTAAATATAAGTATTCTTATGTGTATCTTACAGAATAGTTTACTATCTTTGTTTCCAAAACCACAAAAAAAAACTTACACACAACCATGTTCTCCATGCCCTTTTGTTCTTGCGCATTCTTTCTTGCAAAAGCCAAGTTGTGGAGGATCTTCTTGGCAGAGCGTTTTGAAGAAAACTCCATTTGCTTGATAGCTTCCTCTACAGGCAAATTACGTATTTGACGAGCAAGCATGTTGAGTTTGCGAGGGCTTGTTCTGAAATTTGCCGAGCTCCAGGTGTACTAATGGTTATTATTAGTGATTATTTAATAAACCTTTGTTGGCGAAAAGGAACTGTGCCCATTGTTGGATTTTTTTTTCGTTTCTTCTTCATATATATATATATATATATAATTGGAAAAATGAAATAAAAGTCTGCCTCACCTGCTTGTCAACGGGCTTCTCGCCAGACTTTGTCAAGGTTTCGTTTGTTTCAACTTGGACATTTTCAAACAATGACGAAGCACCAATTTGTGGACGTTCCGGTGTAGGTTGATCAGCATGACATTGTGTTGTAGTAGAGAATCTAGTTGAGATAAAAAGAGATGAAACAAAAATATAGGAGCATTGAAAGGTTAGTGCATCATCAACTACCAATTTAAGAAAATTGTACCTGAACGACTGAATTGTACGGAAACCAAGCATTGACTGCTTGATGGGCTGAATTGCCTTGAATGCTTCTGTAGAGAAGCATTAGTCCATTTTTTCTTCTCCTTTTTCTTCTTCTTGGAACCTACGCAAAGTGAGACTAGGCATGTTTGGCAGAGAAGGTAGGGTCTTTTGGCTTTGCAAAGAAGTGTTGTTATTTGTTGTGCTCGTCACAACTGTGACAGCGGGCATGCACCGGAGATTAAAATATTGACAAGCAACTAATTCAAAAAGGATGAAAAAGGGAGGGGTGTGGGAGAAGACAGAGAGGGGGTTTGAAAAGACAAAGAGAGAGAAATGAGTTAGCTTAATGCGTACCATTATCATTATATATATATAGATATATATATATATTATTTATGTATTTATGTATTTATTCTTTGTATTTGTTGTTAGTAGGGGGTGGGTTTTTTTTGACTGCTTAGATTTCCATTACGTTAATGAAATTAGATTAGTCTTTTTAGCTTCGAATCTTTTATTCATTCTTTGTCAAATAATCAAGCTTGGACTTTGGGTGGGGTTTCCTAATGTTCTTGTTGATCTTTACACTTAAATTAATAGAAAAAGATAATAGTTATAGTAGTAAAATGACCAAAAGGAATATTGATTTCTTAGTCTGTTTGTCAGAAGGCGTAAACCCTAAAGAACGCTTAAAAGTAGATTGATTCAATCTGATCAAAATCTTTGTATATCTATAATATGGACAATATATAGAATGTACTGTGTACTGTGTATTATGTATTGTGCGTGTTTGTGTGTACATACATAATGAGAAGGGGATATATCTAATTATATAAAGAAAGAAGGAAGAAAAATCAAGCTGTATTTGAAAGTGTCTTTGCCTGACGACGCATAGTATTTTGTGCTTCCTTAAGTGTCTTGCTGTGCGACTATGGTGTTCATTTAAAGAAGAAAAGAAAAAGGGCCGTTTTGATGATAATAATAAAACAAAAATTACTAGCTAGATTTTTAAACGAGCTCTTTCTTTCTTACGCTTGCTTCCCTTTTCCGCACTGGCAAGATTGATTTCTATATGTATGTAAGTGTGTATTAGATGATTATCAGCTAAAATGAGGCATAGTAACTACACCAAAACTACAATAAAGATGGTTTCCAATGAAAGAGACAAAATGCTAAGTTGTGAATATTGATTATCTACATTGGTAAAATCACAACAAAGCAAACAGACAAGCATACAAACAGACAAACAAGCAAACAAGCAAACAAGCAAACAATCAGACAAATAAAACAAATAAGAAAAAGTTTAATATAACAAATGAAGAGCACCTTAAAGAATAGTCTTATTATTGCATTTATTATGAATTAACTGTCTCGTGTGTGTCTGTAAACTCCATATCCCAAAAGATACCATCTTGGATTATTTTTATGTTCCCATGACAACGTATTGAAGTGAATAAAATTGGATTGGATTGGAGTGTAGGGCGTGTAGTGAGTATTATCGCGTTTTTTTGTGAGGAAGCACGCTGAGACACGTCAGGAGAAGTGGAAGAGAATGCAGCGCATCTGCAGAGTGTATGCAGTCTGTTGGAGGGTGATTTTTCTTTGTCTTTTGAACAAGGTCAATAGATGTACATTTCACGTCACCCTCAGATCTACTATTACTCTATCGATGTACTTTTATATATAATGCTTATATATATATATATATAACTGTATGTGTGTCCTTATTCACTGACATTGATGCAATTACAGAAAATTGGATGATTTGAACCAAGCAAGATACAAGTGATAGTGACGGTAATCTGTAAATTTTGCTTTAACTTGGGCTCTGTTCCTCTTCATCCCCTTTACACCATTTCCCTTTCTTCCTTTCCCCCCTCTCTTCCTTTTCTTCCTTACACTCTCACTCGCGCACGTACTCTCACTCTCACTCTCACTCTCACCTTTACTTTCTTTTTCTTTCTCATTCTCTCGCCACAATTCAATATCCCTCTTTATCACTCGATCTGCACACGTCCTTTTATTTTTCTCTACTACCTTAATCCCTTCCTTTAAATTCACCGCGATTTTATACTTGGATACAAATATATTGCTACTCTTAAATCCCATTTCTCTTTATTTCTTTAATACCCTCTTTTCGGTTTTAACTTTTCTTCAATACTATGACAGACAAGTTTTCGTTGTCGGTTGAGTACATGCCCGATTACTCAATTTCTTCCTATGCTAATAAAGCTGGAATAGAAGAGCAGGGAATTCTTTATACAGGTAAATACGGGTACAGAATATAGATATACAATAGGCATAAGTTTGTAATGGGCTATCTGGATATTGTTTTTGTGTTTTTGGTACGGAAAATAAAGGCATGAAAAGAGGTATATATATATATATTTATAAAGATATTTTTTGGGGGTAGTGAGAGAGATTGATAGATACAATAAGAGGGGCAAAGAAAAGAAAAATCACACATATATAAATACATACATACATACACATACACATACACATATATAAGCATATCTGTGTATTAAAGAGATCGGCATGATATCCGGACTCTTTCCGATAAAGCATATCTTCATTAACACAAAGAAATTATTCTTGTATTTTTTTCTGTATGTATACATATATTTTTATATAAATATAAAGACAATTCGTTCGATTGTCTCAAGACAAGTACACCTACGGCCTGCCCAGTAGTATCGTCTCAGTACCAGCGTACAACTATGTCTAACAGCCGTAGCTCCCCACATTCATTGACATATCCCTCAGATGGCAGTCCAGAAACACCTCTTTCATTTCTGACTTCTTGCTGCACCTCGCCAACACCTGCTCCACTTACGATGGTGCTGTCCAACTCAACATCCACATCCACAGCCACAGCCACAGCTACAACCGTAGCATCAGGACCAGGACAAGGACAAGGACCAGCAGCCATAACATCAGCCTCGATATCAGCCTCAAATTCTACTTCTACCTCTATTTTTTCCAACTCGTCCTCTTCCTCCACATCATCATCGTCTTCTTCATCGTCTTCTTCGTCTTTGCCTCTTTGTTTCTCGTCACAGCTGTTGCCTTGCTCACCCACCTCAAATGCATCTCCGTCACCGCATGCTCATGCTCACCGACCTTCGTTTTCTCTGGTAGAGACCTCTCTGAGCTTACCAAATTCATTTTTTCCGGAGTTCTTCCAGTACTCCAAAGAAACGTACGAACAGTCGACAGGGTTTAGTCGCAAGAAGCGCCGCTGTATTCCTTCTAACTCCCCCTCTCAGCTCGTACTGGAAATGACAAATAACGAGTGGGATTTTCAAGAGAACAAATCCACTGGTCACAATACTGAGACCCCAAGGTAAGAATAGACCTAATTATTAGTAGCTGATGAATAGATGGATAATAAAGCGCTCTATATACTTATAATATATTATTCGTGTTGCTGTTTAAATGATACATCTATTGCATGTATATGTAATTCAGTACGTGTGCAATATCGAATGCTGAGCTCAGGCGGCAGATCCACATACAGTCAGAGCAGAAGAGACGAGCACAGATTAAAGACGGATTTGAAGATCTTCGTAATGAACTACCGGCGTGTGTTAACAAGAAGATGAGCAAGGTGGCTCTCCTGCATCGCAGTAAGTTTTGTTGCTGTGATATATTTACTTTAATCTCCCATACCCCTTTTATGTTCTTATTTAATTTTATATATATATAATTTATAGCTGTTCAACACATTCAACATTTGAAAAGTATGCAAATGGCAATACTGGCAGAACTGGAGAGTCTGATGGCAGAAAATGAACAGCTAAGAAAGTAAGCTTTAGATATAATAATCAAGAAGTGGCTGTACTGATATGTACTGTCTATTGTATACCCATATGACTACTTTGCTATTATAATGTATGAGTTTATTGAATTTATTTTATCTTTGCAGGTTTCGTGAGAGCATGCTCCAGAAACAAGCATTGGAAAAGATGTATCAAATCAATACGCTTTGATGATAATGATGACTTTTCTTCTTCTTTAAAAAGAAAAGAAATTACTTTTTAACTTGACTTCTTTACTTTTTTTTATATGTCCCTCTTTATGTGCCATATACACATACATACATATATATATATATATATATATATATATATATATACTTCCGCATTATTATTACTATAGTATAATACCTCTTTATCTCCACTTCTTCCTCTCTATATGTAAATGTTCCTTTGGTTCCTCTCTTTTCACTATCATTTCTTATACTCTATTTTCATCTTTAACATTTGCATTTTCTGTATATGCTCTTTTCCTTTATATATGCTCATTAAAACACACACACACACACACACACACATATATATATATATATATATATATATATATATTGGTTATTCTTCTTTTTATTATTCATATAGATATATCAATCAATCAAAGCAAGTTTTGTTCTTTTTTCTTTCTTCTTTTTATTTATTATTTTATTTTAGATTCTTAATTTCTTATACACCCGAACCATATACACCACCCAATACGTCACTTTGTGCCAATGCCAAAAGCATAGGATCATCAAAGTATTTGTTTATGCTGACGTCCTCAGACAAACCCTAAAAAGTAGAAGATGTTAAGAACCATAAGAAAGTCAAATTGATTAGAGATATTATAACATCTCTAGATCTTTATCTATTTATTACCTTTCTTCTTCTTGTCTTGACCATAAAGTCTCTGGCAAGATGCTGTGCCGGACTGGGTTCAAGTGGTCTCAAGACAATACTAGCATCGAGAGGATCGCCAGGAACAATCTGCCAGTGATCAAATATCTGCTGGCAGAACGCTTGGCCTTGTGTATGGGTACGAAGATCAGTTTCAAATCCACATGAATCTATAACAGGAATGTACGCCTTGACAGTGTAAAGAGGCGAACCAGGTTTAGGAAGATCCTGGGTTACATGGCCTCTAAAGAATTTATATATGGTATATAGATATACAGAAATAGTAAATAACCGCACACACACACGCACATATATATATTTATATATCTTGTTGATTAATTTACCTTCGCCGTTGTAATACTGCATATACTGCAGAAACACAATCTGCTGGTGCTTGAATCTCAACATAGTAAACAGGCTCCATCAGTCGAGGTGTTGCCTATTTGTTTTTGTATAAATGGTATTAAGAATGTAGGAGCGTGAGTTAATAAAAGTATTAGAATAAGAAGAAAATATCATGTAAAAAACAAATAAGGATCCCCTTTTTGTTTGCTTTTTGCTTTTTGTTTTTGTTTTTGTTTTTGGAGGGGTTTTCATCTTGAAATCACAAACATACCGTCAAGAAGGAGGAGTAACAGACACGACGAGCGGTAGGAATGATTTGACCACCACCTCTATATATCGGCTCATTTGCCAAAACAGCATCTAATATCTTGAATTTGACATTTCGTATGGCTACAAAAAAAAATTGTTAGTCTTTAAAATTTCACTCTCAGTTTCACGTTCACGTTCAAATTCACGTTCAAATTCACGTTCAAATCCAATTATAATAATTACTGTAACATACGTTCATCACACAATGGTCCTTCGCGAGTACCCCACTGGAAACCTTGCTTAATAGAATCCTTGACAGAAAACAAGAGTTTCTTGTCAACTTCTGATGGTAGTGTGTCATCCATCAATACATTTGGCCCCATATCGTCAGGACCAAATGCCCATATTGACCGAGATGCCAACACATCCCACTGATACTTGTTTTGTAAATATTTGCTGAGCTCCTTGACAGGCCAGCGAATATTGATCTCTCCAGTTTCGATATCTTCAGCAAATCCTTTTTCAAGAGGTTCTGCAATAAATGTGAGCTTATTCCTATAATTACAAGCAAAAAATAAAAAATTAGGAAGCATTAGTGTACAAGAAAAAAAAATCATTTGAAAATTTCATTTTAACTAACTAATCAATAAAACCAATCAATCGATCAATTCACTACACTACACTACACTAAATGAACCTTTCTAAAGATATATATACTATGAAAAGTTTGTGCCTTTTGTTTTTTAGTTTTCGAAAATGAAAATACTTTACTTTTTGTTTGGTGTCTCTGCAAAACATTTGAGAGCAGATGTCTCGACCACAGTTTCACAGAAACGGACAACAGGATCAGCTACCTTGAGCTCGATCTCGGCGTACATGCGGCGAAGATCATGTAACACACAGTCAAGGTAAAGTTCACCGGTACCGAGTAAGATGTGTTCGCCAGACTCTTCGACCTTTGTTGTGACAATGGGATAACTTTTGTTGATCTTTCTCAGACCATCGAGCATCTTTGGCAACTCTGACGGGTTGACTGGCTCGATTGCGACCTTTAATGTGGCAGCGGTGGGGAATCGCAGAGGGCGGAAGATATAAGAGTCCTCGCGCGACTTTTGGTTAACGATCGTGGCAGTCTTTATAATCGAACTGTCGACTCCACCAAGTAGCACCCATGCACCTGCAGGTACACCATCGACCTCCATGCGGTATCTGGACTCGTAAACCCACACATTGGAGACCTTTTGCATCGTCATGTCTTCTTCGTCGTCGATCGAGTAACCTTCACCTAAGACGCGGACCATCTGGCCAGCCTTGATGGAGCCGCTCATAACACGTCCAAATGCGTCAAATGCGGTCGCGTCCTCGTCGTTATACAGTTTGACGATCTGGATCATCAGGGGTCCGTCGGGATCACAGCGCTGCATTGCTTGGGCTACCTCAGTATCCATGGGTCCGGTATAGATCTGGGCCACCTTTTGGGCAGCATTGGCAATGGGTGATGCGATGTGCTCTACAACCATGTCTACAAATGCGGCAGGGGGACCAAAGAACTGGGACAACACGAGTCGGAGCAGGACCTTGACATTCAAACCAAACTCCTTTTCCTTGAGTCGGATGTCGAGTGTGCGCAAGGTACGTTTAAGTTCCTTGGTATCCTCTCCGATAATCTGTGTATAAAGCTTGTAGAGGGGCTCGAGAATAAAGTGGATAAACGCACGTTTGCTACCCTCTCCCTGAGGTTTGCGGTGGAAGGTTCCCTTGGCGGGATTGTAGAATACATCACCCCACAAGCGTTTACCAAACTCTTCTGGGTCAATCTCAGCTTCTGTAAACACATACACATTGTCAGAATAAACTTTACCCAATTCACACACAGACCTAAATGTGATTCTTTCTTTCTATTTCTAAAGAAGAATCTTGTGTACAAACCATAAGATTCGGCATAAAGTCTAGCAAATGATTTGAGGGTAAAACACCAGCCAGTTTGGCTGGATGCAAAGCAAACATTGCCGAGTTCGGGTGAGAGACGAATGTCCTCTCCACCTGGTGTGTTTCTGCATTAATATAGGAAAATTTTGTTTTTTTTCGATTAATTAGTTAGGAAAGAACCAACCCAAGAAAATGATAAATGAAGATCATTTCTTTTATTTTAGCCTTTCTTTACTCGTACTGATATATATATATATATATATATCCCTGCATATTTTTTATACTATCATCTCTCTATCTTTATGACTATCTCTGTGTGTGTGCATTATTTGCATGTACCTACCTAATGACAGTGTTGACTTCTTCAATAGTGTGACGCAACTTAAAATATGCATCTGTGGGAGGCAGCTTGAGTTCCAACATCAAGCGATCTACCTTGTTAATAATAAGAGTCATGCCGAGCTTTTCACGAATGCAATGCTTGATGATCTGTTCGGTATTGACCATAACCTACATCACCGACAAAACAGTAAAGAGATTAACTTTTTTTTTGTACAAGCCCAATTAACGGAACAAAATAAAACAGTACTGATCGATAGGTCGACTATTTAATTCAACCATAACCAAGACTCTAGCCTAGCAAGAGAACTTACTCCCTCAATAACATCGACAACAATAGCAACACCGTCACAGAGGCGTGTGGCAGCAACAACTTCGTCAATAAAATTTGTGTGGCCTAGAGCAATAATGTAAAAGAATTTTGCTTCAATAATTCTCTCTTGCCAAAAGAAAAGCAGCACCGACAACAATAAAATACTTCTTTATCTCTATCTCTTCTCTTCCTTTTTTCCTTACCTGGTGTATCAATGACATTCAAAAGATACGATTTTCCATTGAGATCCTGCATAACCATTGTCATTGGCATACTCTTGATACTCACACCTCGTTCTCTTTCTAAGATGTGGGTATCTGTATAACGTTCCTACATACATCTCATTTTTTCAGTATCTGTGTTTTCCTTAATTCCTTTTTTTTGATGATCCACATATTAAACATTTGCATGTTGTGTGTGTGTATCCGTCTCTCTATTTTTGTCTTTACCGGTTGGTCAACATTGATTGGGATATTGTGGGTTTCAGACACAAGAGTATCAACAAACGAGGTTTTGCCGTGGTGAAGGTGGCCGACAATTGCGACATTACGAGTTAATTCCGGAAAGTTCATCATATCCATCATAAACCTTGTTATAAAAAAAACAAGTAAGAATACATATATGTGTATGTATGTATATGCTTACTCTTTACTGAATCGCGTTTCTGGCAAGTTCTTTTCACTGACGTGGAACTTGCGAACCTTGATTGGTGCTACAATTGGTTCTGACAAAGGTTGTGTATCTTCCTCTTGTACAAGTGTCTCGACTTCAGGACCGTATACTTCTTCGGCTGAAGGATAATATTTCTTGTCTTCATGAAGAACGATTTGGTTTGGTGGGATATCTGTACAGGGAAAGTTAACATAATGCATTAATTAATGTCCTTTAAGATAGTTTTTATTATTTTATTATTTTATTATTTTCTTGATGGTGGCTACGGGTCAAGTAGTAATTGTAATCGTATTTGCTGTCGTATTCTTATTCGTGGTTGTAGTTGTAGTTGTAAACGTAATGGTTGTTTTGGATGCCTTTTCTTTTTTTTTTTAAAAAAAAAAAGAGAAAAGTTTTATGCTTTACCATCGATGAGCATTAAAGCAGATTCATTGACATGTTCTGGTTCATTTTCGTCTTCTTCTTCAGACTGAGTTTCCATGCGTGTTTCTTCGTGTTGTTCTTCAAAGTCATCATCATCTTCTTCGACTTCAGGGCCGAGGTAATTGCCAAATTCATCGTAGAGAGAATCGTCCATTGGTTTCTTTGTCGCGTAAGAAATTAAGCTAAAATGTGTTGTAAATTGAGAGATCTGTCAAAGACTTTTTATTAAAAAAAAAAAAAGAAAGTGGGATAGAAAAAGGCTGACGCTTAACAGTGTAGTTTTTGGCTGTAAATGAAAAAAAATAGAAAAAATAGAAGAATCGGTGTATGTTATCAAAAAATACACGTCATAACTGTGACGGGCTCGCATTTGACGCTCTTAAACACATCTGTCTTTTAATAAGTAAAAGAAGGGTAATTTTTATTTTGCATTTATATGTATTTATTAGTTTGTATTATGCTGAGAGGGTAAGCAGTTTGAACATTTGAAAAAAGAGCAAAAAGATGTGTTTTTGAAACAGAGTAAAATATTGAGCATTATAAAATAAATAGATACATACATACATACATACATACATACATATTGTAGTAATAATAATATTCTTATTGTCATCCAAAAAAAAAAAAATTGGCTAAAAAGGAGGCAAAAATCGAATGGTGTTGCGACGTGTGCGACATGCCTCAATTGTGCGTTTTGCGCGTGCTTTATTTCACTACAGTTTTATGTAAAGATTGTATGTACGTATAATACAATATATTACAATATAATTTATATATTAGAATTTTCATTCACATACTTTAAGCAAGTCCAAAAGGAATAATAACCAAGCTTCTTCTCTTTACCTTTTAAAATATTTTATTTTCAATATTTATTTATAGCTATATTTTTTATATATATAATTACTACTATTATTATATATAAAATAATTCTCTGGCTAAAAGAGGGGGTGGGTCTTGTGTTTGATTAAATAACCTCTCAACCACCATTGACACTTCAACTTTGAACTTCTTTTATATATATTTATATATATATATATATATTTTATCAGAATTATTCATTATTATTATTATTTTTAAAATAAATCTAAATATATAAATAAATAATATTCACATTTTCTTCTTCTTCTTCTTTTTCTTCTTCTTCTTCTTTCAAATTTAGCTGTTCCAATTTTCCAGGTAAACTATATAAAAGAAAAAGCAGAATACAATAAAGGGAGGAAAGGGAGGAAGAGGAGTAATACCAATAGTAAAAGTAGTAATATTGGGAGGACTATTAGTAGTATTATATTATATTTTATTTTCTGGTCCTTTTTAAAGACAAGACAAGAAAATAAAATACACCCACAAAAAAACAACAAAAATTAATAATATAATTATTAACTTTATCAATCTTCTTTAAGAAAGACTATACTACTACATACACACGGACGCTCATACTCCAATACAACACTACAACACTACAACATACATACGCACAAGCGCACAAGCGCCCATACATACCCACACAAATACACACAAAGACATACCTTATACATCACACGCCGAAATGGACACCATCTCTGAAAAAGAACCAAAAAGAGACAATCGCTCCCAGGCACCTCTTGCCTTCCTCAACCGGGCTCATCCACTCGATGCTCAAAGTCGGCCATCTTCAGCAGCAGCAGGAACAACAGCAACAACATCTCTAGGTAATCATTCTATATACCTTGGTAATCCCCGGCCCCAACAACAACAGCAACAACAACAGCAACAGCAACGTGCATCTGGTAATACACCTGCAAGAGAATCCCCTTTTCCTCCAGACCATCCGTTGGCTGGACTTGCTCAACCTCCGCAACCACAGTCATTGTACCAACAGCAACAAGTTGGTAGGTTGCAATACTACCACACACGCCCGCCTGTCTATGTAACCAAGCCAACTTTCGGGCTTAAGGATTTTGAGTTACTCGATACCCTGGGAACAGGTACCTTTGGCCGGGTCTACCTAACCAAATTCAAAACGACCAACAAATTCTATGCCATGAAGGTCCTGAAAAAGTCCGAGGTAGTCCGACTAAAGCAAGTAGAACATCTGATGTCCGAGAAGCAAATCTTGGCCTCTGTTCGGTTTCCGTTTGTAGTGGACCTGTAAGCTAAAACACACATACACACTTTTATATACTTTTAGAAATATATATATGAATGAATGAACTGACTGACTGACATGTACGTTGTGTGTGTGTGTATTTTGTATATTTTGTACTATTACTATTCTTTCTTGGGAAAAAACCAATGGAGATTCTGTACTTTCCAGGACGATACGAATCTCTATATGTTGCAAGAATATGTAGTCGGAGGAGAGCTGTTCTCTCATCTGCGACGGGCCGGGCGGTTCACAAATGACATGACACGATTCTATGCGTCCGAGATTGTATTGGCAATTGAATATCTTCACGCAAAGGACATCATCTATCGCGATCTGAAACCCGAGAATCTTCTTGTGGACCACCAGGGGCACATCAAAATTACCGATTTCGGATTTGCAAAGAAGATCGTCCAACGGTAATACAACAGCATATATAAATATAAATATAAATATAAATATATAGAAAGAGAGAGAAAGAGACAATGAATATTTTATATTTTTTTTACTGATACATGTCTGTAGAACATGGACCTTGTGCGGTACTCCAGAGTATCTTGCTCCAGAGATCATTCAAAGCAAAGGGCACGGCAAACCAGTTGACTGGTGGGCGCTTGGGATTCTAATTTTTGAAATGTTGGCAGGGTAAGTTGTATTTATATGTATATTACTTTAATTACTTTATGAATCAAAATTGGATCAAATTGGATCAAATTGGGCTGTGTATTAGGCTGGATTGTGGAAATTACTTTACATCATAATTATTATTAACTGTAAATTAACTTTCTTTATTTCTATATTCAAGGTACCCTCCATTCTTTGATGACCATTCATTTGGTATCTATGAAAAAATTATGGCAGGAAAGGTTCGGTTCCCTACACATTTTGATCCTCTGGCCAAAGATCTCTTAAAAAGACTCCTGGTAGGAGATTGGAGTAAACGGCTAGGCAATCTGGTGGTAAGTCAAAAATTTGATATATATATATAGGCAGATGGATAATTAATATGTGTATATATCTATCTTATTAACTGTCTGTACGTAGGGTGGATCAGAGGAAGTCAAGCGACACAAATGGTTTAGAGGCGTTGACTGGATAGGTTTGCTGGAAAAAAACGTGCGGGTGAGTTGAATTGATTTTATTGATTTATTATCATTACTATTATATACCTATAATATAGTTTTTTTATTAGACGTTTCAAATTCTGATTATTTTGGTTTCAATACAATACAATAATTAAATAATTAAAAAATTAATTGATTAATTAATTAATTTTATATATAATATATATATAAACTTAGGCACCGATCATTCCGCTCTACCGTCACCCAGGCGACACCAGTAATTTTGAAAAGTATCCTGATGAAGCCGAATCCGAGACAAGCTCAACTCCTGGTGAAGATCCTTACAAGCATCTATTCACCGATTTTTCTTGAATTTTACTTTTTATTTATTTATTTTATATTTTTTCTTTCACTTTTTCCTTGTTGCTTATATTTAACCATATAATCTACCCTTCTTCTTCCCCTTCTTCCCCTTCTTCGTTGGCTGATTATCATTTTTATTTATTTATTTATTTTTTACTCTTATAATTATTATTATCATTATTCGTACAAGTATTTTTATTCTTACCGTTACTATCACTATCACTATTACCATTACCATTACCATTACTATTGTTATTATTTGCATTATCATTATTTGCATATCTGAAATCCATTGCTGATCTGAATAATAAGCACTCTTTCCTTCAATCTTCTCTTATTCCCCTTGCCCTTTACCTTTTTCTAGATGCCTTTTTTTTTCTTTAAAAAAATACAATGATATATATATATATATATATATTACGTATAACATTTATCTTTGCAATTGAACCCAATTGAGTGTATTTAGGAAACATTGAGTGGGATAGAGTGTGTATAAAGATTATATAAAGAAAAGGCTAATTGCAGTGATTGTGCCATTATTCCAAGTCGAAGAAATAGTTCAATCCCCGACTATAAGTTGGCTGCTGGTCTTAGCAGGAGATTCTAACCATCCCATCAATAGGCTATCTTTTGTAAATACTGTAATAAAATTAACGCTGTTCTTTTCTTCAGAGAAAATACTCGAGATTGTTCTGATTATATATATATATCTATATCTATATACACTTTTATATATTCTTCTTCCTCCTTTTTTGGTAATGCTTTCTTTCCTTTTTTTTATTGATATTACTCTTCGTCTGATCCTTCTGCTACTGCTACTGCTGCTGATGATGACGATGACGAGTCTCTCTTTTGCTTCTTTGAAACAGTCTCGCCTTCCTTGTCGGTCTCCTTTTCTGCGGATCTCTTCTTGAGACCCTTCATCTTTCTGGTCTGGAGCTTTGCAATCTCTTGGTTTCCAACGTGGATACGGCCATACTTGTCTCCCATTTCGTCTACATTTACATTCTTGACCTTCTTGTGCTACAGAAAACAAACCAAAGAAGAATAAGTAACAAGTTCAAGCAAACACCAAGTAAAATAGCTAGCCAAACAAAACAAAAACAAACAAAAAAAGAACTTTTCTCGTCCTTCCTGATTTATGTATTTTTATTACCTTGATCTCCTTGGGAACCTTGACTGCTGCTGCCCACAGATCAGGCTTGGGTGGAGATGTGCGTCTGATGGTGAAATCGTACATGGGGCCCATTTCTACAAGTTCAACACGGGGTGTCTTTGATCCACTCTTCTTCATCTGAATGGTGTGGGTACGGAAGAAGATCTTATTGTCGGGTGTGGCTGTCAGACTAATCACATACTCGAGACCGTTCAGGTTGACTGCCTCGGTTTCTTCGCCATTGAAAAAATCCAAAAAGTAGTTTTTGATGTTCTTGAATACGATGTCAGAGTCGAATTGCTCGCCACTGAATACCATCAAGGGCTTCATACCAACAGCACATTTGGGGTGCTATAGAGTTAAGTATATATATATATATATAAGTAAGTATAATTAGCGCATGAATCGAAAGAAAGAAAAAAAACATGCAAACAAACAAACAAACAAGCATTGTTGCCTGTACCTTACCTTGATATCATTCATGGAAACTGCCTTTTCAATACCGAGCTCAAACATCTCGAGAATTTGATGGTCAAACATACGGACAAAAGTCAGGTTGTGAGGACGCTTCTTCAAGTGGGTACCAATGACCATAAGTGCAGCATCGTTCTTGTTGGAGAAGAACTGAATCTTTTCCTCATCTTCGAAAGGCTTAATTTCATTCTTCTTTCCAAAGTAGATGCTCTGAGGACGCTTCAATGCACTCTACAAGAAAATATAAAAAAAAACACATTTAGTAATTTAAATTGTTAAAAGACAAAATATATAAAGAAAATCGATACTTTGTACAATCATAAACTAAAAAAAAAAAAGATAGGGAAAGCTTACAAGATCCTTCAGGGCATCATTTACTGTCTGACTGGTTGTGGATCCACGAACAAGCAATGTGGTCTTTGGGTTTTCGACAACTTTTGATTCTCTGTTCTTGAGGAAACGCTTGGAACGGGCGTTCTTTGGTTTTCTAATGGTGAGGCAATGATGTCAATTCAAGTTAAATATAGTATAATTGTATTTATATTTTAAAAAAAAAGTAGCTTGAGTGAAATTTATAATAAATAAATATATATTTATTTATTAGCTAGTAAAGACATACACTGTACGCAACATGATCTCGGTAATTTGTGGTATAGGATCCAGACAAAGCTTTTTTTTTTGTAACTTTTTTTTTCAGTACAGATTTTAAAAAATAAAAGGTTGTCACAAATCCTGGGACGAGGTTTGGCCTGGAAGTGACTGTGAGATTTGTGAAGCCTCTTGTTGGTTTTATTTTATTTTTAATTAGGAAAGAGAGAGGGGAGTCAATTAAAAAAAAATTGAACGAATTTCATTGCAGTCTTTAACCAATCATATCTTCTATAAAGTTCGGTTGGTAAAGATTATCACTACAAAAAATTAATGCCGTTGTTCGAAATCTACAGTACTTGAACTTTCCGTAGCGAAGAGATACATAAAACTTACAGGGAGAGGGGAAAATTCTGCCCTCCTCTCCAAAAAAAAAAGTATGCTAGCATCAATCTAAAATTGGCTCTTCCGCTTTGACAAGAAAAGGTTCAACCTTTATTCAAACAAGAAGATTGTTTAAATTGTAGGGCAAATTTGACATTTTTCTATGTAAATATTGTTTTTAATCAGAATTAATTCAATATGCCATCGCCTATCAGCATAAAGACAATCTTTGATTTACACTTTTGGTGTACAGACTAAAAAGAATTATAAAAGTTCAATATTTTCATTAGCAAAAAAAAATAAAAAAAAAATAAAACTATTGTCCAATTATATTGCTGAATATAAGAATCTGGCTTAAAATTATGATTTGGTTGACCACCCCGGCATCTTACTTGATATGTTTAATAATTATTATTTGTTTCTTCTTTTTCTTTTGTTGAAGCTTTCATACTATTTGAGCTTTATATGTATATTTTTGTGAGTAAAAAACATACCATCTTAAAGAATAAGGAAGAGATTGAAGAATGAAAAGGATTTACTGTAGGCAGTGCTAACAACAATTAAGATCAAATACTATATTTGAGCATCAGAAATAATTTGTCCCTATTTTATTTTAATTTATTTTATTTTGCTATTTTGCTTGTAGGTTTTCAGAATATAGCTGTTGCAGCTATTCCTATCGTTCGAGCAAGCACTAGATGATCAGGTACTGTATTGTTGTTACTATTGAGAGGAAAATATCGAGTAGAATAAGCTTACCAATAAATTTGATCACATTGACCAAAGATGATATTAAAATAAAAGATTGGAAGAAATAATTATCTCATGTTAATGGTCTTTCATAAGCCAAAAAGATCACACCGCGCATCAAGTGCTTAAAGGTGATACACTTCAAAATAGAAGCACAAATGACAACACACGTACAATCACTCGCATTCTCACCCACACACGCATGTGCTTCTTCACTCTCTTTGTTTAGGATATTAAAAAGTATTACAGTCAAAAAAGGGTCTTGGTTTCCCTTGTTGTTGGGGGTGAAAGAAGAATGAGAATGATAATGGGTTATTACAAACAATAATGATTTTTTATACATACATATATGTGTTCCTTTTGGACATGGCTTTCTTTTTTCTTTTTTCTTTTTTCTCTGCCGTGAGAATACCACAGAGCTGGTACTGTGGAGCTTTGGATTGAAACTTTTATTGTTATTATTTTATTCAAGGCACTAAAATTGTACGGAATGGCACGGAATGGGTGCAAAGTTTTTGCAAAATTGTACTTTGATAAATGTACATTGTATTATAGTCCCTCTACTGTATTGCTCATTCCAAATAATGTATATTATTTCTTTCTTCTTCTTCTTATTATTATTATGATTACAATTATACCTTCTATAGACTCTAAGCAAAGTCTATTCATTCGCTTGTATTTTATTTTGTAAAGGAAACGAGTCATTTAAAGTTTATTGTTATTTCTTTTAAAAAAATGATCTTTAAATGGAAAACCTAAAAATTGCTGCATTTTAAGGTATTACAAGATTCGTAGCTCTTCAGCCTTGTCTTCTTTATTTTATTTTTGTCATTATCAACTACAGTTTTTCTCTTTCTCTTTCTTTCTCTTGCTAGGGTAGTATTCACTTGTTCCGGACCCAGTAAATGATCCGAGTAATTACACTTGGTGTTATCTCTCTTTCTCTCTCTCTCTCTCTCTCTGTGTGTGTGTGTGTGTGTATGGAAGAGTTTTTGCAGAGCAGATGACTTTGTGTTGTTACATATTAAATTTTTATCATATTTATTTATTTACTCAATTTATGTATATATATATATAATCTCAGAATTTGCTAAGCTATTTTGTAATCAAGTAGATTCAAAGAGATATGATCTACAACAGAAAAGCACGCCATTCTGGGGGGAGCTATATCACCTCTTCTTTGCCTTGACTCTACTGTATTCTAGTTTTTGGACCTTTGTTTTCATTTACTTCTTTAAACCTCCAAGATATATCACAAAAAAGGAAAGTAGGACAGACACAAAGAGAGAGAGAGAAAGATAGATAGATAGATAGATAGATAGATAGATAGATATACTTTTCACCTAATTATTTATTTATTTCTATATATTACTATCAAAAAATAAAAATAATATGATAGACTATGAAGATTTTATACTTGCTTGTTAGTATCAAAAACAGGTATTTATTGTCTATTTAAACTCGTGTGTAGTGCGTATATTGTGTAATGTGTTTATTATAATTTTTCTTTTAATCGATTAAAATGAAAAACATGTACAAACAAAAAGTCCAAAAAAAACACATACACACACTATGAATTTCACATTGAATAAGGTTTGGTTGTAATACTTGCTTGAGATGATAATAGGAGTATTTGCTGTAGAAATGGTAGTAATGGTAAATGTCCCCAAAAACATTTTCTCAAATAATATTTCTGGATACAGCCGGAACAGTTTGAACAATAAGCACACAAGAGCCTTTTTTTTCTTTTGGGTTTATTTCCGTCTTTGTGGATCAAGAGCATTGTCAGTGCGGTGTGATGCACAAGCTACAACACACACAAAAAGCAAAAAGGAAAATAGATGTGAGAATCACACGATTTTTGCCTTGATTTATTTCACTTTTTGTCTCAATTTATACACACAGCATACATGTGCCTATGTGCGTTTTTATATATATATGTATATGTACAGTCTTCAAGATATGTCACAATACTTCAAAGACACAGGACCACAAATACAGACATCTTTGAGGTGTCTACCTTCTTTTCTTTTGACACCTGGATATTAAGGTATGAAAGAGTGGGTATGCTCTAAACTACATATACAATAAAAGGACAAGAGATTTTGTAAAGAAGTATGGACCTTAAGTGTGGTTTTATTATATGCATATATTTAACGTAAAATATAAAAGCATAATTCTGTTTTGGTGCCAAAATTTTGATTTTACTGTTTGTTCAGTTGCCCATACATTTGTCCGTGTATATGTCTTTATTTTCTTGTCCGTAAAAATCATTTGTTGAGTCATAACAGTAGATAAGCTTCTGATCGAAATGACCAAGTGATCTATGCGAGGAATATTTGTACTTGGTGAACTGGGATATCTTTATTAGGATATCCCTAAAAGATGTGATCTATAGTGAACACAAAATATCCAATTGAAAAAGAAAAAGCTACCAGTTTTATTCAGCGTTTGGTCCCATTTGGTGTTTGGTATTTTTTTTTATTTTTTTTTGGGATTGGTATTGATAGCAATTATCAGCATTACTACCACCAAGATCTAATCTTTGTTAAAGAAATCATACGACCAAGAAATCTTTTATATTTTGTATTTTACATTTTACATTTTATTTTTCTTCGGTTTTGTTCTGTTTTACAATTATCCTGCAGCTGGCGTGATTTATATCAATCAAATAAAATTCAAATCTCTCTACTATCCGTGGCTCCCAATTTTCCTTTCTTTCTTCTTTTGGATTTAGAGAATTTTTTGAAATGTTCGATAATTTGATGTTTTCGAAATGAATATTGAAACAGAACAAGGTGTTTCTACTATCTGTAAAATATCTTATTATCGTAGTCATCTATAGAGACATAGTGATATTCTAATAACAGTCGAGTGTTGTATAATTCAATCTATATACATATACAAATGTGTGTCTGTGTGTGTACAGTGTGTGTGTCCCAGATACAATATTACTCCTGAGTTTTACATACTCGAAACTCGTCAAAGTTTCATAAATAGCAAAAATAATAAAAATAAGAATTCACATAGATTCCTCTTTATGTATCTATTTTGCAGTAAAGAGTCAATTTCTCCTGCAATTTTTTTTTGGAACACAGGGATATAAGCTTGGGGACTAGATGTTTCGGTTATCTTTATAATAATAAAATAAGCATAAAATTCCTTTTTATTACCAGCACTTTTATTACTATTTAAATTCAAGTTCGAATAACCTCTAACCCTTTAATTTACCCTGTAAGAAAGGCTTGGTCTTGGTATTGGTCTTTTGTATTTTGCTTTTCATTTGTTTAACCTTTTGATTTCGGAAAATTCTTTGAAACTGATATTTTTTTTTGAATTATGGTGTTCCATCGTTTGTGCACAATATCTATTCATATATACATATATATAGCTTGTGTATATTAGGGCCAATGTGTGTTTCATAGCTGTAAGCTTTGTAAGAATCATTAATGCAGTGTGTGTATACCTTGAGAAGATAGTCCTACACCTATTGTATAGTGTCTACAATAGCGCAGGATTCCAATTACATAATATTCTCTTTATACATCAAACAAAAAGAAAAGACGGCTCGGACTTGAAGAATGCCAAATGGTTTGATTTCACACAATGTATTTGGTTTCCATATTGACTATGAAGGAGAATATGTAAATAGCTTTCATATAATGATATAAAAGAAAAATATATAAACCCCACGTCTGTGAGAAAATAATAAGAATAATAATATTTGTAGCAGTAATATATTGTTGTAATACCACCAATTGATAAGTATATATATATATATAGAGAGAGAGAGAGAGAGGAACACTGCATTTACATGATTATTTTTTGTCGTTGTCATGGCTACACCGAGTTTTTACTTTATATATAATTGATGGAAATACAAAAAAAAAGTCTTTTAGTTTTTATTTTATTAATTAAACGTATTTAAATATATACATTATGTAGATATAGACTATTTTATAATATACCTGTTGTCTAATGTAATGCACTTTCGACAAATAGTAAGATACTTCACAGGTCTTCTAGATTAATCTTGTTTGTTTCATACAAGTTAAAAATATATACATCAGACCACAATAAGCGAATAAGACAATAATAGTACTATATCCATTCTTTTTTTTTGTGACTAGCAAATACTTCAAAAACAACTGAGGCATATACAGATATAGAGAGATATATAATTTTATTTTATTCAGACAAGAAGGTTACTCAAAAGACTTGTTCTCTCTCTCTTTGTATTACTATACTATTCAAATCCAGTTTTATTGTTCAAAAATTTAGTCCAAATCTTCTGAGCCTCCAACCCCCCCCCTTCGCCTTCCATTCTCTTTATTATTATATAAATATATATAACACCTTTTGACTAGTGATATCTCGAGTCATGTATAGCGTACATTGTTAGATTCCACGTTTCTTCTTATTCTTATTCTTCTCTTTTAGATCTTAGATAATCTTATTGTTTCAAAAATAAAATAAAGTATGTGGTATAAAAAAAGAAAACAATAAAATACACACTTGCACCAAAAATATAAGAAGAACAATATATTAATATTCATACACACACACACACACACACACAAGCTCGAACAAGGGCTTTATAATTCGATTAATATTTATACCAAACTAGCAATTGATTTTGAATAGTAATGTTCATTGTTATATAATAAAGATTCTTTTTATTTTTAAAAAAAATTGGTTGATTTGTTTCCACGGGTTTATCGGATTATCTGTTTTGGTTTTGGCTTTCTTTGACCCGCGTGGCTATCGTATTGATTGATCTTTGGCGTGGTCCAAAAAAAAAGGAAAAGTAGGACACAAAGCCAAACCAAACAAAACCAAACAAAACCAGACCAGACCAGACCAGACTAGACTAGACCGGACCAGACTAGACCGGACCAAACAAAAGAAAGACAGACAGACAGACAGAAAAGAAAGAGACCTACAGTGGTTTGGATCTGTACTACTGCACCTACACATTTATATATAAATATATTTATATAACCATTCACACAACACAACTGAGCGGTTCGGAAATCCATGTGCACACAATACCTTAGTTTGGCTTGATAATCTACAGATTTGGATTTCCTTTTTCTTTCTTTCTTTACAAATGTGTGTGTCCATGTGTGCGTGTATGTATGTGCATGACCAGAGCGTCTTTAAATTACTAGATGACCTGACTTGTTGTACACACTAGACACAAATTGATAGTAGAGATAATTTTATTGGTTGGCATGAAAAATGGGTATTCTTTTATCGTTTACAGTTTTGTTGTTGATGTTGTATAATATAATGTATAATTTATATTTATATATATTTATATGTATGTGTGTGTAGATTTGTTTATAAAGAGCATAAAAGTGTAAAGAAGTGTAGATATATAATAGAAAAGTAAAATGAATGAAATAAAGATAGAGCAAGATTTAGCAAAAATCCAGTTTTGCATTATGTACATATAATAAAGTGATTGAAGAGGAAGGAAATTGAAAGCTTAAGAGTGAGAGAGGAGGGCTATAATACAAAGAAACTTCCCGGCACCTTTCTTTCTCCTTTTTAATATACTCCGATGTGTAGGAAACGTTGGAAGCGTTGGGTTACAGACAGTGGTTGTGTTGAGGAGGCTTTGGAAACATGCGAGAATTTGGAGTCTTTCTGTCTTTTGAATTTGCCAACAAGATCCTGGAGTGATCTGGTATTGATGTTGAAATTTGACCTGGAGACCACCTTTGTGACAGTAGCAGTGACGGGAGGGAGTCCAGTATGCAAATAATACCCTTTTTGAACCTTGTCTGTAGAACAAATAGAGCTGGTGCTACTACGGCTACTAGCGGCCAGCGTTGAGCCTTGAGAATCAAAGGATAGGAGTGGGTATTTATTGGCAGGTGATGTAGAAACTTCAATCACAGAATCACTGTCATTCTTAATCTCAATCACACTCTCATCTTCACTCTCGGTAGCACTGTCGTCGTGAATCGTACTAAACTCGACGTCAGAGAAAACACCATCTTCAGCACTGCTATGGGTTGACGAACTAGAGCTGTATGAATACGATCCTTGGAATCTATCGCCACCGTAGGTCTGGATACGTTCGATTTCATGCTGAGCATATTTCAAGTCTTCGGTATGTTTGGTGTTAATAGTACTAGAAGCCTCAGGCTCAAGGCTTTGGTCGAGTGATGAATGGGAGCAGATTGAGGATGTTTCAGAGTAAGTGTGGTATTGGGTCGAATCGGTCTTGAGCTGGAACTCGAACGCACCGGGAATCCTTCCTGACGAAACAATTGTGTATTCGTGGACACAGTCTTGCGTGGCCTGAAAGCTCCAGTCGACTGATTCAGGTACCTTGACATTCGGACCAGACATAAGCTTGGGAGTTTCAGGCTCACAAGGAAATATAAAATCGTTGGACAGAAAGTCAAGAGGCATTTTATTAGCGTTCTTTTTGTTGAAATTTAGATGGGGGAGTAAAGGGAAGAAGAAGAAGTATTTATTCTATTCGTATTTATACCCAAGATTTTCTTTTTTCAAAAAAAAAAAAAACAACAATTGACATTGATCGACCGAGTGGTGTGGTGTTGTGGTTGTGGTTGTGGTTGTAGCTGTGGTGCATGGCGGCTAGTCAAACCTAGTCCCTTGCAAAAAAAGGATATTGCTGGAATACGAAATTCACATTCTTGTTTGTGTACCACACTTTCTAACGTGAGTTTTTTTTTTAATAAACACACACTCACACACTCCCTTGCACATATACACTTATGGATCTATATTATAATTTATTTATATGTAAATGTATTTTGATATCAGGCTTCAAGACGTGTTCTTGCCTTGAGATGAATATAAACATTCTGCTGTGATTTATGAACAGGATAATACAATACAATATAGTCTGTACAATGCAAAGAATTCTTAATCTATATAGTCATGCAATAAGAGCTGATTAATATGGAGTACATACTCAATTCTAGCAATATACTAATGTAAAATATTTGTAAAGAGATTAGACAATAAGAAATCTCTGTGTAAAGTGCCATAATCGACTGTGTCCCATTGTTCTTTTCAAACACACACAAGCACAGACACAGGCACAGGCACAGGAATAGGCACAGGAATAGGCACACGTACAGACACTTACACAGGAATATAAGTAAAGAAATATGGATAATAATATATATAAAGGAATGTGGCCTCACTTCAGAGATTAGACATCACAACACATGTTGTGGGGTAGTGTCTTTCATAATAAAATTCCCTTTGTATTTTGTTGGGGGTAAAGAAGTAATACAAAGAAGAAGACAAAAGAAGGTTTGTGTTTTGTTAGTTACCAGTGCATGCAATAGTTGGCTATTTATTACTGGTTTTTTTAGATGTTAGTTGTAGTTATAGTGATGATGGTGGCTTTGTAATTTACATAGATCACACAAGATATAAAAATGCAATACGATATGGAATAGTAATATTAAGTGCAGTAGTAAAAGGCTTATGTTTCATGGACTCCAAATACGATCAATAAAAAATCTACTATGCTATCCAAACACAATAAAACAAACTTGGACTGAGCGTCCACACTAAAGTAAATTACTAATAATATTTACTATTTTTTCATTAAATATAATACGGTATTCAGTATACAGCACAATATAGTGCAGCACACCAAAGCACACCAAAGCACAATAAAAGTAAGCATCATTTTTTCAAGTGTGAACCAAACAAATCAAGACTACATAGCCCACAAAGCTATATATAAGGATAATAATAATAACAATAAAAAAATTATACTTGTGAGCATACACGTATACATTTCACAGGGAATTTCTATGTTTGTCTGGGTGACCCTGTACTCCCTTTATAGATGGTGTATGTTGCATTTCACACGGCTAAATTCCAAGAGGGTCTACCGGAATAAGGCGAATAGGAAAACCATATATTCAGTTACCAATATATTATATAATATTTTTATTGTTCTATTTTTTTTTTCATATGTATTTCACAGCACTTTTTTTTCATATCCCTTGTTATTCTGGTACAGAATCATACCTTAGGTCTGACTGGTCTAGAGATTATATTACTAGAATTTAATGTGGCAATGCTCTTTACAGTATATATACATATAGATATTTCTAGACCAAAAAAAAAAGCCAAAAGCTTAGATATAATATAGATTAATACATTATTATAATTATATTTACCTATTATTTTACTGCTAAATAGATACTCTATTTTATCAGTATTACTATTGTTGTTTAAAATAAAATTGTCCCTGATTATCGTTTAGGCGTAGTCTTCGTATTTGTACCATTTTACTTAAATGATATATGTGTATACCATTATACCATTATATCATTATATCTCGGCGAGTTTAGGGGATCTTATTTTTATTTTATCTTTCAAGACTTTTTGCAATATATCCAGTAGGCAAACAGTATATTGTGTATATAATTTTTCCATTCTAACCACCTTGATTAATGATCTAACCATTATACTAATGCTATCATATATATATATATGTATATATATATATATACGAGTGAGTGAGTGTGTATATGTATGTAAAATACTCAAAGACGCTGTATAGTGTCTGCAAAATATACTCACTCATCATTATAACGGATTGTAGCCGGAGTTTTTGTAAAAGGCTGATAATAATGAGTAATTATAGTAGCAGTATACTTTATGGATTTGCGCCAAATGACTGGAAATCCTTCTCTTTTGTCCTCAACCCACAGAAAAGAAAGGCCGAGATTAGGACAAGCATACCGTCTGTTCCGGATGTCGTACCAAACAAAAAGACTGTATACATTACAGTCATTTCAGAAAGTAAAGTTGCTGATTCTCAATTCGATGTCGTGCAAAAAAAACGTGTTCAAGAACGATGTTGATATAGAATGGGGCTATGCAATAAGAAATTTTATATAGTCTGCACTGATAAAGATAAGTCTAGATTTATTTATTTATTTATTTATTTATTTATTATTCACCAAATGTATGAATGCTTCTGCTACTGTGAGATAATTAGATATTCATATCTAAGCAGCACATAAATGGGTCAATGAAAATGAGCACAATATCAATCTTAGATGCCACATTTTACATTGGTTTAGTTAATACTAAGTTGCGAGTTCTAAAGCATATCAAAAAGAGAAAGCTTGAATGAAAAAGTGACAGTTATAACATAGGAACAGCAGCACGAAATTATTTGAGTTTTTGTAAGACTAATGACGAAATGGATAAGTATCCAGAAATGAAGACTTACAACCTTGCTATAGATAATACGCTTATTCACAGCTCAGCGACTATAAGAAAGTATATTTGCTTTCGAGAATAATTCTGTGTCTGCCTTTCTACGTATTCTCCTGGACTGAATACAATTGAGTAGTACTGCTATATTATGAAGAGTATAACTAAGCAAAATAGGTTCCTGGAAAAAGAATTAGCTATAACTAGAATTGGCAAGGCTTGCGATATTTTATACTTACGCGGTTACATGGGTTTTATCTCATTCAGCGAAATGTTTTGGTAAGTGCCTCAATAAAAAAAATTGTAAAAAAGTGAAAGCTCAGGAAAAGACTGACTCATGAGCTTATATATCCTGGCTCGCAAAACCTCAAAGCTAGTTATCAAGTGGGAAGAGTTTCGATTTATTTGTTTATTGGCCAATTATGATACTATTTTGGGATATGGAAAGAAAAGTTGGTTGCATAGGTTGGTACATCGGGTCGATCTTTACAATTTGGTAAGGCGAATCACCGGGAGGTCTTCCGGTTTGTCTGCGCAGGTTGTTAAATGTTGCTTTCGCTTAGTGGGGAGTAGTATGCAAAGTTCTGACTGATCTCTTATGGGTGGTGCCCAGTATGTTTGATATGAGGCTGTGAGTTTCACAGATATTAGTTTACAATTCAAATACGTGGGTTTAAAGGCACTGCATCATTCTTCATGCTGGTAAGCTAATCCACCGCATGTCTTATGAGTGGGATATATTAATTCTTCAATACAGTGTTTCTACTTGAGATTGAGACAAATTAGGAAATGTTTTAGGCGAATCCAAATTAATTTCTAGGCATCTTGCTTACTTTTTGTGGACGAAACGAGAATGAAATTTAGACAAAGAGAAATTAGTTTTAAGACAAAGTAGACATTTATTCAGACATTTTATCTATATGTCTAAATGTCTCAAAGAGACAACCTGTTTACATTACAGTTGGTGTGGACAGACTAAAAGTTCAAAAAAAGGGTAGAAAAAGGGTAAAGCAACTTCATCCTGAACTTAGTCAATCAGACTAATTTATGGCTGTCCACATCTTTATTTAAAAAAAAGTTCAAAATTAGTTCAAAATACATATTAGATAAAATTGTGCATATAATCCCGTCTCTGTCATTAAGTGAGAACCTTTTATTGCGAGTTTTTCTAGACCTCTCATTATATGACACATCTTCTCCATAAAAAAATGCTTCCCTTCTCAATCCTAGTGGCAATGGAAGAAAACTAACTAATTAGAGTCGATTAAAAATTTTGCCCAATGGTATGACTTAAATTTCTGCTCTTTTTTTTACCCTTTTTTTGAACTTTTAGTCTGTCCACACCAAATAATTTGATACGGCATACTTATCGTGACGCTCTTTTAATATTGATTACTCGAGCCTTCATTTGCCTTTTTTTTTTATCTTTCTTAGCCTACAATGACCAATGACTTGAGGGAGCATGCGTTGCTCCCTGACGTACCCGGCAAGCCTATCGAGGAACTTTGAAAGATAGGAACTCCCGCGTCTGCTTAATCCTCTGAACTTGGAGTCTTTCCAGACTCGACACTAGCTCTTCAGTTAATCTGATCGGTGGTTATTGGATTAATATTGTTTATTACATACATCTAATGAAACTTGTTTGGCATTAAAAAAAAAACTCAAAATAAGGTAACAATATAATGTGTAAACTATTTTTTTCTAATTGCTCAGTATCTGCAATTCTGTAATAACAAGTTAGTTTCCTTCTCGCCTTTGCATAGCAATATCTTTTGTATTTAGCTTCAACTACTGCAATACTGATCTTACTTTCTGTATGGCTTCCGCCACTCTTAATTGTCTTGAGAATACTCGTTTTGATGGTATATAATAAATAAAGATATTTGTATTTGTTATATAACAGAAAACCTTTTTTTAACTCCAGTACCGAAATAACAAATATTTGTTACATGTAAATCCATTTATCCCTACTTGGTCTATAAGTTAACATGTATGTTTTAATCAAATAACTTTGAAATATTCCAAGTATAAAGCGCATATAGTAAACTGTGTTATTTTAATGAAAAAGTAGCGATAGATATGCCCTAATTATCTAACTACTGCTATCTGGTCTAATTGGTGAGCTATTGATTTGCAAATGACTTGATTTTTTGATGTAAATCTGTGGCAATTTGATCAGGGTGTTTATTTTGAAGTTGTCACACAAACTTGTTACTTTTTCGTGCCCCTCCAACTTCCTAGCCTTTTTCTTCATATTATCAATGTGTAATCCTTGTAGCTCATCGATGGTTTGATATGATTCGTTGATTAGCTGCTAACAAAAGGTACTGATGATAAATAAAATGTCAAAATATGGATCAAGTATATCTTGCTCTTAAGAACCAGAATAGATCAATAAACTTTCTCAATTTTTCCTTTGAAGTTTTTGATTCTGTTGGCACTTCGACTGAACCAATACAATCAATCACATAAACCTTGCTTTCTGGCATAAATTCTCTCTAAATTCTGATATTTGTTGCTGAAAAACGCCATAAAACAAAACGTTAGCGGATATGTCTTTAAAGAAAAGAGAAAATACAAACGTGTTGCCTGAACAAAAAAGAGCCAATTTTTTTTTTTGAAAATTTCAAAATCACCATAGTGAGACTTTCGCCCGATGACATGCAGCGTGGCGACAAGGACGTATCCAGCCTTGATATAATTTTGAGTTTCTTTTGGGTCATTTTGTTGAAGTAAAGGGCCTGTTGTTTCCAAGATTGCTATTTCGATCTCACTTTCTATGAGGGTACTCAGCCAGATTGATCGATCACATTTTAAATTCAGAACGCAATATTATTGGACTACTAAAATCAATCAAAATTACCAGCATCACGTGATATACAGATTTGCCTGCAAAAACATGCTGTTTTATAAATCACATGATATACCAAAAGTACATCAAATCATAAACTCGACAATAATCTTAGATAATAGATAATGTAATTGTGTGCTTAACTGAATAGAGCAGTAGGGAAGAGTTACATATTAACTGCCTGTAGGACTCTGCCCCCCCCCCCCCGGAGGGAGGGGGGGAGCAACCCTTATTAGACTAAAATTGTAATATCGACGATCAAAATTCGATCGTCTTTTTGAAAGATCAAATTTTGATCGAAAAACATACGGCTCTCTGATTGGCTAAATCCTTTTTTATATGCAATACGATACTACAGGATTTCCACTCCAAAAGTTATATTTTTTTTTCAAACTATATATTTTGCAAAATCAAAACTTTCATTTTGTGCTCCGACTATATATAAAAAAAAATCAATTTATTTCTTGGCTATTTGTACATTGGGGGAAGAAGTTAATGCTATGATCAACCCAGCCTTGGCAGTTTTCCATAGCGATATGGCGGGAGCACTCAGCAATATACTCCAAGAATTGACCATATACCAACCCGGGCTTTCTCTTGACCAGTGTTTTGAGTTTGGAGAAGCACTCTTCAATCGGGTTTAGGAAAGGAGAGTATGGGGGGAGAAAGTGTAGGTGGTGTCGTGAATTAGCAAACAATTCAGTGACAAGATGGGATCTATGGATCGAGGCATTATCCATAATGAAGTTGTGAGGGGCAGCATTACTGTGGTCGAGCGAATCCATAATCGTCTTTACAAATTCAACGAAAATTGGTCCTGTCGTGCCACCAGGGGTTAACTTCGCCTGCACACTCTCAACACCTTGGTAAGAAATACCGGCAAGAATTGAGATGTTTAGTCCCCTTTTCGACTTCGTCTTCACAATGCTGGTCTCGCCTTTCTTGGACCACCCTTGTCCTCTGATCAGGTTTGCATTAAAGCCTGCTTCGTCCACAAAAATGCAATTGGTTTTATACGATAAACCATTCGTGTGCATACTGTCTACGTATACTTTTCTCAGCTCAATAGTCTTCGGGTCGTTTCTTTTTTCCTCGACCGGCTTGGTTCTCTTCAATGTGAACCCGATGTTGTTGATAATGTGCTTATGTAAGCCACTGATACTCAAGTTCTGCTCTTGAAGCTCTGGAAATTTTCTAAACAGTTCCTCTCTCATTTGACCAAGAGTCAAGGTGCAGCATTCGTCCAAGAGGTCTTGAATGAACTTCGAATGCTCATCGGTTATCTTAAGACTTTCCGCGCGCGAGCCGCCTCGCTTCTTGGGCTCTACAGTAGCATCCCTCTCGAACTTGGTGAGGATGTTGTTAATCGACACCTATGAGACACCAAATGCCCTGGCTGCTTCGGCTCGGGTCATGGACTCTTCTATATAACATTTCTCCACAATCATGTTCTTGATGTGGATCGGAAGAACCTTTTGTGGTCCATTTCTCTTTCTTCTCTTAACGATAGCGATTTGATTGGGGTTCATGTTGGAGGATTTGAGTATAGAAAAAGGTAATAGATAAAGACAGTTCTCAAAACCATATTACAAACTTAGCATTATATACTTTTCTTATAACAATATATTGACATTGCATGTTTTCTTATATTGTTTTTAATAAACAGTGTAGACATTCTTTAAATACTTTATCGCACATATTAGCATTCTTCATGCTCTTTATTAATTTGCTTTAAATTTCTTTCTATCCGCATTAATTAATTTATTTTTTTCATATATAGTCGGAGCACAAAATGAAAGTTTTGATTTTGCAAAATATATAGTTTGAAAAAAAAATATAACTTTTGGAGTGGAAATCCTGTATCTTAGAATATATGTCTGGGACTTTGTTAGAAGAATCCGGCGCCAGCATCAAATCATTGACTGACCCTCCAAAAATTGAATTAAGTGAACCGTGCAAGGATATTTTGAATCTTATTTCCAAATCTTCTGCTTCAGCAACATGCATAAAGTCTCAAATAAGGTCTTTTATTGGAACTAATAATTCTCTGGATGAATCTGAATATGCTGACTATTACTTTGCGGAATCTACACTTCATCATTTGTAAGTATCTATATATCATAATAAAAAAAAAAGGCATTGTCATTATTTTGATAGTTAATTAGTTAATTAGCTAATTAACCTAATATCTCTATCTAAATAGCTTGCAAATGATGACCAGCCCAAGAAACCCAATTCTATTCCCAATGAAAGAGAGGACAGCTGCTCCAATTACAACAATATACCTGTTACATGCAATGTTCTTAAGCTGTAATGACCTAGTATCTTTCCATTGGTAAATAAATTAGTTTGAAACAAATGAAAAGGTTGTCTTCTAAACACATATTAGGATTGAGCGGACAGCTGATATAACAGGAGCTGCAAAGTGGGATGGAATATGCTTTTCAATCAAAGATAAGCGCCTCACGCCCGTTTTGATTGAATTTTCTGGAGGGATTCACTTTAATAGTACCACAGAAAAAGAGCAAAGAGATGAAAGCAAAATGATACGAAATATGGTCAAGCTCTTGGAATATGCCAAATATGTCAAAAAGCACAAGTCCCCTGTCCCGCAGTTCTACTGTCGTTTCTTCAGTAAGTTGATTGTGAACATACATACATACATACATATATATATGTATGTATGGACATTCAAACCACAGCTAATATTTCTTTTAGACAACCAGATTTTCTTTGAAGCCATATTTTTAGTTGATGAAGAAACTAGACTTGTAAAAAGAACTTTTTGCAAGATTCCCTGTCCGGTAACCCCACGCGAGCTAAAGATCTTTGCTGAAAACATTCCTGCTATGTTAAAATGGAAGCAGGCAATAATAAACTATGTGATCGAATCACAAAAGTGAAGAATAAAAACCATAGAATTAAAGAAATAAAAGTGCTTATGTTCTTTTACTTTTACTGACTACCAACAACCGAGTCATTATTACTTTTTTTTTGTTTATTGTTTCAATATGTGTTCAAATGATCTTGCTTAAGTATAGAAATATTTTTCTTTTAATCTTTTGATTGCATTTTCTTCCACAGCCAAGGCTCCTCTGGCAGCTTATTCAAGTTTTACTGATACTAGAGTTTCGTTTGATTTTATATTCTAATTAATAAGAGCAATGGTTACATATACATATGCTTCTTGTTGTTCAGTTGGCTTACAGTTGAGAATCCTAAACATGTCGTGATGATTGATTGTTTTTACGCGTAAAAACAATCAATCATCAGAAGAATAATAATGTACATTGGTACCAATTAGTAAAAGTCAATTAATTGAACAATGCCTATTAGGTACACATTACCTTTATCAAAGTACAGACTACAGAAGACTCCCTGCATTCATATAAAGAAGTTTCACTCTTTATATGCAACGTTCGCATCCGGATGCCTTTTACAATGAAGCAAAAGGCCAGAGCCCAGAGCGTTAGCAGGGGGGACAATGTACCTTTTTGTTACTACATGTTGAAGTAATAACTAAGTGCACATCGTTGTCTTCTACATCAAACTCCCTGCATTCATATAAAGAAGTTTCACTCTTTATATGCAACGTTCGCATCCGGATGCCTTTTACAATGAAGCAAAAGGCCAGAGCCCAGAGCGTTAGCAGGGGGGACAATGTACCTTTTTGTTATTACATGTTGAAGTAATAACTAAGTGCACATCGTTGTTTGATGGTGTAGTCTAAAGGAACGCCATAATGGTGATAAGGGAATAACCATTACATATATTCATTGTGACCGCAACGTCATCAAAACAGGCCCGGTCCGGCACAACGATGTCTGAGCTGGCACTTTTTTTTTGCAGTTCGAAATGATTATTGTAGAAAATCACAGGATTTAATACTCTGGGTGCGTAACAAAGTTGCGTATGGACAACTTCTTTGTTTTCTTATAGACAATTGGTATATGTGCTGTGTTTTTTAATACGCTTATATTCCTATATAGGAAATTATGGCTAAAGTCCGTACCGCGTATTAAGCTCCTCCGAGTCGGCTAGTACTCCTTTTCGGCGGAGTTATTTATTTTTACAAACTTTTGAAAGAAAAAAACATATCGGTGTAGGCACAGGTCTATATCAAAAAAGGCGTTCTATATTCCGAGATCACCTCTTCACATTTTACCCTTTGAATACTAAAGAAAAATCTAAAAAGTCACGTGCCTAACTTGTTTACATTTTTGTTAGTAAGACTGTGACGGAGGTCACTCTTGAGTTCATAAATCAGTACCTTATTTGGACGCCCCTTTATAATCACTCAAAATCCAATTTCAATAAACTCAGTCTTCTTCCTGATACAGGATTTCCACTCCAAAAGTTATATTTTTTTTTCAAACTATATATTTTGCAAAATCAAAACTTTCATTTTGTGCTCCGACTATATATGAAAAAAATAAATTAATTAATGCGGATAGAAAGAAATTTAAAGCAAATTAATAAAGAGCATGAAGAATGCTAATATGTGCGATAAAGTATTTAAAGAATGTCTACACTGTTTATTAAAAACAATATAAGAAAACATGCAATGTCAATATATTGTTATAAGAAAAGTATATAATGCTAAGTTTGTAATATGGTTTTGAGAACTGTCTTTATCTATTACCTTTTTCTATACTCAAATCCTCCAACATGAACCCCAATCAAATCGCTATCGTTAAGAGAAGAAAGAGAAATGGACCACAAAAGGTTCTTCCGATCCACATCAAGAACATGATTGTGGAGAAATGTTATATAGAAGAGTCCATGACCCGAGCCGAAGCAGCCAGGGCATTTGGTGTCTCATAGGTGTCGATTAACAACATCCTCACCAAGTTCGAGAGGGATGCTACTGTAGAGCCCAAGAAGCGAGGCGGCTCGCGCGCGGAAAGTCTTAAGATAACCGATGAGCATTCGAAGTTCATTCAAGACCTCTTGGACGAATGCTGCACCTTGACTCTTGGTCAAATGAGAGAGGAACTGTTTAGAAAATTTCCAGAGCTTCAAGAGCAGAACTTGAGTATCAGTGGCTTACATAAGCACATTATCAACAACATCGGGTTCACATTGAAGAGAACCAAGCCGGTCGAGGAAAAAAGAAACGACCCGAAGACTATTGAGCTGAGAAAAGTATACGTAGACAGTATGCACACGAATGGTTTATCGTATAAAACCAATTGCATTTTTGTGGACGAAGCAGGCTTTAATGCAAACCTGATCAGAGGACAAGGGTGGTCCAAGAAAGGCGAGACCAGCATTGTGAAGACGAAGTCGAAAAGGGGACTAAACATCTCAATTCTTGCCGGTATTTCTTACCAAGGTGTTGAGAGTGTGCAGGCGAAGTTAACCCCTGGTGGCACGACAGGACCAATTTTCGTTGAATTTGTAAAGACGATTATGGATTCGCTCGACCACAGTAATGCTGCCCCTCACAACTTCATTATGGATAATGCCTCGATCCATAGATCCCATCTTGTCACTGAATTGTTTGCTAATTCACGACACCACCTACACTTTCTCCCCCCATACTCTCCTTTCCTAAACCCGATTGAAGAGTGCTTCTCCAAACTCAAAACACTGGTCAAGAGAAAGCCCGGGTTGGTATGTGGTCAATTCTTGGAGTATATTGCTGAGTGCTCCCGCCATATCGCTATGGAAAACTGCCAAGGCTGGGTTGATCATAGCATTAGCTTCTTCCCCCAATGTACAAATAGCCAAGAAATAAATTGATTTTTTTTTATATATAGTCGGAGCACAAAATGAAAGTTTTGATTTTGCAAAATATATAGTTTGAAAAAAAAATATAACTTTTGGAGTGGAAATCCTGTATTTTATCTTTCTCCTTAATAATAAATCATAGAATTTATTGTCAAAAAGGCATATAATACTTCTTCCTCTACATATTACATGCCAGAATATAGTACAAAGCAACAAACAATTGATGCCTTGAAGAAATCGCGTAAAATTAATGAATTTATCGTGAAAAAAAAACACTGGTAGAGTCTTTATCAGCAAGTGCAGACGAGCTTATTAAAGATATTTTAGAAGTAATCAAAAAGGAAGTTAACGTAAAGTTGGAGCAGATAGCTGCCGTGAAGGAGCTTGAAAAAACCCTTAAAGCTAACAAATACATACACAAGGTTGACAATGTATAGTCAGATCTTGAGTCGAAGGAAAGAATACTTGGCTTCTTCGAGAGTCTAGGTGCATAAAGGTTCAAAGAAGAAATCAGAATGTGTAAAAGCTTATTCTATGAATTTTGTACGAATTTTGTATTGTCTTTTGGTGTCCTCAACTACAAATTGATGCCATTGGCCAAGATTCCCACAAGAATTTGATCGATCAACCTGGCTGAGTACCTCCCATGAGTGAAAAAAGTGTTATTCCGGTACTTGTTTGCCGTTTTGTGCTTGTAAGATTTTGTTTCGCATGACAAAATTCCGGAACATACTTTCTTGAACACATTGTGCTTTAAACTTTGTGAGCATAGATAAGTCTCTTTGAAATTGTGTAATTACAGCATAACTAGTACACGATGTACCTAAAGTTCGATACAACAGCAAGATCTCGATTCCATAAAAAATAAACCAATTCAAATTTATGTATATCAAAACTAAGAGAAAATTGAAACAAATAAATAGATTTTTATGCTTTTTATTTTATTTTGAAAAAAAAACAAACCACAATATGTATTTATACCATATTATTATTACTGTATCACAATGGTTCTTATATTGACTATTCTCCACTTGGTGCGCCTTTGTTACAAATATCTTCCTTATTTTTTTTTATATATATTCTTCTCTTTTTCCTTTTTGCTTATGTGTATTTATGTATATAATTTAATAATGTAATAAGAATATACTTTTTTTATTCAAAGTCCTCAACCTTGAAAATCCAGACACCAGTGTTGATATCATAGCTAACAAATGTGGTGCGAGGCTGCGTCTGCAATTTGGTGGTAAAAGACTTGGCTTTGGGGTGGTTGGGGTCCTTAATAGGCTTTCCAGTGTCCTTGTCAACGGGGTAGACTTCGAGGAACTTGCATGTGGCTGGTACATTGAGTTCCTTTCCAACAGGAGGGGATTGCATGTTTGAGTAAAGAACAATCTTATTCTTGGTGATGATCACGATCTTTCCCATGATGCTATGGAGATCAGTCTTTGACAAATCAACAGGAATCTCAAACTTGACCTCTCCGTAGCCACTACGTCCGACTACAAAGTTTTCAACGTGCTTGATATCATCATCACTCATAATCTGTAGTGCTTCCAAGTTAGGAGAGCAATAGTATCCATCTTTAATGGCGGCTGCAGATAAAGAAGCCGAGCCTGATTCCGTATCAGTAGATTCAGTGGTGGGAATAGTAGCAGAAGCAGCAGTGGCGGAAGCAGTAGCAACAGATTTAGCTTTAGTTTGCGCTTCTTTAGCTTCGTGAATCTCGTTTTCGGCAATGTACTCAAGGTTAGAGTTGAACAAAGCCTTGGGCTTTTCGGGAACTTGGTTGATAAGAGTCGACATGGCGTCATTGCCGAGCGAATTCTCGAACGTATTAGTGCGGTTGTTGGGGAAAGGAGCGAATGCACCTGCTCTGAGAATGTCCTCATCAGTAATTCCTTGGAGCGAGCTCATCTTGACAGGACTAGATTTGACTGGCTTGGCAAAAGAAAAGCCACGGAGCTTGATGCGAGAGTTAATTCGGGGAGACATGGGGTAGTTAGGAAACTGCTGTTTCTTAGCCTGGCTTTTTACAGGGACGGCCAAGTAGCCTGACGAACCGGCTGCTTTAGGCTTTGTTTCAAACAAGGGGTCTTTTCCATAAGGATCTTTATCAACCTGAGCTACAAGGAATTGTTGCTGTTGTCCAGGCTGAAGAGGGGTAGTGCCGAACGAAGTCAGACCTCCTTGGGTAGGCATTGAGAATGCACCAGTACCAGTACCAAGTCCCTGGGGTTGGGTGCTTCCAAATCCTCCAAATCCAGTTGATGCTCCTCCGAGTCCTGTTCCTCCTCCAAGTCCTGATCCAAGTCCTCCGAATCCACTGTTTCCGAAAAGACTTGTGCCAGGAGCAGCACTTGCAGCAGGCTGCTGTCCGAACAGACCTGCTCCACCCCCGAAACCAGTGTTAGATTGCTGTTGCTGCTGCTGCTGTTGTTGTTGCTGTTGTCCAAATCCAAAGCCTGTGGTGGCACCGGGCTGTGTGTTTCCAAAGAGAGATGTTGTTGGTGCAGCTGGCTTCGCACCGAATAGACCGCCAGCAGCAGGTGCCTGGGATTGAGCACCAAATCCAGTAGCGCCTGCGGTTTGTCCGAACCCTCCAAATCCAGTAGGTGCTGCAGGTTGGCTAGTAGCAGAGTTACCAAAGCTGAACCCGGTTGTAGGCTTGGCAGCTGCAGACTGTCCAAATCCACCTCCAAATCCACCTCCAAATCCAGTTGTAGGTGCAGCAGAAGTTGCTGGTTTGGCTCCAAAACCGAACCCACCAGCGGCAGGCTGTCCGAAACCACCAGTGGCAGCAGGTTGTCCGAAACCACCAGTGGCGGGTTGTCCGAAACCACCAGTGGCAGCAGGTTGGCCGAAACCACCAGTTGCGGCAGGCTGGCCGAAGCCACCAGTGGCAGCAGGCTGGCCGAAACCACCAGCGGCGGGTTGAGCAGTAGATGCAGCTGGTGTTTGTTGAGAATAAAACGAAAATAATAAACTTTAGTAAACAGGCAAATATAAGATAGAGAGAGAAAAAGAGAGACTGTGTTTTTACAACTCACCTCCGAAAGAGAATGGCTTTGCAGGTTGTCCGAAACCACCGGTGTTTCCACCAAAAGCGGGTGTAGAGGTAGCAGGTTGTCCAAATGCTCCGGCACCTGCACCAAAGGCAGGTGTAGAGGTAGCAGGCTGACCAAATGCTCCTACGCCAGCTGATTGCCCTCCGAATGCATTGGTTGTCGCGGGTTGTCCAAACGAATTGTTAGCAGCAGGTTGCTGTTGCTGTTGCCCAAACAAACCTGTACTGGCTGCTCCAAATCCAGTAGCAGCTGGCTGTTGACCAAAGCCTGTCGCGCCAGGAGCGCCAAATCCTCCTGGTGCAGCGTTAGATGTTTTTCTATTAGCCATATAATCTTGAAGGCGGAGTTCTTCAATTGAATAGTTTTTATATTGGGGCATGGCCGTGATAGTTTGGAAAAAGGTATTAGAGTTTGTTGAGAGATCACGGTCTTGAGTGGGTGCAAAGTCAGCTATGGCAGTTCCATTCTGTCCACCAACAGCATTTGCAGTCTGTCCGAATGCGGGGGTGGACATGCCTCCACCAAATGCAGTGTTTTGCTGAGGCTGCGCGCCAAATACATTGTTTGTAGCTGGTGCTGCGGCACCGAAAGCTCCAGTAGTGGCAGGACGTTGCCCAAACAGTCCTCCAGTAGCTTGTCCAGCCTGAGGAGCACCAAATGCAGGAGTGCTAGTTGTTGCGCCAAAACCGCCAAAACCAGCAGAAGCAGCAGGTTGTTGAGCTACATTAAGTAAATATTTAGTTGATTAGCATAAAGAAAAAACGCGGTATTGTGTTATTCATTTAAGATTATTATTATTTACCCGCTCCGAAACCAGTGGTGTTTCCAAAGCCTGTAGGTCTTGGTTGTCCAAAAGCAGTTGAGCCGGCTGCGCCAAAAGCACCTGTTAAAATTCGAGGTTAGATACTCGGACGTTTAATGTTCAAGAAAAATGGTGATGTGTTTTTTATGTAAGCGTCTTATTACCGGTGCTTGGTGCTGGTGCTCCAAATGCTGAGGGCTGGGCAGGTTGTCCAAATGCACCGGTGGTAGGTGCTGAAGCGCTGCCGAATGCACTAGGGGTAGCTGTGTTGGCACCAAAACCTAATTAATGCATTTTTTTGAATAAGTGAATTTGTTTTAATTAAAGCTAGTATTGGTAATAATAATAAAAATAATAATATGTAATTGTTTTAATCTAATGTGCATACCACCAAAGCCAGTTGCTTGTTGTTGCTGTTGGGGTTGTTGGGGTTGACCAAAGACAGAAGGTGTAGCCTGGGCTTGTTGCCCAAAGCCTCCACCAAAGCTGGGTTTGTTAAACATGTTTAAGGATGTAATGAAGTAAAGAAGATGGAATGAGTTCACGAAGGTCTTTTGGATTTTTTTTATAAAAAAAAAGTCACGGAGTGTAGGTGTTATAAGAGAGTAAAAAAATGGGAAAAAAACGAAATTTAAAAAGCGCGTGTGTGAATGTACAGTTTCGCATTTAAAAATGAGAAAATCAAAACTTTTTTGAGATAATTTCAGGTTAAATTTGAAAAGCTCCACCTTTCAAATATGTGATCCGTAATATCCAAACAATGGCATTATGCCAGTATTTATATACTATGTACAGCTATAATTAAAACCATAATGTACGTACAGTAAAGAATATGGAGACTTGTAATAATTCACCATCTACCATATTCGTCAACTTTGATGGGAGATTGCCACAAGTTCGTGCCGTCTATTTTTAAAAGATAGACTTTCTCAAATTTAACCTGAGACTATCCCAAAAAAAGTTTTGTTTTCCTCATTCTTGAACGCAAAACTCTGTGCAATAAGTTTATCTGCTACAAATTACAGGCAGTCATATTTTTCCCGAACCTGAAAGAATTTGGCGGGTCCAGCACAAACTTGGTGCGGACAGACTAAAAGTTCGAGAAAAGTTCAAAAAAGGGCAAACCGAGCTCATATTGAACTTGGCCAATCAGACTAATTCATGACTGACCACACCTTTCTTCAAAAAAGTTCAAAATTAGTACAAGTACATATTAGATAAATTTGTGCTTAAAATGCCGTCTCTGTCTTTAAGTGAAAAGCTTTTAATGCAAGTTATTCTAAACCACTCATTCTATGACACACTGTTCCTATGAAAATGTTCTTCTTCTCAAGCCTAGTGACAATGAAATAATACAAGCCAATCAGTCGTTGAGAAGAATTGACCCTTTCTTAACCTTTTTTTTTACCCCCTTTTTTTTAACTTGAAATTATCACAAATCGACACCTCTATTACACGTACTCCCTTAATAGACAATTTCCTCAATAAGCCAAATGTCACTTATACTCGGGCTTATATCCACCCAATATTCATCCAATATTCGGCTTGAGAGACAATTTATCAATTGACCACAACTTTTGATTACGTCAACCCCGTGAGCACTACGTCTTGCATATTTTTTTACCTCTGTCTTCTTCTTCTTCTTCTTCTTCTTTTTTTACCCTAAAATATTTTGGCAACCCACGTATCAACTGAGCTGGTAAGATTTACTGCATAAATATACAACGAATCCACACAGTAAAATAATGTATAATAACTTACATGAATAGTACAAACAAAGGCCATATTCGCAAGTTGGAGAAAGAATAATCAAATGCGTAAAAAAAAACGCCGCAAGAAACTTTTTATCAAGGTGTGAACACCTTGCCACTATCCTTTCTACAAATCAATACCAAACGAGCCTTATCTGAGAGCTTTTCCGAAGAAAGTGTCAACAAAAGAAATCGTGTAGAAGAACTGGTAAAACACTTGAAGAAATGTTTCTTTATCACGATAAGAGACGGCGTAGAAGAACTTGTCGGGGATGCTAAAACCCAAGACAAAACAAATGAACTGAAAAACAAGCTCGTAAATGTAAAGACTCTACCGGCAGCAATAATAACAAACACGGCACAGCTTGCCAAGTGTGACAGAAAAGAAATGCGCTCACATATGGAGTTCTGCCCTGGGCTAAAAAAATGTTGAAGGATGAAAGAAGTTCATATCTCAAAGCTTCGACAAAATAGGTGAGACTGCCGTAGGTTCGATAGTAAAAGGCATAGCTAAGGAATTCTCTTCTGCCACACTAATAAATAAACAGCCTCTTCAGAACGGATCTCCCTCCTATTGTAAAGACATTCGTGTGTACTAGATTACAAGATACGATGGTTACCTCGACAGATTATACCCTTTGCTTTTCGGCACTCGTGAATATGATGATAAGTGAGCTGAGGAGTAGCGAATTCTTCTTTGACAACAATGATATCAAGATTAAAAAGGTTCCTGGCTTCAACCTCGCCGAATTGTTGCCTTTTGTTACAACTAACGAGCCAAGACACACCATCCAGCAGCTGGACAAGAATTTAATTAGCTCTAAGCGGTTTGATACGGAATTCAAGTGTCTCTTCACAAGCCAGCACCTGCAAATTGTGCATAGCTATTTTTTTAGTGTCCGTGGTGCTAAAGAAGAAAATTTGAACGCACACCCTGTGCAGAATAGTCTGTTTTGTTCTTTCAAAGAATCCGGTCTTGATAAACAGAGGTTCTTTCTTGAGAAAGCATTATCATCGGCAACGGCGATTGCTCTTGAAACATAGCTGGTCAACTTCGAGAATATGTGGGACAACAAAAAGATAATCAACAAACTTTTGGGCAAAGTGATACTAGTGCTACTTAGCCACCATCTTGCCCGCAATAGAGAACCAAAGCGTATATCGACCACAACAACAAGGAACCCACTTGGAAAGAATGATATGAGAAACGATGCGCGTTATGTTTGTCGTGCAGAGGATAAAAAGCTAAAAAAGTTGATACAAAGAAAGGAAAAAGCAGGCGGATTAGAATGAGAAAAGTGGACCATCAAGATAAATAGTGCGAAGCAGTGTCTAGCAAATTTAAGGCATACTTTTAAAAAGGTAAAATGGAAACATTTTTATTGGCTTGAAATTGCCAGCTAATACTTCATTTTATTATAGAAGATAGGCCAAATGCTGAATGATAGAAAGGAATCTTCTGTGGAACACAAGCTCGTTGTTCAGGATTTGAACATCGCGGAAGAGCAGCAAGATTTTCTGGGAGAGGAGGGGACTTTGTATGATGATGTTCCGGAAAGGAGGTTGAATCAATTCAAGTCCATAATCAAACACTTGGTCTTCAGCAATGATACGCCTGTATATTTAGAAGATGTCAAACATTAGTCTCCTGAGGCCTCCGCCGCCGAACAGTCAGTATGCTTGTTGATCTAAAATACGTTGATGAAGTTCTTGCCTCCGAAAAAGCAATACCATGTAATTGTGTATCAGATCTATTTCTGTATCTTCGCAAACGACGTTCGTAAATATGCACGTTATACAAAGTTTACTCGCGCATTATGACCTTCAACATCATTTTCGTCATCGAGTGCACTACACCTGGATTCAGTTGCATTATATCAGTTATTGACCCAGAATATAGATCAAGAAAAGTCGGAATAACCACCATCACATACCAACCAGCAAGAAAAGAAAGGGTATAGTGAAGTAATAATCTATGGGTATAATAGAGATGAGCTGATAGGGTCTCAAAACAAAGCGCGCCAAAACAAAGATGCCACATTTAACGCAGTATCTGATATGGAAGAGATTCAGAAAGCATGTGAATTGTATGGTTTATCTTTTGCATATCGGATAACATGTCTACCAGGAATGAAAACAGTACGATTATTGGGATCGAAAATAAAAACCCATGGCACCGTAAAAGAGGAGACAAAACAGTCGTATGAAGCACGGATTTTAAGAAACCCGAGCATTATGCAAGAAGGACGAAAAACAAAGGATGTTCTTTTTTCTGCGATTCAAAGCTTAACAGAAGAAGTTAATGCACTTGAATCTGTCTGTAAAAGAGAGCTAGAGCTACTGAAAAACAGTAACTTCAAAAAGAAAATCAAGGAATGTAAATCAAATTGGGGGGACAACGGATGACAAGGATCAGTTATACCGGACGATTGAATGAAAAATATAAATAATAGAGATATAGATCTTATTTGACGGTTAACAAGATCAGAAACGAACTCGCTGAAAAAAAAAGACAACAGTTATATTTTCGACAAATGGCAATTTGCTTCAAATCAAAGCTTCATAATGTTAAAGATATCCCTCAAGATAGCAGAAGCCCAATTGAGAAATACGGCAAAGGTGTTACCAAGGCAGAGGACCTAACTGCTGTGAATACTGATGACTTTAGCTATGCGGATACTGACAATGGCCTGGTGAATACGACAGCATCAATACTGGTGTCGTTACCAAGAATTAAATTTCACCTAAAGCTTTTCAACTATTGCATTGGGTTAAGCAATGGCTCTAATAAAAAGAGTATCACCTTAAATTTATCTAAAGAGGAAGAATTATTTCCATATTTTCCATCAGTTACGAATACGAAGGCTAATATTTTTTATGTTGGTTGTGAGTATTTTTTGGCAACGGAGATATTTAGAAAGACGAAAGAAGCATAGCAATTAAGGAAAAGAGGTCTAGTTAATAGAGGATTCAATGAGAGAAATGGAGTCGACCCCAGTTACTTCTATTGACATGGCCATCAAAAACTTTCTTGATAAATACGAACAATGACAAAGACTGCGGGATTTCTACAATTCTCCAAAAATCATCAACCAAAAAAAGACATGTAGAAATCCAACAACATCGTTATTGGCATCACCTCTGTCGGCGAGAGAGATTGGAATTGAAGCATTTAGAGAGTAATAACTTGATACCAATATTAGTATTGTATTCGATTTTTATTAACGCACATTCTTTTGGCTCAACAGATAAGTCCTCCTCTAAAAAGCCCTTGATACTCTTCATTGTTGATTAGGAGACCGATGTAAGTTTTCGAAGCAAATGCTTTAGAAAGTATGGTGATAAGTGGAAGCAGAAGGTACACGAGGAGGCACCCAATGTTTGCATTACAAATGAGTGTAAGACCTCCCAAACGTGTATATTATGATTTTCCCCTTTAACAAACTCAAGGATTCCTGGCAAGAAGGAAGGAAGTTATAAAGTCAAAAAAGGTGCCTTTTTTGTATTAATCCTCGGTGTGTAACTGTCAAGAATCGATTTGCAACTAAGCCGAGAGATACCCTTTCAGCTCTCGCTATTGGACTGGTGGGCCTAAGTTCAGTTATGTTTGGTGCCGCGCTACCTCCTTTTTACAACGTCAGCCAAATGACTGCTGAACATTATACAATAATAATATTTGATTTCTGTACACAAAGAGTCGATTTGGCAGCTACGTTGTAGCTCTAGAGGTAAATAGCATTGTATAGTACCAATGCTTGTATACATATTTAATTTATTAATTATTATTACCATTTCTTTTTTTTAAAAAAAAAAAAAGATAGGGAGATGGGGATAGAGAGAGAATGTTGAAACAAGAAACTGATGATGTCAGCTACGATCCTAACCGAATTCTTGTTTAATTTAATGCTTGAGATAACATTGACAGAATTGATTTCGAGATTGTGTGTACTACTGTTGTGCACAGTCCTGCAAAAGAAAGCGTTGAGTCTAAATCACTGAATAATCTATTTTTTTTTTATCATTATTTTTATTTCTTTTTATAATTCTTATTTTTTATTGCTTGGTCCACAATCATCACACTGAGATCTCGTTTCAATGACAATATTCGACTTGTGCATCATTCGCATAAGATATCTATCGCCTTACAAGATATTTATATTACTGCTGATTAGAATATTCTGCCAAGAGCAATTCTCCCCAGATGCCCTTTTCAATCTTTCTTCATTTCTTCTTGATGTCACACTAGTAAGGATCTGAAATAAGAGAATTAGAAACTTGATTTATTTTTATTATTAATGAATGAATGAATGAATTTATTATTATTATTATTACAAAAAAAAAAAACTTAGGAAGAGGCAGTGGAGGAGCCTTCGCTAAGAGAAGCTTTGAGAACGTTGAATGCATCTGGAATGCAAAAAGATATTGAAAATATTATCGAGGTTATAAATGACAATGTAAGTTGCTACTAATTTACATGATTAAAACAAATAATAGTAGTATTGACAGCCATAATAATCGGTTGATCCACACATACATACATACCTTTTTGTTTTTGTCTTTACCTTATTTTATTTCCTTTTTTTTAAAAAAAATAATATTTTTAATACTCTCTCATATAAATTCATCTATTGAAATGAATATAATAAATATAATAAAATATTTGGTATTATCCACTTTAGCTGGCATATATAAACACACCACATAATATGAATGAAATTATTCAAGGTAAATTTAAATGGCCAATATATATATATATATATATGTGTGTGTGTGTGTGTGTGCTACTTAAAAAGGAAGAGAGAAAGAGAGAAATAGCTTAAACTACAACAGAAACCAATCGATCAATTGAAGCATATGGATATATAATAAAAAGAAGATTATTTTTTCAAGCTAAAAAGAGAATTGATTTCTTTCTTTTTTATAAACAATAAATATATGAATCTTGCCAATCAGATACAGAGAAATTACTTGAAGAGGTAGAGAATGGGATTATTTTTCTTTATTTAATGGGTTAAAAAAAAGGCTTAAGAGTTTTTGTGAGCTAAAGAGAGAAGAAGAGAAATACCCTCTACCAAATTAACGTTTCATCGCTTAGCCTGTATCTGATGTAACAAGACATGTGGTAAGACTTTGTTGGATATGATCTATATACATATATCTATATACTCAGAAAATATTATATTTTGATTTCAATTAGCATAAAGATAGTCCTATTGGAGTGTACATACGTCGCTGTTTAGCTGCCTACAGAATGTCAAGTTTACTAGAAACTACAGATATTTTTGCTGCCTTTCAAGCTTATGTCAATGGAACTTCAGACGACAAGATTATGCACCGTCTTGGCAGTAATGAGCTGAAACCAAAATTAGCCTCCTTTAAACAGGATGATAATGTGCTGGATCGTATCGATGGTAAACTCTGAATTCTAAATACATAAAATAATGAATATAAAGAATATAACCAATAAACGCGAATGTATAATATCAATATTCACTTGATGACCTGTCTGTCTGTCCTTTTCTTCTTTTCTTTTCTTGCTTGATATCTTAGGATGGATAACTGATGACATTACTGTAAATTTTCTCGATAATCAAATAAGACAAATTAGAGGTAAAGAAATGAATTACTAATTTTTGTTAGGACTGCAGACTATTTACATACATTTAAAGTACAATTATTCATAGTCTTTTGGATTGTTTAGATATTGGAAAAAGTGATTGCTTGCCAGAATTACTCGACAAATACTTGAACTTCTTGCAATTGTATGCTCCTGATATAAAGAAGATTGATCATGTTCGGTAAAGTGCTTTAGTAATTATTTTGTACCTAAACAAACAAGACATATACTAATAAATATATATATATATATATATCAAATTTCAGGGCCCTCAATCTTGCACAAGTTAAAGAGTACGAAAGCGCATCGATTACATTTCACAAGGCAGTCGATACAAGCCTTTTATCACATGAAAAGTAATATATCTAGTTATTAAATGAGTGAGATCAAGAACACTTGTTTTGTATTTCTTTATTTATTATCTTTCTTTGTAGTGAGCATGATCAGTACTCGATGCTTAATCTTGGTATATTGGAAACTAGATTTGGACATTTTACAGAAGCTATACAAGTTTAGTAATCTTGGCTCTTTTTTGAACTAGTATTGCGTATAGTCTGTTAAGCTTATAGAGTATTTACTTCTTCTTCTTCTTTTTCTTTTTGCTACATAGTCTTTTAGTGCAGCACTTATAATTGCACAAAAAAAAGTGGATCAGCACTGTCTTAATGAAGTACAAAGGTAGGTTAGACTTCATAAGGTTATAGTGTGGGATCCTCACTGCTAGTCTATTATAGCTGGTTACGGTATGTAAGTAGCACAGATACATACACAGGATCCAGTCCACCAGTGAATATAAAAAGTGAAGATATCGAAGAAATATCTCGAGTGATATACCATCAAAGTTTTTATGATCTCATTTGGATTCGTGATGCATTACTACACGTAAGCTGTATATCTATTGCATTCGTGGATGTGTACAAAAGAGTCTTAATGATATTGTGTTAGGGAAGAGCTTCTAATGAATGCTTTGAACGGCTCTTTCAAACCATAATACGAGGGGGCAAGAGTAATGTAAAAGGTTTGAGCACATTTCAGAATCTGGTTGCTTCACAGCTCTGGAGACACTATGGTACAGTTGAGCCCTTTTAATACACCCTCCGAATCCGAGTTTAATTACTTGAGATAAGCATATAATATAATATATGCTAACACTATCTTATTGTTGTTATTATTTTATTATATAAAAGGATATGGTCTCTTGGCAGATAATTATTTAAACGCGGCGTTAGACACAGAAGAAGAGATGATTGATAATGTAGAAAAGAAATATATATATGCAGCCGAAATTGTAAATATACTAAACCTAGCTTTGGTGGAAGAGACAACGACACAATGTCTCACAAGTGTATCGTATTCTTTAGTTTATTGCCAAAGGAGACTATGAAAAGGCTCAATCAATGCTCAATACTTTCCAGACTCAATACCCTAGTCAAAGTACAATGATGATTGAGTGGAAGCAAGTTCAATACAGACTAGACAAGTATATATCTCAACCTATGTAAGTTATATACATACGCATATGTTTTTCTGAAGTAGTAAGCTCAGAAAGCTAATATATTGTGTTCTTTATTTTATTTTATGCTATGTTATGCTATTATTATAGAGGTCCAAATACCTACAGATTTGTGCAGGAAGCTATGATGCCAGATTATCACCCTCAAAATACTAGCAAATACTATGATATAAAGCAGAATTATGCCATGGAGTTCTATAGATGTGGTGATCTAGAAAAGGTAAATTCTTACTTTAATATAATCTTTACAGATAATAAGATGAAAATTCAGCAGAAGAGCACAAAATACCTGTACTCCTTATTTCATAGCATCAAATAAAAAGGGGATACTGTCTACTTATATTTATAATAATCTTTTGTTATTTTATTAGTCTCGCGTCTTACTTGAACAGACACTTGTTGGTCTAAAGAAAGAGAAGCTTCCTTTACACATTGCTATAAATCTGATGGCAAGGGCACAATTGAACATGGTAAGCCGTATTTCTTTTATATAGATAAAGTATATATATATATATATATATATATATATTTTAAAAAAAAAGTCTTTGGATCTAAACCATCAAAATAATATTTCTTCTTCTTATTTTAAATATATATATATAAAGGATATCCAATGCTATTCTGAAGCTATTCTTCTTTTAAAAGAAGTGTTGAGAATATGCAAAGAGTCTAATGATGCTCAGAACTATTATGCTGCAGCTATTCAACTAGGCCACATTCTGGTGCAGCAAACTCCAAATGATAAAAGAGAAGCTCTTTTTATAAGCCAAAGATTATTGCCAAAAGTAAAATCATTGGAATCTATTGAGCTCACGACAAAGTGTCTTGCTCTTTACGAAAAGAGCCTTTAATGTCTGTATGTCTTTTTATTTATTTATTTATTTTTTTAAAAAAAAGTTTAAGTCAAAATTAAAAGAGATTGTGTGCAGCCGATTATTATTTTTATTATTATTTTGTGTTTGAGAAGGTTATAAACTATTTACCCAAATAACTTTTTTGCTATACAGATGCTTCTTCTGTATGTAGCTGTGTGTGTCTTTACATTACTATATATATCGGGTTGCTCTTAATCACTTTAGTTACTAATAAAATTAAAATCACAAGAAAAGTACGAGTTTTTGTTTTAAGAGGTAGAGATAGATAAATGGTATAATTTTATGAATACAGTCATCAACAATTATCACCGTACTTCCTTACGTTATGTTATGTTATATTACAATTAAATTATATTAGATCGGTTTAGTTTTTAGATTAAACCAAATATAATAAAAAGGTATCGGAACCGTGATGATCCATGTAATATTTTTTTTGGTGCCCTCATAGTATAAAAATTGAGTTAGAACTTTAAGCAAAGCCTTTTGATTTTTCTTTTCTTTTCTTTTCTAGTTTCTTTTCTTTTTAGAGTCTAGCACCGGCAGGGAAGCTCTTCATGGCTTGGCGAACTCCAAGGTCGGCCATGATTTCTTCTGCACCACCCAAAATAGCCTAAATAAAGAAATAATTGAGGGTGAGAGGGAAAGGGTGATTTGATTTAGTATTTTTCTTTGTACGCGGGAGATAGTGCGTGTGATTGTGTGTACAAGAAGAATTGCGATTAGGAATACTTACCGAGAACTTGTATGTTCTTTGAAGCATCTCAATATGTTTTCCCATTCCAGTCTTTGTAAGTGCTCGTCCACTAATAAAATGATATATATGTAAATAAACTTCCAAGCCTTTTCTTTTATAGATATAAAAAGATAAAACTCACCCAAAGATCTGACAAGCAGAGTCAGATACATTGTGAAGCATGCGAGTGGACTGGTACTTGCACAAAGCTAAAGGACCAGCAAGCTTCTCGGACTGCTCTTTGTATCCCATGTGACACATTTGATAAGTGATGTTTTCAACCCAATTATGAAAGCTCTCGAGTTCAGCAACCTGTATGTATGTATATACCAAGAGTTTGCTTAGTTGTGCACTAAATATCAAAAAGTATATAGATATAGATATATTTACCATAACAGCAAGTTTATTTCTGATTACAGGTTGGTCGATAAGTCTCTTTCCAAAGACCTTTCTCTGGTTAGCCCACTTGAAGCATTCTTCAATCACAATACGGGCAGCCATAGAAACACTGGTAATCATTACCCAGCGTTCATGGTTAAAGTTGGAAAGAACCACCATGAAACCACGGTCCTCCTTACCCAGCAAGTTCTCAACTGGGACTTTTACCTTTATGTTTTTTTTTTAAAAAAAAAGATAAAAATATTTGAGTATTCAAAATGTAAATTAGTAGTAGTAGTAGTAGTAGTAGTAGTAGTAAGTATTAATATATATATATATATATATATATCTGTATTCAACATACGTTTTCAAAGATAATATAAGAGGTACCGGCACTGCTGCTGTAAGATGTCTTGATGGCTTTGGTCTCGACATCATCCGAACGGTCGATCAAAAGCATAGACATGCCATTTTCGGTCTGAACAGCGGTTGAGAAGTAGTCAGCATATTGACCTATTATTTTTATATTAAAGAAATAAAATTAAATTAAATTAAATTAAATTAAATTAAATTAAATAAGCTTAGTAACAAGGTTTTTTTTTATATACATAGGAAGGTATATCAACAATACATACCACCAGTAATCCATTTCTTTACGCCGTTTACACTGATATTTTATTTTATTTTGAATAAATAAATAAACAAATATATATATATTTGATAAAGATATAAATACTAGTGGTTAAAATGATTATATTATAATTCCTACTAGTATTGGCTCACTTACATGTAGTGCTTTCCATCAGCTGTCTTTTTGGCAGTTGTACGAATGCTTGCAACATCAGATCCAGCATATGGTTCGGTAATAGCTAAACAGATTCGTTTCTTTCCAGAAAAGACTTCAGGTACAATCTACAGGTAGCAGGCAAGTAGGTTATTATTATTGTAATAAAAAAAAGTTAAAACAGTATAAAGAACCTTGAGCTAATAGAAGAAGTTTCATGTAATATATATAAATATTACCTTTGCCTTGAGCGCAGGCGATCCGAAATTGAGGACGGTTGGGATAGAGATGACCATTCCACCAAAGATACCATCACCAGCACCACGAGTTCCCCAGCGTGCTGTTTCCTCGTGTAGAATCAATTCGTGGAAGTAATCGAATTCTTCGCCGGTGACACCACCGGGAAGAGTAATGTTTCGCAGCCACGGGCCGGGACCCACATTTGCGGCCAAAAGATTGTAACTTCCCAACTTCTGCATGAATTCATCTGTTGGTTTGGTCTCCGTGTCTTCAAAGTGGCGAGCTTCTTCAGCAAGTTCATCGATAATTGGGCGAATTGCAGCACGGAACTTGTAGTGGCTCTCCCTATGTGAATTTAGTTATTAATATTGGTAATACTTTTATAATAGTGAAAATGAAAGTATTACTTGTAATAAGGTGATTTGAATCCCATCCAGGCACTAGGTTCTCCATAAGGTACTTTGGAGAAGTCACCGTTCTGGCGAATGGTAATCTGGGCCTTCTCATTCGCAATGGTACCAATCTTGTACTTTGAGTATTTAACCAAGACTTCTTGCCTGTGAAGACCGTAGAAATCTTCCGTGGCGTCTTTTCCGGCCATTTCGAGAATAGGAGCAGCGCCTCCTGGATGAAAATTGATGAATCGGCTCATATCATAAACGCTCGAGTCAATAATGATCCAGAGGTCATTTTCGGATGCATGGCGACCGACTTCTTCACGAGTAAATGTTTTTAAAGACATAGCAGTGCCGGTGAATTAGAGTAAGATAGAGTGGGGGGGTATGGGTATGGAGAAAGAGAAAGAGAGTGGGGAAATTGAATACAAAAATGTGGGAATTAAAGTCTGTCAACCAAAAAATATATTTGTATTTTTTTTTTGTATATATAAAAAAGAATGTCGCTGTTTCAAATTTGAAGTGTTAATGACTAAACAGATTTCAATTTTGAATTCTTGGATTACTTGGATGATTTTTTTTTTATATATATAAATGTATGTATGTATACACAAATACACTTTAATTCTAACTTTCTTTCCTTCCTTATTCTTTATATAATATACATATATTTTTAACATTGCTGACAAGATTTAATAAGCCTGATTGGACAGAATCATCTAATTATCTCTTTATTTTGCACACCAAATCTCACGCTTTTCCTTATCACATCTGTCAAGTTCTCTTGTGTGAAAATATTATTTCTAAAGCCATTTCCCATCAATCGGAGCCCAACAGTGTATATACAATATACAGTATAGCATTGAAATATCTGTACAACTCCAAACTCTGTACAAGAGAACTTTTACTTGTATGTATACTTGTTTAATTTGTATGCATGATGTGTAATGTAGTGTAGTTTATGTAGTTTATGTAGATGGTTGATATTACTATAAGAATTATCGACTCATTGGGCATTTTGATGCTGATTCTCCTTTGATGTGCCCTAATTCAAAGATGTTGTAACCGGTCGTGTAGATGGATTTATAGACATCATAGACGGGTGTGAATCGTCCTTGGGCGTTGGGTGAGTATGGTGTTCGGATAACAAAGTCAGTGCGAGGAAGACAGAGGTAGCGAATGAAATTTGCTCGCAAACGCATAGTGTACCAGAAAATGGTCTTGAAAATTGGTGATGGAGGCTCTATTCCAAACGCAACAATATCGTGCTCATCCAGAACACATGGAATAATCTTGTAAACAATTGGCCAGAACAGTTTTGGTATCCGAGACAAGAGATGGTCAATTGTGTGTTGTGCACATTTCCAGTTTGATTTGCTGTATCGAACCACGGTCTTTTCATAATGCTATTTATTAAAAGTTTAGATATAGATATATTTATGTGTGCGTGTGATATTATTATTATATTTTTACCTGTCTGAATGCTGTAAGTTCTTGTGGTGTTGCTGGAATATCTTTGATTTTCATCTTTTTTCCTAAATCAGCCCAAATAACAAACATTGCCTGTAGATTTACATATATATATATATTATATTTTTGGTTAATAAGATAAAATGAGAAAAGTCAAAGTCAAAGGCGCTTTATGGGTACTGTGTAATATTGTTACACAACTGTACAAAAGTGCAAATGCACAGATCCATAGATGCACAGATGCTCAAGTGCACAGATGTGTATGTGTATATTGGCTTACGTTTATTTCTCGTTCGTCAAGCTCTCTCCACTCAAACTGGGCAATCCATCGAATTGGCTCTGCTACAAATAGACCGACTGTGTAAATGTGATCATCGTTACGGATATTGTGCTTTGCATGGATGTCGTTCAATCGGTTTATTGCTTGGGTTGCTCGTCCTCTTTGGTTCATGATGTCCATTTCACTTATGAACGGACAGATCTTCATGTGGTTCTGGATTCGAGGATAAGGATCTGCAATTTCACCTAGGATAAGCTCTGTGTCGTCTGCTCTCTTTGCACAGTCTTTCTCGAATATAGTTGATGCAACCAAGGTTTTGCTTATTGAAGGAACAACGAATGTCTTGAACAACGCAAATTCCAGTGATTCGCGTGAAATTACTTTATTTTATTTTTAAAAATATAAAAAAAATATCAGTAAATTATGTGCTTGTATTTGTATGTTTCTGTTATTGGGGTAAAGACTACAAGGCTTTTAAAGAGAGTGACTTACTGGGGAATTCTCTTCTAAATGCATGACTGAATATTGCTTCGGCAGCATCGTAATCTTCAAAGACAACCTGAGGATCAGGGTATTGTTTCCGCAGATTGTTTATATACTTGTATCGAAGAGACCGAACAAGGATAAGGTAGGCGCCAAAGAGGATTAGGCACAGGATATAGACGTTTGTTTTGGATAAGAGAGAATGTGTGGAGTTGACCCAGGCTACTGTTGTTTCAGTGAAGCTCATTTTGGAAGTAAATGACAATTAGAATGACAATTGAAGTGAAAATGAAGATAAGAATAGAGATGTAATGTATGTATAACGTGCAGTGTAATGTAGTGTTTTTGAGGGAATCAAAGTCTTGACAAGTAAAGCAAAAAAAAAGGATCTACTATAAATCCTATGCTTATATACTTTACACAACAATCCAATTCAAGAGAAACTGCCCACACGTCATTTAGAGCCTTTTTGTATTATAGGTTATATATATATATATATGTGTGTGTGTGTGAGAGAGAGAGGCTATGCACATTTATGTATGTATGTATGTATGTATGTAATTTTTTTTGTATACATCCTAATGGGCGTTTTTTCTGTCTTTATCTATCTATCGATCTAGATAATTGCTTCTAGGAGATACTGGGGCTACCAGAATCCAGTTTGTTCTTCTTCTTTTATTTATGTATTGTCAGGGTGAAGATACAGGGATTGTCTGACTTGTTTTCTTACTTATTTCTAACAACAAGAAACTATGAAATTGAGGAGGTTGCTAAATAACGAATGATAATGAATGAAAATGAATGATAATGAAATATACAAGTGAACCCTAAAAAGGCAACAAAAAAATATATGTATAAAAAAAGTGACTTGAAAATAGAATAAACCTGTCTATTACTGCTTCAAAATACAAATAAAATAAAAACCTTGAAGCCAACTTTTGTCTGCTACGATACTTGTTTATTGTTGTACAATATTTTATATTGATATATTACTTTTTCGGCTCTTCTTCTCAATCTGTGTACCTTTATAATATAAAAAATGTGTCGATCTCTTATCAGATTTATTTGGTTTTTATAATTTTTTGGGTGGATAACAATAGTTGAAAACAATAATGATAAATAAATATATATAAAAGAAAAAGGTACAATGCATGGACTTCTGGCATGTCCAAAGCATATTTTCGATATTCAGGAGAAGTAAAGAATTGAAAGCTTGCTGTTTAAAAGTATAAAGGAGTTAAAGAGAGAGAGAGAGTAAAGGGGGTGGGTGTGTGGCACAACTATCAAAGACATGTGGATTATCAACTTCCATGTACACCGTTATGTCAAATCCCTCTCCTCTGTCTTCCTTCTACAAAAACATAGACTTTTAATATGAGCATAATATATATATGTATATAAACATATATTTCTTCGTTTTAGTCCATAGAATCCCATCAGTGTGCTTTGGTGCGTTTGTAAAATAAGAAAGACCTTTGGACAAATAAAGAAATAAAAAAAAATAACCCCCAATTCCTCCAATTTGGGTCTAGTAGACTACATTCTTCTTTTGAGTACAAGATGTGTATATTCTATTATATTCTATATAATTATATTAATAAGATCTTCATGTTGAACAAACAACAAAAAAAAGAGCGGCTTTTGTACAAATAAAGACTCGTCGCTAAGAATTTTCAAGTACACAAGGACAATTTCAAGAATATAAGCTTTGAAAGTACAAAATTTAGTATGTATATATGTATTTATATGTTTTTTTTTTTACCAGCAAACAAATACAAAACCTTTTATTTTAATATCACCAATTATAAATAACAGTATTAGTAGTAAGAATAAAAAAAAACAGGGTATTTAGGGAAGTAGAAGCTACTTACATCAGCAATTCTGCCTAGTTATTTGTACTTTACTATACTTCAAAATGTACAAATTACAGGCACCCTTTGTGTTATGTGTGTTTTGTCATGCATTCTGCAATGCACCTTTTGGACCTTCTTTTTTTTTAAGAAAATAAAATAATATAAAATGATATATTCTGCAATAATTTATCCGGATATGTAAGAGTGCAATTTTGTGCTGTCTGTTTGTGTATGACGACAAATGAAGACATACAATGCAAGGAGATATTAATCAATGTATTTGTGCTGTATGGGTAAAGGTGTATAATTCCCTTGCCAATAGAACTATATATATATATAAATAAAAGGTGGGTAGTCAAACGATTGTCTATCTACAGATTCTATTAATCCTTTTGTTTGATATTGTTATTATTACTATTCTCTCTCTTATATATATATGTAGTAGTAGTAGTAGTAGATTTCTATATTCTGCTTACATATTTATAAATGAAGCTAATGCCAAGAAATGCTCTAGTGAATTTAGATAGATATATGTACTTTTATGTATGTATATGTGTACCGTCTTCTTTTTAAAAAAAAAACTATGCTCCAAGTCTAGAACAAGTAGATTAGCTTTTAAATACTTTTCTTACGCTTAATATTCGAGATTTTATATGAGACATTGATAATAGCAGTAAGTGGAAAACTGTGTGCCAAAGTATATTTCCAGTGGTTTCTTTTTATATGCATATCCCCATCATATGATAAAAGATTACATATATATATATATATATATATGTGTGTGTGTGTACTATACAGTAATACGTTTGGCTCAATTTTAGTATCTGCATTCAACCTAAAGATTGGCACTCATTTCTTTGTATTATTTTTGATTATTTACGTTGTTTTTATGTAGATATTATTTTGCACTGCATATATCAAAGCAGTTCTGTACAGCAAGTTACTTAATATCTGGTCTTGAGCTAAACCCATTACTATCCTCCTTCTATCTATCTATCTATCTATCTATTAGTATTTTAAAGGTAATCGGATATCCAGGGAAAAAAAGGAAAGGCGACGATGCAGCTAATTCTTCTTTCTTTCTCTTTCAAGTCCCTTGTCAGGGCAAGCCTTGTGGTATCCTTGCATTATCTACCAGGCACCTAATACCTTTATACAAATATATATACAAATATATATATATATATATATATATATATGTGTGTGTGTGTGTGTTTTATCTTTAATAATAATAATAATTAACTTTCAGGGATGTGAATCAAACTCTTTTCCAAAGTAGTGTTGTACTTCTTGAAATCCATATTTATT